GGCTAAAAGTGATCATTTAGATTGTGAAATGTTTCTTTTCATGAAAAGTAAAGGGTTTTTAAATACAGAAGTAAAGTCAGGTGGGGCTTTTGCTTGCTTTATCCTTCCTAGACATTTTGCAAGCTGTAATCTGTGTCCCTTTCAGCATGGTAATCTTCAGCAATTTTGTTGCTCAAAGAGTCTTTTTTTGATCCTAAGAGGTACTTGCTAGAAAATTTATAGCAATAAAGATCATAACCAACCTTTGAGAAGTCTTGAGAAACAGTACACTTTGTGTTCAAAAATAAAAAAGGCCGAACACATCTCTAACCAAACTATGCCTAAAGCTTTCTGCAATAAGCAGTTTATACAAAAAAGAGCAGTTTAAAGCTAGCTTATGAATATTGTCAAACTTCATAAATAACTAAGTATAACCCTGGATTTTTCTGTAGCCCTTCTTGTATGCAACAATAAATAGTCCTTACGAAGTTATTCCCATTTTATAGATGGAAATGTTTAAGATAGCAGAAGTTCAAGTAAATGGTCTACGGAAGGCAATGCATCAAGGTTCAATGACAACACAGAAGAAAGAACAAACCATTTTCATATGAAAACATTACAGTGCCTAATTTATTGTGATGTGTATAAACAGCTTCAAATGTTGAAATGCAGTTATAGCATACCTCTTTGCACAGTTGAATGAAAGAGCAAATGTAGAAAGGGACAGAGTAAAACAAATGACATGTTATGGCTGTGTTTGAACATTGTAGTAAACCATGGCTTATCATGATGAGAATGAACCACAGAGAGCCTTGGGTTTAAGTGCATTCCCTTCCTTATCCCTCTGTGGGTATCTGCAAATAGTTCTGGTTTTGATTAACTGCAGTTCATCATTTAATCTCAACCTGACAAATAAATAAATCTGTTTATTCTTAACTTGCAGCACTGAAGTGACCTCCCCGGGGTACAAGCCTGGGCAGTGTGATGGAGGTCCTGGGCTGCCCAGATGACAAGAACCCCCTCTCGGCCTCATTGATGTGGCTCAAAGGAAAGCAGTGCAGTGTCTTTGGACCAAACTGGCTACAGGAATTGCCAGAAGGAAACGTACAAGGCACCACCCAACCCTCTGAGGGACTTCACTTCAGATTTGTTTAGGGTTTACTTCTTGGCCTTTTCTTCTCCCAGAGACTGCAAGGTAGTGGAGGTTTAGGATCACAGTTTTCCTTCTCCTAGATGTGCTGCTTTCTCAGGTTGACAAGCCCTTACAGCACTTGCAGAAACTGCCTTCTTGACTGTTGGACCCATTATTGGTCTCATTTACTCAATCTGCCAGAGCTGGTCTTCACATTCAAGGGAAGTCCCTAGCTCATTGAAGGTTTGAGACCCATTGGCTACTCTCACCTTGGTTAGCCAGCCAGACAAAGCTATTTCTGATGTGGCCACTGTCGCATGCTGACAGCTTCTAGGAGTCACAGGTGAGAGCTGAGTGCAGGGTGGAGATCAAAGGTAGACAAACTACTCCAGAAGGAGCACAGTGTGTCTCCCACCTCCCCCAACCTCCCTTATTAACTATGGTTTGTTTAAAATAGGCCAAATTCAAACCATGAATTATGAAGTGAGCTTGTCAATCAAAACTGGAAGTGAAAGCTTCTGATCTTTTTGTTGCTCTGCTAGAGGAGAGCGAAGAGCAAATGAGTCCAAGACTCACAGCAGTTTGTATAATAAACCATGGTTTGTCATGATGTGTGAATAAAGCCAGATCCTATAGCAATGTGGGAAACTTTCTTTCTTAATCTGTCCAACTAATCCAACTCCCATCTCTTGCAGGGGCTCAATTAGTGCCAGCACCTTCTGTCAAGAGTTTGGGTGTAACCTTTGACACCGCCCTTTCTATGGAGGCACAGGTTGCAGCCACGGCAAAGATGGCATTTTCCCATCTGTGCCGTATTAAGCAGTTGGTCCCTTATTTCTCTCGCCCTGATCTGGCCACAGTCATCCATGCGACAGTCACCTCCAGGCTTGATTATTGTAACTCACTCTACGTGGGACTGCCCTTGAAGCTGACCCAGAAACTCCAGCGGGTGCAGAATGCTGCGGCGTGGCTCCTTATGGGGTCCTTGCCATGGGATCACATTCATCCAGTACTTTACCAGCTGCACTGGCTCCCGGTGGAGTACAGGGTCAGGTTTAGGGGACTGGTTTTGATCTTTAAAGCCCTATGCAGCCTAGGACCATCATACCTCTCCTGGTATGTCCCGCAGAGGACCTTAAGGTCCATAAAAAACACTTTGGAGGTCCTGAGCCTCAAGGAGGTTAGATTGGTCTCAACTAGCGCCAGGGCCTTTTCAGCACTGGCCCCGACTTGGTGGAACACTGTCACAAGAGACCAGGGCCCTGTGGGATTTGACATCTTTCCGCAGGGCCTGCAAGATGGAGCTGTTCCGCCTGGCCTTCGGCTTAGACTCACTCTGACACCTTATATGGGATTTGGTATATAAATTTTCCTTTGGCTTTTTTGGTGGCCCATGTAGGACCAGCACGGATAGCTGTCTCGGGTGAATACCTGGTGTTTCCTCCCTTTATGGTCTTGATTTAGGGGCTACTACTAAAATGAGGCTGCATTTTAAGCCTATTTTAATTGTTTTTTTCTATTACGTTTTATTGTGATTTATATTTGGTGTTAGCCGCCCTGAGCCGGGGAGGACGGAATATAAATAAAAAATTGTTGTTGTTATTATTATTAATCTGATCCTTTCTTTGGAAAATTGGAGTGGGCCGCTTATCATTTTTGGAAGCTGAGCTGCAGGAGGGCTTTCATGATACAGGTGAACCACTTCCTCTGTTTTCAAACTTTTTTTTTAGACAAAACACCATCCCTGCATAAAAGGGCATATTAGGAGGTCTGAGGAAACCCAAAGGTTTTGCAGAAGGACAACAAATATTTAGGAAAAAGCCAAAGGTGAGAAACCTCCAAAATACCAAAAAAACCAGAACACATTCAGTGGCTATGGGATGCTGACCGGAGGGCGGGGGAATGGAAAACCAGCAGAAGTGAAATGGAATGGAGTTTCATGAAGGCAGGTATGGTTGGCTGCTGCTTAGCACATGTGAGTGACTCAACCGGAACAGGAGGGGTTTGCTTCTGCTTCTCTCTCACCCTCTGGATGGCCTAGTGGGGAAACATGTGGCTTGTGGTGCTGTGCAAAGACAAGAGGAACAAACAAGAGCGAGGCCTCTGCTAGCTACAAGGCTGGATACAATGGCACTGCTGAGTTAATGACAGTAAAAGCCACTGCCTATGCTGGTTTTTACTTTAGTCTCAGCAGCATGGAGAATTAAGCCCACTGGGCCTAATCAAGGCTGTTTCACCACCCAAAGGGAAAGCACAGGAGACAAAGAGAGGTCATGCTGAGGCTGCTCCTGTCTTGGACCACCTTTCCTTGTGGAAACTGCAGCAAGGACCATGGGGCTCACTGAGCCTCCTCTGGGTGGCTGTGTCACTCAAAGGAAGAGAGCAGGTAAGAAGCCTTGCAGGACCAGCTGGCACCTGTCTGGCTTGCTCAGTGTCTCTAAATGAGTGACAGGGAGCCTGTGGTGTTGCAGATATCAGTGGGGAGTCCAATTCCCATGAGCCTCAGGCTGCATGGCTAATGGTGAGGAAAGATAGAACAGCTTGTGTGACAGCAGCTGCAGGTGGCTGTATCACTGGCTGAGCAGCCGGCATGGGTAGCACATGCAGGTACTGGGAAATTCCCATTAAGGATTCCCTTATTCAGGTTGAAAACTGCAGTGTCTGAGCTGCTGGTAATAAACGAGGCTGCCCAATACCAGGTATGTTAGGCTGGCCAGCAGCAGAAGCAAGCAAGGTAATAGCTAGAGGGGATGCTGTAAAACCAGAAAATTCATGGGTGGAAGATGATGTCATGTCTACAAGGCCCCTTGCACTTGGGATGCAGTATCCTCCTCTGAAAGGAGTCCTACTTGTCCATGTAGGAGGCCCCTTGAAAGGACATCAGGAAGCTCTCCCATATAATGTGCCCTCTGCAATGCTGGAAAAGATTTCAACAGGCAAGGACACACTTGTGTGCTGTGGTAGCAGAAACAGCCAAAGAATGTCCAGAGCTGGGTGCAGAGCTCTTAACTGCCATTTTGTCTTCCGCTCCCCCATCGCCCCCAAGTCCAAGTGGGGCTCCATTGGTACAGCAATGCCTGGCAGTGCGGTTTGGGGGCACTTCCTGATGATTTCCCTGTAGTGTGGAGTTGAAAGAAAAAAACTCTGGCTGCTCCCTGCCTGACATGAAAGGGGGAAGGCTTGGGCTGCAAGCACTGATGAAAGAAGGCATGAGTCCCAGACAAATAAGTACCGAGACAAGGGAGAGAAAACAGGGCTAAATAAGGGAAATAAGTGTTTTTTGTTTTTTAAAGTTAGGAAAAACAACACAGGGAGCAAGCAAATGGAAAAGCGACGCACATACGAAAACAGAATCGGAGGCAAAAAACAGCCGTTGAAAAATTGGTCAAAAGGTCACAGAATTGGTTGCGGGGACGGACCAAAATGCAATCACAAGCCTGAGCGGAATGACAGGAGGGTCTCTCTCTCTCTCTCTCACATACACGTTCTCTCTCACACACACACATGCGCACAGAGGCGTCTGTCCCAGGTGAAGACAGGAAACCGGCTGAGCTGACAAAGACTCGACTGCGCTTCCCGCCTTTGGGCACCAGGTGGCGCTACAACCCGCCGTGTCCCAAGTTTATTCAATCTCCGGAGGAACCTAATCAGCCGGCGCCGCGCCGGAGACGTTAACAGGGCTCAGCAAGAACCTCCTCGTCGTGGTCCTCCCTCAGAAGTCGGGGCTGACGGCTTCCGAATGGGCTCTGCTAAACTATTCGGCACAACTATTCGACCGAAGCCCGAAGGAAAGAACTTGAGGAGAGGAGGAGAAACGGGAGGAACGCGATCCCGCGAGAACACGGTAATCTCGGGGCGGGAGGCGCGCGTGCTCCGTCTCCTAGCAACGGAGCCCCGGCGCTTCTCCGAGGAGACATGGAGTATTGCGGGAACCGGGCTGCGGGCGAGCAGCAGCAGCAGCCGCAGCCGCAGCGGCGGTTCACCATTACTGATCTCAAACACCAGGCTGCGGAGTATTACCGCAGCAACGAAGTGCCGCAGCGGCTGGAGGAGGTGCTCAACGCCATGTTCTACCAGCGCCCAGAGGACTTCTACGGGCACCTGGTAAGCCGGACCCCTGTGTAACGGCACCCCCACTTGCGCATGCGCCTTTGGCCCAAACCGGAGGATGGTGCGATGTGTGCCTGGTGCGCACGCGCACCGGGAGTAGGGGGGGCGGCGGGAGACGCCTTAGGTGTGGGACCGGCTTTGTGGGAGTGCAGAACTCCCAGTGACCTTAATGCAGGTCGTGTGTTCCTGGTGTGTGCATCTGCATGGTAGTATTTTGGCCCTTTACAGGGCGAGCTTCTCCATGATATTTCCGAGGCAAGTCCCACTGAGCTCCTGTGTGTCCCCATTCAATCCAACGAGAGTTACTCCTAGCTAAGTGGGTATATAGTGGCTGCAAATTTACTGCTTAAGTAAACAACAACCGAGAGCCTTGACAGCACCTTAAACACCAAAATATTTATTTTATGGGTTGAAATCTGCATCATCATATGTGAAGAGTGCACTCTGGTACATGAAAACCCGTGCCATAATAAATTTGTTTGCAGAGCAATCCTGTGCAGGTCAACATAGAAGTAAATTGGGCAGGGAATGGTTAGCATATGCTAACATTGCTACATATCAGTATAATTTGTACTGTCATCTGCATTATGATGAGCAAGGCACACTTAGGAGGAAGAAGGGTTCTCATCCTGTACAATTTGCAAGTCTATTGTAAAGAGGACTTTCATGAGATTCATGCCACATGACTGTATACTGGTAGGTTGGCAGAGTATACTTACATGCTGTATAATCTTATGAATTTCCTCTGAACAATATACTGTAGCATATACAGTAAATGTCATGATCTGCCTTTGTTTCCCATTGGTAAAATGGTAATCTTATGACATAATCTCAGTGTTAATTCGGATAGTAATAAAACAAGGGTTATAATGCACTAAGCCCACTAGAAAATGTGATTTAAATGATTGGTGATAAAAGAGGGAATTAGAAAATGCGAACATACTTTTTATGATACCATATGTCATCGGAAGCAGAAATAAGTATTATATGTCATAGCAAGCTCACATTTGGGCAGGCTACCAAGACCTGCCAAAATTTGTGGACCTCTACCTCTGAAATTCAGCCATCAGTACAAAACATCATAGTGCCTTTTGGAGTGCTTCCTGATCGATCATTTCTCCTGATTGCCAGGCAGCATGCCCTATACTAGCGTGTGTCAGGGAAAATGCTGGTCCCTGTATTAATTCCTGCTAGTCCAAAGGGCAGGCTAGGATCCTGCAGAATCAATGTCAGTGGCACAATCCAAGAATTTATTGTGATCCATCCTTGACTTCATCGCAGATGAACTGGTATCATTACAGTTTACCATACTCCAGAAGTTTTAGTGAAAGCCAAGAGGGTACCATTAGGATTTTAAAAAGAAAGGAGATAATATTGTTGGTAATAGGTATGATCCCAAGCCATGGGTGCAGGAACTACTAAATGAGCAGTCTGATAAATGTCAGGGGAAAGTTTCACTGCAGACGACTGTGTACTAGGAGAATAGAAATCTCATTTTAAATATATGGGAAATAATTGCTATAATTGTTATCTTCCAGGCAAACTACTTCTCTGAATTATCAAAGCCTCCAGTGATAACCAAATTAGTTGGGAAAAAGGTGCTTGATGGGATTGGTCGGCCAACGTTAGAAGTGGAAGTGTCATGCCGAGTTAGGAACTGTGTCAAGGTATGAACTGTTATGTGCTTAATTCTCTATTTGATCCAGAGATATCTGACTGCCAGACTGAGGGCTGTCTGCAAATAACATTGTCCGTGAGCTTATATGGACACTGGTCAACCCCTGCCAATTTTTGTCTCAATATGATGAAACCAAAAGGCCCAAAGTAGGTTTGATGTTAAAATGTGTCAAGGCATTTAACATATCTAGGTGTTTTCCCCCTTAACTAGCTGCTGTGTGTTATGTGTGTGTCAGGATTGGGACCATGGTGCTTGGAGAAGGGTTTCCAATACTTCTTTTTTTCCTTGATGAAAATCCCCCCTCATGCTATTAATGTGAACAGAATCTAATGAATGTGTCTTGGGCTGGTAGCAATTTTGGTGGAGCGTTTCTTCAGGACTACTGCATGGTAGAAAGTGGTAATGTTTCTTTTGCCTGTGCACCATGATCCTGAGTGTAAAAAAAGTTTAGGGGCAAATTAGACATCATACCCTTTTGAAATTTGGAAGGGTCTTGTCTGCTGTGACTTTTTATAAAATGTCTTCACTAGGGTTGAGGGATAAGGATAAGGATGAGACACCCAACAGTGAAGTCTACACAGGGCTGGCCCAAGGCATTTTGCTGCCTGAGGTGAACCAGAAAATGGCACCCCCCTGGGAATTGTGGTTTGTTAAGAGTGCTGGGTTAGGGCATGGGCAGGGAATATTAGGCTCAGAGACCAAATGCAGCCCTCTAGGCCTTTCTGTTGAGGTCCAGGCCAGTCCTCTTCAGTCCTGCTTTGCATCCTCTTTGAGGTTTTTTTATTTGTTTCTTTTGTTAACTGAAATGTCTTTCTGGATGGAGAGAAGGTACTGTGGTTGTGGGATAGGGCTCATCTCACCCCCCTCAAAACCCACTGCCTCTTTCCATTCTGCTGGCTGACCTCTGTCTTGCCTTTGAACCATGGCTTACTGGAAACCGTGGCTGCTCTCTTGCAAAGCTGGGAGCTTGTCCATCAGGAGGCAGCTGCGCATGCAGCATGCCACTTGAGCAGGACTCTGTGGGTTAGTGGCTTGATAGATTTACGGAAAAGACGATGTTGTGAAATGGGGAGGAGAAGTGCTGTGGTGAAGCAAGGGGGACTAAATGCAGATGGATAACAGGGGTGGGAGGAGAGAGAAACAGGAATGTCGGAAACAAGGGAGGGTGAACTAGAGAAGGAAAGAGTAGGGAAGGAGAGGGAAAGTAAAGAAGCCAGAAAACAAGTATGATCTGGAGAATGAAAGTGCGGGGGTAGGGTGGGAGAATTTTCTGCATTCCTGAAGAAATTGCTCCATGGAGGAAGCAGGGAGGTGTGGCCTGTACCTAGATGCAAATTTGCCACCCCTCACAGAGTGCCACTTGAGATCATGGGAGGGGTAGCCCCAAGTTTACACTTCCATGAGTACATATCTCTCACTTGGGTAACAGAAATGGCATGAGTGGAAGGACAGAAGACACCCAGTGTTTCTGTGTATTTGCTCTTCAAAAATGTATATTAAGGTGTATTCAATATTAAGGTATATTCAATAGAGAATCAAAGGATAAATAACTGTTAGATGGATTTGTAGCTGGTTGATTGACCGAACCCAAAGAGTACTCATTAATGGTTCCTCGTCACCCTGGAAAAAAGTGACAAGTGGGGTGCCGCAGGGTTCTGTCTTGGGCCCGTTGTTGTTCAGCGTCCTTATAAACAACTGATGAAGAAATTGGGTGGGGGGAAGAATCATAGGCATAGCCAAGGGGGGGCAGCTGCCCCCTATAATCCTCAAAAATTATTGAAAAGCATAAAAAAATACTTAATTAACTGCCCCCTAACAAAAGCTTGCCCCCTGTAATGCCCTCTTTTAGGGGGAATTTTAGCCGTGATCTCACCAAAAAAGCTCAACAACTTTTTGGGACCCCCATAACAAAAAACGTGGCTACGCCCATGAGGGGGATGCTAATCAAGTCTGCAGATGACACCAAACCGGGAGGGGTAGCTAATGCCACAGAAGACAGAATCAGGATTCAAAATGACTTTAACAGATTGGAGAACTGGGTCTAAACTAACAAAATGAATTTTAGTAGGGACAAATGTAAGGTTCTGCACTTAGCCAGAAAGAACCAATGCACAAATATAAGATGGGGGACACTTGGCTTACTAGTAGTACATGTGAAAAGGATCTTGGGGTCTTAGTGGACCACCACCAATAGTGTGATGCAGCAATAGAAGTATAGTATCCAGATCAAGGGAAGTAATAGTACTATTCTCTTCTGCCTTGGTCACACCACACCTAGAATTCTGGGCACCACAAGGGATATTGACAAGCTGGAACATGTGTAGAGGAAGGTAACTAATATGATCAAGTGCCTGGAAACCAAGCCTTATGAGGAATGGTTGAAGGAGCTGGGTATGTTTAGCTGGAAAAGAGGAGAGTGAGAGAAGATATGATAGCCATCTTCAAATATCTAAAGAGCTGTCACATGGAAGATAGAGCAAGCTTGTTTTCTCATGCTCTGGATTGTAGGACTCGAACCAATGGCTTCAAATTACAATAAAGGAGATTCCACCTTAACATCAGGAAGAGCTGTTTGACAGTAGGAGCTGTTTGACAGTGGAGCGGTCTCCCTTGGGAGGTTGTGAACTCTCCTTCATTGGAGGTTTCTAAGCAGAGGTTGGATGTCTATGGATGCTTTAGTTGAGATTCCTGTATTGCAGGGGGTTGGACTAGATGACCATTGGGGTCCCTTCCAACTTTACGATTTTCTAATAATATAACCTAGAGGCATTTGCATTATTCAGAAGTTCATATAAACAGTGTAGTTTACATGGTCAAAGAAGCATATGGACTAAACAAAATTGAAATGAAAGGAGCTGTGAAGAATTCTACTCTAGCAATAAAATTCTTTTAAATACCTTTCAAAAGATTTGACATGGAGTTTATAACATTCGACAGTGAAAGTGATAACCCTCTCCATACATCAAAAATAAAGCTTAAATAAACCTTTAGCACAAAATGATTTCAATGTAGTGTTTATTATGTGAAATTTCAATGATGAATCTATTTTTAAATACTGTTCTGCAGAGGATTTGTTCCAGCATGATCTCTTCTCATGCTGAAATTCTTGAAAATGCTTCACCAGAAGCAATTGATGCTGATGAAAGGGAAAGAGAGGAATCTATAAAGATAGCAATTGAATGGATAAATGAATCACTGAATGAAATGTTCATAGGCCTTCAACCTACTGACCAGCATAAAGCTGATGAACTTCTAGGGTAAGTTTCACATATTTATTCTGCATGTTATATAGCAATTCATTTCTTTTGAAAATCCATTATGTTGCACTTACAAGACTGTAATTCAGGCTGCAATTCTATACTTGAGAGTAAGCCCTTTTGGACTCAGTGGGACTTACTTTTGAGCAGACTTGTATTGGATTGTACTTGTGCTTACCAGCATGTGGCATACTTGAGGATTTGAAATGGCTGTGCTTCAACCATAACAGTCTGGTGGTCTGGAGGCAGATTATGATTGAGTTTAAGCTTAGTCTGTAAATAAAATTATCATCTACCTTGGAGGATACCAGCCTGGAACCCATGAAAAACTTTACTGTGTCAGAGCCTGCTGCCATTTTATTTTAAATAAAAAAGTAAGTCTCTAAGCCCTCCTAGAAAGTTAAGCAAAATGTGCAGGTACCCTTCTAAGCAATTTTAGTGAAATGATCACTCATGGGCTACAACCACTGATAGGTAGGAGTAAAATTAGAGCTGTGATAGATGAGTTGCTTGGACACCAGGCAATGGGAATACCTTGGGTCCGAAAGAGTTGCTGTTTCCCTTTCATGTACTTTATCTGCTTCTGCCTTATTTTCTAGTAGTCCTTAGCATCTCCATAGTTTGCCCTTCCTTTTTACCTAGCAACCAGGAAACATCTTTCCCGTGGTGGGTTTCTCTGAGTTCATGTACTCCCTAGAAGTTATTTTCTGCAAATATAACTACACAGTAAGTGCAAGTGGGGAGGTTAAAGACCCCCCCTGGCAAATACAAAATACCTCTCTAATTTTGTGTTACGTGTTTTATCAGAAATGTATTACTATTTATAGAAGTGAAGGTAACAAATTTCAGTGTACCCTGACTTGCGTGTGTCAAGAAGTTTCTTGAAGTACTAAAGCAACCAGCGGTTACTGCGCTTCCTTTTATTACAGTGAATATTTTGCAAAGAAAGCAGAAGCAGATGAAGAAAGAAGGGAAGCTGAAAAGGAGAAAGAGAAAGAAATCCAGGAAGCAGAGGCTTCTGGTGCTTCAGCTGCTCCAGCTCCTTCTGGGAAAAAAAAGCCAAACAAAGCAGGTTATAGAATAGACCTTGTATCTATAAAGTAGATAGCATCCCGTTCCATTTAGCAAATGGGTATCATGGCTCTCAGGCTTGTATCCAATGAAGTTGTCCCGTTCTTACAACTTCTGGTTGTATAATGGAACTTCCCCTCCGTCTTCTCTTCCTACATGCCCCTTGCACACCCACCCAAATCTTTCTCTGGAGGGTTGGCGGAACTCCCAGAACAGATTTGGGAGGCCACCTGGGGAGGAGAGCATGGTGAAGTTCTATTCTGCAAGTAAGAGTCCTTTCTGGGATAAGGACCCACATTTACTTTCTTACCTAAGCTTGTGGAAGGGAAGGGTAGTTCAAAGCATGCTTCTGCTATCACATTTTTATGAAATGTTATAGAAATGTTATCAATGTTGCATTTTTATTGTTTTTGAGTAAGCCACTTATTATTATAGGAAGGGGTATAAAATGTTATACATAAATAAATAAATAAATGAAACTTTTGCACATAACCCGTTATGCTTTCCTGGATTCTCCACCCTTCAACATATCCCCATATCACTCTGCATACTGGACTTAATGATCCCAAGTAAAGTCATGGCAGTTGTAGATTGAGGTGTGGGTGGGTGGCTTGCTTACCTTTGTTGCTATGTGATGCTTCAAAATGGGAATCACACAGGCAAAACAAAAGAAAAAGATTGGGAAACACTTGATCTGGATACCTAGCTCTCTTTTCTTGGGCAATGCCTTATCTGAGTATCAGACTGCATTATTTGTCTTGACATGTGAATATGCACTCCATTGTCTCATGTTGATTTGTTCATTTTATTAGGAATCAGTTTAATAGAGGGACATGGAACAGCACACCTGCTGTGAAGTTTATGTTTGTTTAATGGGATCTGGCAGGGCAGGAAAACAGCACAGTGGAAGGGGGCTAGGGTGTCTCCTAGCCACACCCTTTGGCTTTAAATTGAACTGCTAGCTGATCTAGTTGCCAGCCAGGGCCATGCCACTTGTTATCTGTAACGTTCAGTAACGTTCCTCTAATGGAAACAACATCCAGATCATACTGACCCTTGAGAGCAAGAGTCTTAAGGATGCAACACCCATTGACTGTTTAACTCGAGGGAAATGTGTCGAATGTTTCTCCTCTTATTGGCTTTTTGCATAATTGCAGTGACCTGTTCATGATAAGAAGAAAGTGTTCTTATTCGTATACTCTTTAACATTTCGTATCTTTCACGATTCTCGCAGTGCTTTTTTGTCTGACAGTACTCACCAGTATGGAGTACCATCACCCCTTTTGTAGCAGCTCATGACAGCCATTTTATGCCAGCATCCATGGCATTTTTATGAAGATTATGAGTACTGGCACCCCATTTTGTACCAAAAACACTGCTCAGAGTTAAATTTGCTTAAAAGTAGTACTGTAGCAGAAGTTTGTATTGCTGCATTTGCCTCACTGATAATTTTAATTGCCGTTCTTGATTTCTTAGCAAATATAACAAAATCATTTTTACTTTTCTGGGAGAAAATATTTAATTACTGGAATTTCAGTAGTCTCAATAGAAGCCGTTATAGAGAAGTTGAACTTCTGAAGAGTAGAATTTGTCATTTTATGGAGAATAAAGGTGATTTTTGAGAAACTTTGGAGAACAGCCTGTTGCTTCATGCCTGACACCTCACTCATAATGCACTCATTGCTGTGCATTCCCGACCTAAGGAAGATCAAATATATGATGTGCTTCAAACACTTAAGTTGGGTGTCTGCATAGAGTTCCATAGCTGCACTTGACAGCTTTCATGTTCTGCTGTTCGAAAGTTCTGTTAAGTGCTTGGATTAAAAGGTCAGGTTTTCAAAGGCACTCAGCACCCACAACTAGTGCTGGATTTTCAAAAGATGCCAGCTCCTATTTTAGAGTCAAAGCAAGCCATTGGATGATAGGAATTTGAGGACTTGAGGACATAAATGTCACAGTGGGAGTTTATGGTTGCTAAGCTCTGTGCTTCAGAAATCCAGCCATTATTAAGGTGTCCAAGTGAGAGCCAAGTAATTTTCAAAATCTTCTCTGGATTCTTAAGTTTTGTGCATATAAAACGCTCTTTGGAAAGTCTGGATCTAAGGGTGCTGGTAGATGAAGGGCATAATAATAAGCAATGGAAGAGAAAAGGAAATAAAAGAGAAGGGTTCTATCCGAGACTGAAACAAGCCTTCATTGCAGAGGTCAAAATATCAGATTATTATGTCTAGGAACAGATGTGATTTAAGCCTAAAGGTTAGGTGTGACAGCATGAGTTATAGCCTGCATCATGAGAGGGAAAGAAGGCAAGCCAACCAGCCAAACCAACCCCACCTTCCTCTCACCATTGCCACTGTGGATGACGTTTATTCTTCTCTGACTTCTCTGACTCCCTGACTAAACAACAGCTTCAACTTTCTGTTGGACCACTTTAAGCGGTCCAGCTCCTGTCTATATTGGGAGGAGTGGTATTTAATTAATTGGTTTATAAACTGCTCCTATATTCAGTAGTGTGGAAATGGTGTAGAGAAATAAATATAAAGCAGATAAAAAAACATAAATTTTATTTATTGAAAACTGCAGACATATACTAATTTGGGACGGGCTGGGCGAAAAGTTTTTGACATGACAACATGGAGGCTTGTTTCCCATCTGTGGAAGATGAATTCCAGACAACTGGTGCCACAGTTCTCAGAGCATGTGCCTAAGTCACAGCATGGTTTACATGCTTTGCTATAAACACCAACAGATCTCTATTCCTAGATCTAAGTGACCAGCATGGGATGTAGGGGGGAGAGGTGGTTTCTTAGATGCAGAACTGCACTGGCAATTACCGTTTCCACAGCTGTTGTATTCTGGGTCAAAGCACGTGTCTGCGGAGCACACATAAGCCTGCCCTGTTCTGCCCCCATTCCTCCCTCTTCTGGGTGCAAAAGACCTGTGCGTCGGCAGTTGAGTGCTAATTGGACATGCGTAAATGGTCGCCACCTGTATAGGGATTCTTATACCAGTAGCAAGGTCGTGAATCTAGCTTGGTAGCAAATTGGCAGGGGTGAGTTGAATAACAAGGTCTCAGACCAAATTCCCTGGTCCCGAATAAGCTATGCTTTTATTAAAGGTATCAAGTTAAACACTTTTGGGGGAAATTATTTTAGAAAAAAAGTTAATTTTACAGTTTAATTCAAGCCCCTTTTCTTTCTTGCAACTCTTCAACTTTTATATGGAATATTTTAACTACCCCCTCCCATTGAGGACAAGAGTCTTGGTTAGGTTTCTGTTTCTCCTTAATTACCAGGTTCCCGTGCAAAACTTCCCGAACTAGTATCCCTTGCATGTTTCACCTTCCTGCAATTTTTTGAACCCTATATACATGAGTTTTCAACATAAAGGGCAATCATTTTACAGCCTAGTTACAAACAAAATGCTTCAAAGTCCTGTTCCATCACAACAGGAGATTAGTGTTAGAAAGTTCGTTAGAAGAAGTGTCTTAATATAAGGGGTTAAGATGGCAGTCCTCAAAACACCTATCTCTGGAGCAGTGTCTTTGATGCCAATAGAATTGATCTAGAATAAGAAGTCCAGATTCTTTGTTTTAATTGACTTCATAGCCATATTTTACTTAACCCTATGATGTTGATATTGTCAATAGAAAACTATAAACATGTTTTTGTTTTCTCAGCAAAGAAGATGTCTGTGCTGGAGAAGCCAATCCCTCCTGCAGAACCCACAGAACCTGTAGTTATGGGTAGCATGGCTATTGGGTGTACATCTCTTGCTTTTGCAAAGACTGCTGCGACTCTTCGTGACATGCCTTTGTACTTACATATCGCTTTGCTGAAACACGATCAGGTACTTGTCTGGATTTTAGCATCCAGAGTTCTCACTCAAGATAGGAATAAGAAGTAATCCAGACATACGTGCAGCCTAAGTTCTGCGGAACCTTTTGCTCAATGTTGATGTGGTTTGTATCGCAACCATATTCTAGTACATTTATTATACAAGTATGGCTTAGCTCTGTGCTCTTTCTTCCACCAGAATCCATAGTAATGGCCATAATGAATCTGGCAGATATCTCTGTGCTAGAGCCAGGGTTTAGTCATCACCTGGTGTATTGCTGTGCAAATTTGTGCCCTTGGTCACTAACATGCAAGTGTCATGTTTTGTGACATAGCAATTAATTCCTTTTCTTTTAATTCTAAAGGCGTCCAGGTAGTCGATGCTGCCCCATGCTTAGTGTGCTCTTACTTAATTTAATGGGGGGGGGGTGCTGTTGACCAGCAAGTAAGCCCCCCAGGGAACTGCATGGGATGGGATGGCATGTAAATGCCGAAATTAAGTAAATAAATAATATGGAGCAATCAAGCTGCATCTACAGTTCCAGCAGTCCATAGTATTTGGGGGCATATGTAATCATTTTTCTGTTCCGGATAATTTTCAAAGTGAAGCCTAAAATAGTTCCCACATGACTTTTTCCACTTTAGGAATCGCCTAAAGAACTGGCTTTGCCACTTCCAATGGCAACAGTTTTGAGTTGTGGAAAATCATCACCTGGAAAACTGAATCTATTGAAAGAAGTGATGGTTATACCTCCACACTGGTTACCAGTTAAACAGGTACCATGTGCAACTGTTTTCCCTTTTGTTTATAATAAAACACAATATTAAAAAGCACTTGGCCATATTTTAATCAACCTGTAAGAAGTTAATTGCTTTTTTATGGCATAATCCAACTTCCCGTTCTCTACACTTATACCTGCTGTCTTCAATTGGAGTAAGAGTGAACAGGGTGTAGGATTGAAGCCTTACTGCCTCACTACTTGTTACAATCGTGGCATAATTTCTGATGATGTGGGGTTACACATATTAAATACCAGGCATTAGGTGAGAAGAGGGCATTGTCCTCAGGAATAAAGTATGTGGTTTTAAGTCTACTCTCTCCAGTTGTGATAAAAGTGAAAATCATCCACTCCCCGAGCTTCCCCCGACCCCAGCCCCCAGAACAGGCTGCTATCCGCAGCAGCCTTGCCCGGAGGCCCGGCGGCAAGCTCCCGCCCGGGCTCGCAAGGCTTGCGGACACCTGTGCGAAGCATGGGCGCCCTCCGGAGGGCGCCCCGTGCTTCGGGCTGCAGGCTGCCGCCCGCAAGCTTTGCGAGCCCACGGGAACTCCCGCCAGGCTTGCAAGGCTTGCGGATAGCTTCCTGAAGCCTGGAGAGCGAGAGGGGTCGGTGCGCACTGACGCCTCTCACTCTCCAGGCTTCAGCGAAAGCCTGCCTTCGCCCCATAGGACGCCATAGGACTACACATTTCCCCATTCATTTTTGGAGGGGAAAAAGTGCGTCCTATAGGGCGAAAAATACGGTAGTTTGTCTCTAAGGTGCTACTGGACAAATACTTTTTTATTTATTTTGACTGCATCAGACCAACACGGTTACCTCACTTAATCTAAAACATTTCTGAGTTGGTTATAAGTATATGGAGGAAACATGCATATGGAACTGTGTAATAAATGGCTGTGCTTTTAATGCACAAGACCCATTCATTTACATCTGAGAAGTTGCCCGTGGATGTGTCTCTTGTGAGTAATATTGACAATGGAAAGATATAGCAGTGTTCTGTGTTATAGTAGGCATTTCATTTTCACAAAATGAGACATCACATTCATATAGAATGAATGAGTTATTCTCCTGAAAGGTCATTATTATGATGACTCCAAATACCTTGAAGATAAGTTTTAAAATTTCACTTTCATAGATTAATGTTTTTGTCAAATCACCTTCCCAGGCAACTTTTGTTCAATCCCACCTCACTCCTCTCAGATTAAGGATGTATAATGGTACACTCATGGATAGAACAACTGAGAGCAATGAAGTGGGTGAGATGGGAAAGAGATTTAACTAGATATGGTAATCTTCTTTTGAATCAGGTGGGAATTGGCAGAGATCCCCAATTACCAGTTCCTAAATGGGGAAAAAATGGTTAAAGCAAATGTTTCATACCATTTCACATCATGTGTGTAAACAAAATTAACTCAGGTATAATTGCATGTTGGCACAGCTGATGATAATCTTGTATCCTCTTCAAAATCAAGGCACAACTCAAGGTCTTGTGAACCACACTGAGATCTTTTGATGAAGGCTGGTATATAAATCTAATTAATAATAATAATAATAATAATAATAATGTGAAAGACAAGACCATTTTTTCAAGGACATGGAGCTTGAATGATAATACCTGAATAAAGCAGTATTATTTCAGAAGTTAGTAGGTGCCTGGCTAGTACTTTTCGCTGGTTGTAGTCCTGATACCCTGCCTACCATGCAAGGTGTTCTTTATGCTCATACTTGCTTTCCCTCCTGCTAATACCTGGATTTACCTACTTGGCAGGATTTAAGATACTCTTAATCCACTCAGAACATTGCCACTGGTGCTGCGGTTTCTCCAAAACTTCTCATTCAACTTGGAACATGTCTATTAAAGTGAATATCTGCAGTTTAATGAGCATACTAGTAACTGATCAGAAGGGCGGCGGTTCGAATCCCTGCGATGGAGTGAGCTCCCGTTGCTCGGTCCCTGTTCCTGCCAACCTAGCAGTTCGAAAGCACGTCAAAGTGCAAGTAGATAAATAGGTACCACTCCGGCGGGAAGGTAAACGGCGTTTCCATGCGCTGCTCTGGTTCACCAGAAGCGGCTTAGTTATGCGGGCCATGTGACCTGGAAGCTGTACGCCGGCTCCCTTGGCCATTAAAGCGAGATGAGCGCCGCAACCCCAGGGTTGGTCACGACTGGACCTAACAGTCAGGGGTCCCTTTACCTTTACCTAGTAACTTTTGGAAAAGGTCACTTGTTTTCAGAATGTAATTGTTGTGAGCCTGGCTACTTTGGGACGGATGGCAGTTGCTGTCAGAGGAAGAGGAGAGTGCAAGCATGTCAACAGCATGGAGTGGACCAAGGGGCGTGATGCCGCGAGCTCCATTGCCCCTGGCTCCCTGTCAAGCCCGTACAAACAGGGAAGGAATTCCCTAGCAATGGGGGAAGGCATCAACCAGTCAGGAGGGGCGGTTGGACAGCTGGAGGAGTCAGAGGGTCTGACCTCTCACAGAGAACTCAGTGCTGCCTGCACCACTGGGAACAGGCCCATGCCCCATTTGGAGAAGTGTGTGCCACCAGTCTCATTGGGAGAGAGGCTTGTGTCGCAAGTGACCATGTCTCACTTTTAGAAACTGGTAGAGGGCTGTGCCCCCCCTTTTAAAGACTTCTTAGCTTTCATTCACTCATGAACTTTTAGGACTGCCTTTGGTGATCTGCAGCTGTAGTGTGGCCTAAATTGCTGTAAGCCTTGAATAAAGCTTACTTACACACATACTGTCACTGTGTTTGGGATGGGAGCCAGGGCAATTACTTTTAATAGGAAAAAAAATTGTGGTTCTGTGGGATTTTTTTATTTTTATTTTGCAGGGTGTAGAAAGATGTGTGGATATTCAGAGAGAAGTAATGAAGTTGCTGAGTCAAACTACTAACATGGTAAGATAAGTTATAAATTAATCATTTTTGTATTTTCAGGAGTGTGTGTGTGTTTATGTATATGTTTATGTGTATGTTTGTGTGCATATATACCTTGCTTTACAGAAGGTATACATAAGTCCAGTCTGTTGCCCTGGTTGACAAGTTAACTTTTCAAGTAAAAGCCACCAGAAGTAAATCAAACCCATTATCTTTTTATACAGTATGGCAATCATTTATTTCATTTATGCACCAGGAAGACCAAACAAGAAAGCCACCTCAAACTCATGGAGAGACCCATTTAATTAGGGACTCAAGTTACTATTGTGTCTGTTTTTCACATTTCTATGCAGGTGCCAGGTTGTCTATTAATTTTTTTTCAATAGAATGAATGATTAGCTGCTTTTGCATTGGCTTACGGTTCACGTGTATTTATTGACACATATCTGTTACTTGCTTTGACAAATACAACCTCTCCAGATGCCCTTAGGATGTGGTGTACTATTATATATGTCATTTATATTTCATGTGCCTAAATTCTGAAAAAAGTCATTAATGTGCTTCATTTTGTTTGCTGCAAATAATCTGTTCAAAATCAGGGAGGTTTATTCATAGTGATGTTTTGGATATCTGTTGTCAGTTTGCAATAAATACATTCTGTTTCAAACTCTGTGTTCTGTACTATACCCAACCTTTATCTTGGATAGTATCTTTGAAGCTATTACACTATTTAAAAGATGGTAAATTTTTTGGTTACTATTTTTCCTGAATATATAATGTTGGTGTTTCTAAACAATTTTTTTAAACCTTTGTAACAGCCTAGTTCTGTGGGAGAAGGTAAAAAGACTTCACGGGATGCTGCAAAAAAAGCTCCGGTAAGAAAAAATAACAATACAGTTTTCAACTTGAGGAGTGGATTATTGCAGAAAACAGTTGTTAGAATCATAAGGTGATAGGTTTATTAGCAAGTGTGATGGCCCTTGATGTATTGAGACTTGTGTACCATTATTTGTTGGGAGGGATTTATATTATACTATATTGTGAATAGAACAGAAGATTGCTTTCCATCAATCAGCCTTTCTGACATAATTATATCAACCATTAGAAGCTCAGGTTTGTAGGAATTCCTACTGCACTTCACACTGATTGAAGAAGGAAATGGAGGCACACACTGTCTCTTAAACCTGGAACCAATGTTACTCCTGTGATGATGGCAGCATAGTGCTCAAATAAGTCATGCTGGTTTTGTCTCTAGATCCTGTTACTTGGATCTGTATCAGTCCACAGGTTGCGATTTCCTAGGTATTCTAGTGACTCAAAATGTGGTGCATCCACTGCCTATGAGCTAGGTTCAGTCATGTGTTCAAAAGCAGAATATGAAACCATCCAGTACCGGTAAGAGTTACTTATTATTGATAGCCAAATTGGAAGCCCAATTTGGATAGGAATGATTTTTTAAAAATTATTTCTCATAAGAGCATTCCTAAAACAACCAATTCAATAAAAATATCATAGTGATGCACACTACAATAATTAAAACATCATAAAATTATAAAAAGCATAAAATGTAGAACATGTTTATTGTATTTTATTAATTAGACTGGGAGTTAGCAATGCCCCTGTGAGGATGTATGTATGAACAAATATGGGTTATGTAGGTTGGATGGTGAGTAGCGGATGCTCTACAGGATAGGGAGAGAAGAGCAGGTAAATTTAAGTGGAAATTTTTACATGTACAATTGCATTTTAAAAATGTTTTCTCTGTAATACTCTTAGATTTAATGTTTAATAAATGATTACATTAAATGGATGTATTTTTATTTAAACCGTTGCTAAAAACCATTTTTATAAGGTAAGAGAGGAAACTAAATAAATATTGTGTGAAAAATGTAGTGTGAAAAATAAAAATATACAGAATCATATTTAACATTGGTTCTGCTCTGAGTTAGACCCACTGAAATGAATGAACATGACTAACTTAGCACTATTAATTCCAGTGGGTCTACTCTAAGTAGCACTTACTTGCACATAACTGATAATTACATAGACTTTTCTTACAACAACAACAACAACAAAATTTTAATTTATACCCCACCCAGAACCGGGCTCAGGGCAGCTAACACCAATAAAATTACAATAAAACGTAATAGGAAAGAAAACAACAACAACAAAAATAATTAAAATACGGCTTAAAATACAATTTAAAATGCAGCCTCATTTTAGTAGTAGCCCATAAATCAAAACCATAAGGGGAGGGAAACATAAGGGTCAGACTGAGTCCAAACCAAAGGCCAGGTGGAACAGCTCTGCCTTTCAGGCCCTGAGGAAAGGTGTCAAGTCCCGCAGGGCCCTGGTCTCTTGTGACAGAGCATTCCATCAAGTCGGGGCCAGTACTGAAAAGGCCCTGGCCCTAGTTGAGACCAATCTAACCACCTTGCGGCTCGGAACCTCCAGAGTGTTGTTATTTGTGGACCTTAAGGTTCTCCGCGGGGCATACCAGGAGAGGTGGTCCCGTGGGTACGAGGGTCCTAGGCCGCATAGGGCTTTAAAGGTAAAAACCAGCACCTTAAACCTGACCCTGTACTCCACTGGGAGCCAATGCAGCTGGTAAACCACTGGATGAATGTGATCCTGTGGCAAGGACCCCGTAAGGAGCCTTGCCGCGGCATTCTGCACCTGCTGGAGTTTCTGGGTCAGCTTCAAGGGCAGACCCGCGTAGAACTGATTTAGTAGGATTGGGGGATGAGACAAATAAGCATGCATATAATTGCAGCCTTTTGGGTTGATATGCGTAGGATTTTACAACACCTGGTGTTGGTAGGATTCTGCCAACACCTTCAGTGTTACATTGTTTGCATTCTAGGGCCAAGATGGCTTCTGTTTCTATTGTCATTGGCACAAATTGCCCACTTTTAAATTGACTTCAGTGGAAGAGTTTGGCACATGGTTAAATCTCTCCCACTGAATCAGATTAATTATGCTTCATTTTAAGTGAACCATGTCCATTACTTTTGTTTCATATTTTATTAAACTTCATAGGAATATTGCATCATTTGGAAGCAACAGAGTTGTTTCATCCTGTTTCTTTTGTTTAATTGCCTAAGGACTACAATATATTTCTATTTTCTCCCTTTTCAACTTTGTGGAAGTATGTCAAATCTGAATGTATGAAACAGCATGCTTGGAAATAGTATTGTTATCTCTGTGTGTCCCCTCTGTTCATAGAAACTGGGAACATTAGCCAGGCCATCTGCAAGAAACTGGTTGCTTTCATGTAGATGCTGATAATTTATATACAGTTGATGCACATACAAAATAATAATCCAGTCATAAACTGAATTATAAAATAGCTATACAGGGAGAGAATATCCTATCTGGTTAGGTTGTAGGACAGTATGGTACCTATATAATGCAGCAGGGGATGGGCTTGGGGGTCTTTTTCGGAGATTGGCAGAACACTTCTTGTACATGGCTATATGAAATTAATACCAGTGTTTTTAAATTCATTTACAGTCTCCTGTTCTTAAAAAGATGTCTCACTTAGGCTGCCTGGTAACAGGGTTTGAAAGTCTTGAACAACCTCTGGCTTTGATCCAGTCTGCTTGTACACACCTTTCCTTGGAACTAGGAATAGATGTATACTTGGGAATAAATTGTGCTGCTCATGAACTAATCGACTGTGTAAGCATTAATTTTTTGTATCTTTATTTTCAACATTCTTTTGTCCTTTTCAGTACCTCTCCCTCTCTCCCCAAAAGGGATCTATCAAGGGGGTGGGCTCTGTAAAGGGAAAGAAGTCTATCAACAGATTTCATTCATGCAAAAGACCAGTGGCTCCTTTGCGGCACCTCAATGTTTCTAATTATCGTACTTTATTCCTATCATTATCTAATAAAAAGAAAAGTGAGCACCTTCAACTCTGATAGTGATTTTTACCTTTCAGTATTTTTAATTTTAGTCTAAGGGAAAATATGAAGTGATACTTGGAACGTTCAAGAGCCCTGATGAAATGGTGGATGTGTATGTGGACCTAATTCGTAAATTCCCATCTATTATGACATTAATAGATCCACTGAGGAAAGAGGTAGGAGCTTTTTCTCTCTTTGTTTTGGTATTTTTATCACTGTCCTTGAGGAGAACCCAACAATAAAAGAAACACATAAAACGTGCTTAAACTTTGGGAGGGGTACGTTTTATAGAAAAGAGGAAGTCATAGAGGAAAGAAAATTTCACTGAGCTTCATTCCTCAGCATTGTGGCCCCAATCCAATTAAAGTTAGACACACTTCAGTCCTACTGAAATCAATGTGACAGAATTTTGACTAAGATGACAATCCTGTATCGGGATATGTCTGAGTAGACAAGAATAGGATTTTGTTGTAACTTAAGCTCCATTATAATGCTTAATTCCCATTGATATCAAACTTTAGATGGCTGAGGGCCTGTTTGTATGAAATGTATGAGATGCATGCATCATATTAGTCTCATTTTCAGAGAAGGATTGCAAAATACAGCAGCACAATTAACTAGGACGAGAATATTTGCCACATTTCTGTGTTCAACTATTTGATATTTTAACTCTATATATTGTTGACTTGTGTTTTGTTGTAAACTACCTTAGAAGGATTTGTATCCTGAAAAGAGGGCTATAAGTGACTATAATAAATAAATACATTAAAGTAAAAATCAGTGGCAATGCCATTACCTTGAATTAAGTCTACCTCAGTAGACTTAAGACATTTAATAGATATATGCTTATAGATACAAGTCTCGTTCTCTACCAGCTGAGCTATCCCAGGTCACATGACAACATAGATTGCCATCAGAGCCCAAATGGCCAAAGAATAGGCAAGTAGTTTAGAGCCTCAGAGTTTTAAATTTGTGATACTGATCCTCGATTGGACTGTCAGACAGTCTAGTTGCCAGCTAACTGCTATAAAATAGGATAAATGCTTTCATATCTGAGCAAGACTGAACTCCCCAATATAACTGCCTCCAGTCCCCTCTTAATGCAGGCCATTAAAATCCAGACAAAACTAAGAGGTCTTACAATAGTTCTGGGAAGACAATCAGGCTGTGATTTTGGCAAGTCTCCAAAAGGAGAGAATTCTGTAATTGTGGAGCAGCCATTAAGAAGCGGTACATGCCCATGGCATACAGATTGTATACTGAGAAAATGTTTTGTCAGTCTTTCTCAGAAATCATAGTGGAGACATACGAGAGAGGATGGAAATACATATCTTGCTGCTTTAGAATTACTAGCAAAATATTGGTAAAATATACTAGTTTCCGTTGTAGAGGTATGGATAAGGAAATGTTGGCAGACAAAGCATAATGGATAACATTGATTTCCTTTAGACCTAAATGAGACGGGAAAATTCACTCTATTGATTTTTTTAAAAAAATCAGCCTTCTGTTGCAAACTGCAATAGGAATAAAACTGTTACACATAAATATAAACACATTTACTTTTTTTTAAAAAAAGGATAAAGTGTTGTGAAGTACATTGGGGGAAATGTGAAACAGGAAACATTACATATGGTTAAATATATAACTATTAATTCTGCTTTACTGTCATATAAAAATGCATTGTTTTAAAATAAATTGTTCTCTTTTGTGTTTAAAAATGTAACAAGAACAAATTTAAATATAGGGAAGATGGCAGGGTTTTTTTTTCCTATTAGGAACAAAGATGACTATGGCTTTACCACATTCATCTGTTTACTTGATGCCTCTCTGGGTATTGAAAAGGAAAGGAAAATAAATGGCTAAATAAATAGCACAATATAGTCCTGTGAGCTTCCAGTACCACAAAGAATGTTGATGGCTTAGAGATAAACTACCTTTCTTATTGTCTGAAGAGGGAATTCAGAGTTTACATTGAATGCCAGAGACTGCCTTTGCTGCTACCTTTGTTGGATGGGAACACGCTGTTGCTCAGTAATAGCTATGCTAAAGTCTTTAGGCAGCTTCCCATACACCTTCCAGCCAAGTGGGAAAGGGAAAAGAAAAGGTCCAACGCAGAAATGGGGACCGCTTTTCAGCCCGAGAGCTGCATGTCCCCGTGGGCAACCTTCCAGGGACTGTGTGCCAAGAGTGAACAGGGCCAAAAGTGGGGGAAGCAATGACTTAACATTTGTATGGTTGGGTCCGTATCAGTCTGACAAAATTCAGCGGTTTATATACACAGCACACATATACACACTTTCCATCCTCAGACCTGCAAGAAACATCAGAGTTAAAGAATACATTTCAGCAAAACAAGATCCCTCAAGGGCACAGAGCAGGGCCAGTGGGGGGCAGGGTCTGGCCTGTAAAGAGGGTGTGTGACTTTTGGAGAACCCTCACATCCCACCTTCCTGTATAGCAATCAAATATATGGCGGTTGTTATAATTATTTCATTCACGAAGTGATTTGCAATATAATAAAAACATAGAGAAAACAGTTACATGTGTAAAATCATGTTTAAGATACACACACACCGAGTATATATATTTATAGTTTAAAACAAAAACAGCACATACTCAATTCAAACCCACTACCAACTGGGATAAATATCTGATTAGAAGGGTTGACCGTTCACCAATTGGCTGGTGCTGATGGGAATTGAACTCCAGCAACATCTGGAGGGTCCCTTGTTGGCTGTCCCAGCTATATGAAGTAGCGAGGGAAGAATGGGAACCCAAAAATGCGTATTTTGGGTTCCTATTCCAAGCAGGTTAGAGCCTTGGACAGAAGCACTTCTGTAGGGCTGCAGGTATAATAATAATAATAATAAATTTTATTTATATCCCGCCCTCCCCAGCCGAAGCCGGGCTCAGGGCGGCTAACAACAATAAAACAGTACAAAAGTACAGCATAAACAACAGTCTAAAAGCATTCGTTATAAAATTAATTAATTTAAGCCACTGGCAACCATTGGGCCAGAGCTCGCGAAGATTGCCGAGGGAGGGAGTCAGGCTGTGCCCTGGCCAAAGGCCTGGTGGAACAGCTCTGTCTTGCAGGCCATGCGGAAAGATGTCGAGTCCCGCAGGGCCCTAGTCTCTTGTGACAGAGTGTTCCACCAGATCGGAGCCACAGCCGAGAAAGCCCTGGCTCTAGTTGAGGCCAGCCTAACTTCTCTGGGGCCTGGGACCTTCAAGATGTTTTTATTCGAAGACCGTAAGTTTCTCTGTGGGGCATACCAGGAGAGGCGGTCCCGTAGGTACGAGGGTCCTAGGCCGTATAGGGCTTTAAAGGTTAAAACCAGCACCTTAAACCTGATCCTGTACTCCACCGGGAGCCAGTGCAGCTGGTATAGCACCGGGTGAATGTGATCTCGCAGCGAAGACCTCGTAAGGAGTCTCGCTGCAGCATTCTGCACCCGCTGGAGTTTCTGGGTCAGTCTCAGGGGCAGCCCCACGTAGAGCGAGTTACAATAATCCAGTCTGGAGGTGACCGTCGCATGGATCACAGTGGCTAGGTCAGGGCGAGAGAGGTAAGGAGCCAACTGCTTAGCTTGGCGGAGATGGAAAATGCCGCCTTTGTTATAGCTGCAATCTGCGCCTCCATGGAAAGGGAGGTGTCGAAGATTACACCCAAACTCTTAACGGACGGTGCTGGCACTAATTGCGCCCCGCAAGAGATGGGAGTTGCCCCCAATCCCATATCGCCCCGTCCCAGCCACAGGACCTCTGTCTTCGAAGGATTTAGCTTCAACCGGCTCCCACGAAACCATCCAGCCACAGCTTCCAAACATCTAGTCAGTGTGTCTGGGGCCGAGTCAGGATGGTATTAGTTGTGGGGGCCCATTTGTCTTCTCTAAAACAGCACATACTGAAGTTTATACTGAAAATACAGAGTATCCATCTGGTTTCTGGCATTAACTTCTGAAATTCTTAATTCGTTATTTTGCTATTTGTATAGGACTGCCAGCAGTGGATCACATTACGCAACACGTTGGGATCTAAATGCTATATTTTTGCAGAAGAATTGTGCAAGAGTGTATCTAAACTTATGGAGAACCACAACACACCAAAATGCAGTGGTCTTGTCCTAAAATATACCAATGAAGCTAAAATTTCTGACCTCTGTAAAATAACTCAGCTTTTAGATGGTGAGGAAAGAACAGAATTAAAATGAAGTATACACTATAGGTTTGCCTATACGATCTGTAAAAGGATGTAACATGTTATACTTAAATACAGTAATTGACAGTGTTAGAAATGCTTATTAGATATAATTGGCTCTCATCATGGCACAACAATAGAGTTGTGGGCTCATGTTCAAAATATATTAAATGAATTCTTGGAATACAGTTCCGCTCAAAGTGCTGTATAGAGCCAGGGTAACAGGGCGTATCTCTCATATGAATCGTTTCTGTTGTATATTTCTATGGACATTTTACAAGTTTTCAAAATGTAACAAAGCTGCTGAAATAAATGAACTCTAAGCTTCAGAATTTAATTTATACTAGCTAGAGAAGTGGTTTCCCCCCTTTCTTCTTTAATCTGCAGCTATATTTTGTATAAGTTTAGATTAAATTAAATGCCTCAGTGCCTCACTTTTGTCTTGAATATGCTACCAAAATGATATGTTCAGTCATTAGTAGTTGTAGAAAGTGACAGAGCAAGTATTTCAGCTGTTATACAGAATGCCCACAATCCAACACTGAGTTAAATGAGTTCAAGCCCTTTTAAATAAGTGATCTTAAATTCTCAAAACTCAAATGGATTATGAACCATGGATTTAACAGAACAAGAGAAGACATAGAAAAAAAGAAGAAAAAAACTATTGTAATAGCCAAAGGCAAACAATGGAAAACAGATAGTCTTTTGGCTGGATAGAGAAATGAAGAAACAAAAAGCACTTTTCATTTCCATCCTATACAGGTCGAAAGCGCATTTCCATTTTAGGCAGTCCAGATGGAGAGACTTCTGATGACAGTCTTGTAGACCTGGCAAGTAAAGTAGCGAAAGCTGTTCAATTGCTCAAATACTGCTTTTTATCTTGACGTGGCCCACAGTAGAAATGTTGTCTGTAGTTGAAACACAGGTAACCTTTTAGAAAATTGGCTTTTTTGAGAGAGTCGCCTTTTAAAGAGAGTTAATCTTTGAACTATAGGGGGGGGGGAGATGCACAACAGTAGGCAATGGTAGCACAGTGAAAATATGTATTGTCTCTTGCTGACATTTTAAGGAAAAGTTAAGCAAATTATTCAAAACATAGAGCACTGACAGTATTTCTTGAATAACAGGTCTTAATGGACTCAGGCTAGTCTCTTTGTGTTAAAGCATAATTGCATAGAGGATGTCACTAAAAATTGGCCACTTATTTAAAATTAATGTGTGAATTTTAGTCCACCCCCCTCCCAGTCACCCTACCCTGCCTCCTGCTGTCTCCTGAGCTTCCAATTCCTTTCCTTTCAGCACTATACTGTTTTCTTGACTCTCAGCTCAATGTGGTTTCCCTTTCCTCTTCTCTGGCTTGGATAGCTCTTTCTCCCTACCTATCCCACCAATGCTAGAGCTTGCATGAAATTCCCTCCTAGCAGAGTTTTTCCTTTGACTCATCATAGCCAAGGTATTTGTTAAAATGCCACGCCTGACTCTTACTCTATGACCTTACAGCAGTCCAGTCAATGACCTGTTTACATGAAGGTCATGGGGTTTACATGTAGGAAGCAAAAAATTAACCAGAAGCCAAATTTTAGCACAGCATTACAAAGCAAAGGACATTTTCAGTACACACTCACTGTCCTGTGGAATAAATGCTCCGGCCATGCATATGGCAGTGTTACAAACACAAGCATAAATGCTGAATTGTAGGCCTCCACATAGACATGGGAAATATGAATGTTACATAATCGAAGTCTGCTTCTAAGGCACCTAAGTTATGTAAATAGCAGGAAAGGGGATTCATTTCCCCCCTCAACACTGGAGGTTTAAAATGGTAATTTTTTTGTTTAAGGCTGTTGGACTGAGAACTAGGTTCATCAAGTTGGGAGGTCTTTCACGTGGCGAGAGGGTCGCCAAATACAACCGTCTTCTTGCAATAGAGGAAGAACTCGGCAAGAATGGAAGACTTGGTAAAAAAAAAACCCTTTCTTACATTGTTTTTGGTGTTTAATGAATAAAAATACAAAGATTGGAAAAGGAGTGATTGAAAACACTCTGCAGGAGGGAAGGAGAATCAAAAGACTATAAATAAGCACTTGCAGAAAACAGGATGACATTTGCCACAAAGTACATTGTCCTTATAATGAGTTGTCTGTTTACCTGAATGTTAAAATAAGACATCCTTTAGGCACAGCCTACAAGAAGCTTTTCATGAGCAGAATTAATTGGTTGGAATCTTCAAGGCCAATGGAGAACATTTTTAATGTTATTGGGATTTTTTTTGTTCACACAGAATTTTAGCTGGAGGCAGGCATGTTGCAGATGATGCTTTGAAAATTGTTCTGTAGCATTCCATATAAAGATGCAGAAATATAGCTGTGTGAAAAAGCTACTTCATATTGAATATCAGATGTGGTAGCAGTCCTGGTAAGGGACCTGCTTGGAGATTGGTCAAAGGCTTTGCACCCAGAGGTTCCAGGTTCAATCTGTGGCATGTCTGACTAAAAGGAGATAGCACGTACAGTCATACCTCGGGTTGAATGTACTTCAGGTTGAGCGCTTTCGGGTTGCGCTCCACGGCAACCCGGAAGTAACGGAGCACGTTACTTCCGGGTTTTGCCTCTTGTGCATGTGCAGACGCTCAAAATGATGTCACGCACATGCGCAGAAGCGGCAAAACGCGACTCGCAGATGTGCCATCGTGTCTTACGTTCCATTCAGGATGCGAACGGGGCTCCGGAACAGATCCCATTCGCATCCCGAGGTACCACTGTAATGGGAAAGGTCTTTTCCTGAGACCCTGGAAAGAGCAGTTGCATGGACAAATGATCAGGCACGGTGTACGACAGCTTCCTATGTTCCAGTTCATTCTGCCAGTGGCATCAACCCAAATGAAAACAGTATTTCCTTGTATATTTCCCATGGCATGTCATTGAAATTTTATACTTGTCAGCTGTTCCCTAGGCTGTGTAAAATCTGTGGGCACAATCCCTATGCAGGAATCCCCAAATGGCATAGCCGAGGCCTGGTTTCCCCGCTTTCTTTCTTCGTGCATACACAGATACAGGCACTGTGCCAAGCCATTACAGGGAATGAGTGTATGTGCGCATAACTCCATAGCCTCTCTTATAAGCTAAGGAACATGAGTTTGAAGTTCACATTCCTTCAGCAGAGTGAGGAGGGCTGGATGAATAAACAAGGAGTACATATGCTTCCCATCTCCTAGACTGACCTGAAACAACTTGGATGTCGCCTGTTTAAATGCACGTATGCAAAGAACTATGTTGTATTCACAGATTCACAGATGTAGTAGAATAGAATTGTTTACGAATGGAATAACAGTCCATGCTTCTACAGAGTCGGTGTAGTGTATTTGCTACGAGTGTGAGCTGTGAGGCAAGAAGGCCTGGCATTACACTGCACGTGACTTAACAGCGCAATTCTACATCTGTACTCCTAGTTAAGTATGTCCAGGATCCCAGCCATACCAGTTTAATCTCCATAGGTACATGCCTGCTAAAGTTAAGCACTTTTAAATCACATTGCTTTTGCTGAAAGACTTTTGTAAATATATGCTTTTTTAAAAAAAAATACTCAGGATACAAATATTCCATTTCAGGTGACAGAGAGGTTCATGAATTTGTTGATTATACTGAAGAGGAAGAAGAAGAGGAGGAGGAAGAACTTGAGTCTACTGATATTACTGCAAGGACGGAGCGCTCTGCTACATAGAAAGTGATGTTTCAGACTTGGCGTTTTTTGGCCCAGAACTGACCCCCTGAATTCTTCATTTTGAGGCCAACAACATGTTCCTACAGGACTACCACAATGGGGCAACAGTTGGCATGACACAGTCAGTCCTTTGGTTTTATTTTCCTTTAAAATGTTTATATTTCTGCTATGCATCCTTTAACACAGCTTAATGGGAATTTACCATATGGAATAACAGTTGTTTGTTCTATAAAGATATGACAGCACTCTGTTTGAATCGGGGAAACAGTGTAGGACAGAAGGACCACAGAATCCATGAGTAATGCATGCTTTACTAGTCTGTTACTCCATTTATGAATGTGTTTTTTTAATGCAGTGTTCACTTTTGAGTCCTTTTTTCCAAAGCATAATAATAATAATAATAATAATAATAATAATAATAATAAAATTTAAAATGTTTGCCATAATTTTGTTTTAGGACATTAATTTTCACACACAATTTTAAAAATCACTTTGCCAAGCTGATTTTCCTTTCCATTAACAGTGTCAGCAGTCAAAGTACAATTCAGGTTTATATATCTCTGAAGTAAAATTCTCTGAAAGTTTGAATAGATCAGGGGTGAGGAAACTAACTCAGAGCTGAATGTGGCCACCCAAGCCTCTTTATTTGGCCTTTGAGACTCTTTCCAGGCCACATTCCTCACCAGTCCTGCTCTGTACTCTCCCTCAAGTGCTTTTGCCTGGCTTGACTATATATGCTTGAACTATACTGCCTTTTGCATGCCTGATGTGGCAGGAATATACCCTGTTGTACAAGGCAAAAGTCACATCCATTGCTCTGCTCATTTTTGGCTCTAACCCCACCCACCACCACTGCCCATTGTCTGAAAAACATGTCCCAGCCCTGGAGTCTACAGTGGTCATTTTCAAATGCAGCTGTGCAACCAAATGCAATGAGTAACCTTCTCAGCAAATGCTTCCCATTCAACAGAAGACCTCTATCTTTGCACACAAAGAATGCATATTTTGATTTGACTCCTTCCATGGATATTAATTGGTATGATATAACCTGTATACAAAAGAGTTTCATTCATACATACATACATACATATGACCTTGACTGGGCTGGCTTTCATTACTGTCTGCGAGCCCCGTGCTTTTTCTGGGGCTCTGTCTGTCATAATGACCCGTCTTTGGTTCCTGTATCTTACGGCCAGTCACCAGTTTTGCTACATGACAGACTAAAAACTGATGTAACAGGCCACCCCTGTCTTAAGCTGGAAAGAACAACAAAATGCCACAATATCTGGGAAAAAAGTCAAAAACCTTTTTTAATAAGCAGCATTAAAAAGATAAATAATTTATATCATAGTATAACAAATAATTTAACTAGAAAGAAATACATTTTTCAATTTTTTGCATATTCTCCTGTAAGAATTCAAGGAAAAATACATTTAGAAATTGTCATATGAAATTCATTGTAATCAAACTGATATCTAAGTGCAAAAGCAATTAGTAGGAAACAAAACCTACTGAAGGGCAAGTTCATGGAAAGCAAATGGACATGTTTCCCCATATTTATGAAACAGTTAACTGATTAGATCGATCCCATTATTTGCTTAACAAACATGCAAAATAAAAATAAAAATTACGCACACTGTTACCACACTAACAATGCAGTCCTAAATGTATCTACTTAGGGCAGGTCTCGACCAATACATTTTGCTGCCTGAGGCAGTGCAAGCAAATTGTGCACCTTTGGTCATGGTGCATATGTACTTTAGGCTGGTCAAGTTACTTTGACATCTGAGGCAGAAAATCCCACAACCACCTCTTCCTGGGAGTAAAAACACAATAATAAATTAAATAATTATTTGCTGTCCTCTCATGGCATCCAAAATCTGTCAGAGACTGCTGTTTCACTGTGCCTAATGGCAGGGCTGGCCCTGACTCGGACAGTGGGGCTTTCTCCCAGGGAAGTGTGTAAGGATTATAGCTTTTAATGATTTTGCTTTTCAGGAGATAAGCATTGAACAACTACTATAAAGCCAAGCTAACAAACCAAACACATTCATCATTTAATCCTAATTACTGATCATTGTCTCCTATCGTTAAAATCTCACAGTGCATTCAAGAACATTACTACCCAATTTCAAACTAACATTAAATTGCTCAAGTGTTTTTTGTTTTTTAAAGGAGAAAGTCCTGACCGCACCTGTTCACTGTAGTGTAAAAAGTATGTTGATTTTGGAAACGTGAAAACTGTGTAAAAAACGCATTTGTCACTGTCTTCACTGGGAAATGAGTGATGCCATAATTGTGCTATGTAAGCTATTTCACCTAGTTAAAAAAAAAACCAACAACAACCACCCCATGATGTTTTGACAGGTTATTGTTTTCAGGTGTCATTTTACAGTAGAATAAAAGACGCCTGATGCTGATTCACTGAAGAACTGCAACATATATAGCAGGCACGTCCAACTCCCAAGAGACTGCGATATACTCCTAGTATAAAAAAAAACACCTGCCAGTGATCTACCCATTGTCATTGGAGGGAGGAGGAGTGTGCGTGGGGTGGGTGGGTGGGAGGGGGTGGGTGGGTTGCCCAAAGTTGTTGAGCTTTTTGGGGGGTAGGATTGCAGAGCTGTTGAGCTTTTGGGGATGATCTCGCAATCTACCAGGATCAGCCAGGGATCTACCGGTAGATCATGATCTACTGGTTGGACATGCCTGATATATAGGCTGGTGCTTTGTGGCCATGTACATGTTGGTTTACAAGTAAATATTCTTTAAGCAGAACAGCACATGCAAATGTTTATTAATGGAGAATTAATGGAATTAATGGAGAAAGGAATTTTGGTGGTCTCCATATGAGATTCTAGTACTCTGCTCTTAAGCCTTTTAAAACAGACAGAAGCTGCTACCTATACTTGATCCTAGATACTATACCTACATTTATTAAATATGGAGCCACAAGAGAAGGTCAGCTCAATACAAGATTTCTATAGACTTGGTCTTGTGAAATGATTCAGCTGCCTGCAGCTCCATGTACATGTTACTCATGCGTAAGGCATACTCTAGTACAGACCAGAGCATTTTTAAGAACTGTGCATTGAGTGAGGTTGTCAGTACAAACATACATAATTTTATTTGTATGCTGCCTTTCCACAGTTCTTACCATACTCAAGGCGCCTTACAACATGAAAAAATGTAACAAAAGGAGTAATAAACAATAAAGAAAATATTAAAATGTACAAGCAGGACAAACAATTTTCACATAAATCACAGGATCTAAAATAGGACCACGGCAACAACTCTCCCCAACAAAAACCCCAAAACAGCACCCCAGCCACAGTCTGCACAGGAAGAGCAACACGCCCCCTTGTCTGTAAGGCTTTGTGTATTTTGGACACTTGGATGTTTGGGCGTCCTAACTGCATGGAGGCCCTACACATGAGGAGGTGCTTGGGCGTTGGCCTTCTTTTACCAACAACCACACTTTATGTGTGGTTGTTAAAAATAAAGCTGGCTTTTTTAAAAATGCTCTGGTCCATATGCATGCATTCTCTACACGTGAGTAACATGCGCACAGGGTTTGCACAGCCTGGCAGAACAATCAAGAAATGACATACTGGTAGACTGAATGTTTAGTTGAAAAAACGGTTGGGGAAAGGTTTCTTTCCTCAAGAGATGCCTCAAAATGGTCAAATATACTAATTTCTGATCGCTGTAGAAACCCAAAATGTGCAAAGTGCTGATAAAAACAATAATGGAAGTCTCAGCAATTAGCAACCAAAGTCCCATTAGAGGAGCACCACCGAGAGCTGGAGGCATGTTCTAGATGTGCCTACACACGACATTCTTCCTGGGTTATTGATAAACAAAGAAGTTGATGAAGTGTGTCACAGCTGCACATGGTTGACAGTAAATTAGAAACATGCACGGAAGTAGACATTTCAGTGAAGTGCATGCAGGCAACAGAAATGCTGAGCCCTTATTTGAAAGAGCAGAACGTTTGAGGCAGCACTCATGGCTAAGACTGCAAGAAACTGTAGGCTATCCTCTTGCCACAGGCAGCAAAACCATGACCACCACTTTTCTCCTATGCAGCACAGAGGTGTTAGTGAAGATCGCAGCTACTTTAAAATGCCACATAAACTGGCACACTTACTATGATGCCCACAGCTTTCCAGGGAAGAGGCCATGGCTGCATAATGAGAGCTAAGTACTGGTTAACGTAAGTTGTGTGGAGACACAACATGGTCTAAACTCTCAGGAAGGACCATGAATTTTCTGGGTGGTGAAATGATACTCTGACTATAGAAAGGTTTTTAGTTTTCCTAAGTTTATCTAACTCCATTAACACCTTGCCTGGTGTGCCACAAGGCCTAGTTGGACAACAACAGCTGTCTTATCCAGAGATTTGATTGGTTTGTTTTTACTGAGTGTACAGACAAAAATATTTGCTTGGGTGTTTAGAGCAGTTTAGCAGCTACTGTATGTATTTTAGATGCTTTTGTTTAATACAATTTGCCTCTCATTTCCAGGTATAAGATAACTGGCAAACTACTTCTGGTAGATGCAATGCACTTAATTCTACAATATTTGTATGCAGGAAACTACAAACCTATAATAGGAGTAAGATTTTGAACATTATGGATATAGGAACTATAAGAACTGAAAGATGCAATGAATCTGGGTTTCTTAACAGTGTTCAATGTCCATCTGTTAACTATGATTTTGATTCATAAGTGAAAACTATGACACTCAGGATTTTAGCCAGCTTCTGCCCATGGCCGAAAAGTGCCTTACGTAGTATGAGTACCACTGGTGAAACCATGGTGGAAGGTCAGATTTGCCTTCCTTGTTTTAGAACTGGGGTGCTGCTTTAATCTGCCTCCCTGAGCAAGTATTTATTTTATTTCATCCAGGAAGACAGATGAAGCCAGGTGGGGACAGAATTAAGCAACAAAATGGCAACCAAGCAGAAGTTGCATGAAACTGCATCCATATGAAACAGCATCCGTATGGTCAGTTCTTTGCATGAGCCAGCTCACTATGCTGCCTGTCTTAAAGTGGCACAAAACATCCCTGGCAGATGGTTCTTGTAGAAATTACAGTCCACGTGGTGAACCACCACACATTAAGAGCCCTCTGCGTGGAGCAGCTTCCAAGCAAAATCAGACCATTTTATGTTAAGGCATAAAAATGAATTCCAGGTTCTCTCTGCAGTGAAAATGGAACCAGGATTAATGACAGGTTTGGTGCTAAGTATGAAGCTTGCAGAAGCATGAAGAAAGAGTGGCTGGGGAAACCCAGCCAGGTGGGCAGGGTATAAATAATAAAATTATTATTATTTATTAAATATCAGCTGAAAGGAAATTAGGTGAGAAATTAAGCCATTTATATAGATAGCAGTGCAAAACCTAGATGGATTGTATGATGTCTGAACAGGTAGATTATTTTAAAGGAAACAGGTCTCATTTACTTTTTTTCCATAAGGAATTCAGTGGCATTGAAAGCCATGCCTTGGAAGCATCAGCTTGCTATTGCCAACTTCTCTGACTGATCCTGCCAACAGCAAAACAATACTCAAGGGGACACTGCTGACAAGATCCTGTTATAAGGCAGAACTACTGAGTTTTTGCTTTTCAAAAGTATCTAAGTACAGCTGTTATGGGTAAGATGGATAAAATAGTCCTTATATAAAATTTGTTTGGGCTACTGAGGTATAGCTATGTGAGTATGAATCCATTGGGGACTTTTCCTGTAGAAGCCTCTTTGAAACGAATGGAAATTGCATAAACTCTTGTGCATTTTTTTAAGGCTGTTATTCTGTAGCCACCTACCTAGGAGTAAAGCCCAATGAATCAATGGAAAAACTTATGAGTAGACATGCACAGAATTGCATTGCTGAATGACTGAAAATGGTGCCCTAATTAGGGAACAGCTTAAAAAATAACTAATTTTAGTACAGAACTTTTAAAAAGCACCATTGGCATTCCCCATGAAACAGAAGGAGGAATGTGTCTTTTATGATGATATCTCCTACAACATATTTGTATATAACCTAATAACCAAGAGAATCTACCTTTTCTTTTAAAAATTGTGCCTCTTCGGCATATGCAGATATATGCAAACAGTGATCTATTAAAAGCAATACAATTAATTAACAGTGCAGTTCTAAACATTTGTGCTCAGTTCTACTATTTTTAATGGGACTTACAGCCTGGTGAATGCACAAGACTGTAGCTGAAGACCCTTTTAATCAGGTGGTAGCTCAAAATTTCATAAGTCTTGCAGAGAAGTCCCCAGTACATTTGGGACAAGCCTTTTGGCTGCACATACATCCTCAATGAACAACATCAAAATGCGGCTCAACACCCTGGCTTGGTCCAAATCTGTTAACCAGATCTGTTAATTAAGGAAAGACTTCCTGGTTGGTTGGATTGCTTGTGTGAAGAGACTACATAGATGGCCAAAAGGCTCACTTATATCTTTTCTTATTAAGGTGAGTTATGTTCATCTTTCCTTTTCTAAAACTGATTTGTGGCTGCATCTATCAGTAGAAGTGCATTTCTGTGATTACCTAAATAAAGCTCAGTCTATCAGTTTTGGTGAGCTTTCAGTCCTAAACAAGGCATCAATATAAAATAATATCGAAATAAATTTTGATGTACTGCATAATTTAAGAAAAAACCCCAATACGATAATTCAGTAAAAACTTCCCTGCTGCTACAGGAGAAAGTCAAATTGTATATAACTTAAGGTCATTTCAATAAACAATTATGGTTACATGATTAGAAACTAGAAGGAGTTGCATTCAGTTAAGCACTACTCCAAGTAGTCCCATTGAAATTAATAGACGTAAGTTACTTATACCTATTAATTTCAATGTGTAGAATTCCAGGCTGCACTATGGAAATTGTTCCAGTGCAAGCATTTTTGCTTGCCAGATGGAATGATCTCCCCTTGTGCTGTTCTTGGGGTTTCCTGACCTCAGCAGATTTGGGGAGGTAGCAGGGGGCACACAGCAGGAGAAGTCCTTGTTGTGCTAGCGAGACTTATTGCATTGGTTTTTGCTACTGCAACAACTTAGCTGAATCCAACCCAAAGGATCTACTCTGAGTACAACTAAATTGGATACAACCCTACAGAATTAAGCCCTTCCCAGTACACACAAATGAAACAACTGAAGCTCACTGAAAGGAACTTCCAGAAGTTAATGCCTTTTAGCACATCAATTAGCAATGAGAGCTGTCTGTCTCTTTTGTTTTCCCAACGCTAGCATCTTTATGAAGCTGTTGACCTTTTCCTTCTGTTTCCTTGTCTTGATTCAGATGTCCAGGCGTGTGCTCTTTGGTTTTTTCAGGATTCAGTAGTACCATGGATTCTGCTTCCTTTTCTGTACCAGCAGCCTTATTTTTAAGCCCCATGTTGGTTGATGACCTGGAAGCACAAAGCAACATGTAAATATAGGAACAAATCATTAACATACTAACTGGCTTGCATACCAACTTCAAAAACACTAAGTACAGATTATTTGGCTATTTTGAGGGCAGAATATGGTAGCTGCCAAGAAGCTATAAGTATTGGAAAGAACAAGAAGAATCCTTTGGGGAGAACGAAATTGATGTGATTGGCCCAATTATTATTGGAGCAGTTTGGGCAATTGTTCAGGAAGGAAGGTAACTCAGCAAGGGCAAGGTGAAATAGAAATGCTGCCATTTCAACTGTTTTGTATTTGATTTGACGGGAAAGCCGTAAAGCCCTACAGTTTTAAAGAAAGAAAGCCAGATCACAGAAAAAACAAATTGTCATCCTTGCAGAATTTTATGTTCAGGTGCCAGATTTCTTCAGCAATAAATTGCTACTTTAGAACAGCAAAACCTTGTTCTTCCTCTGTGATCTTCATACTTCAAATTATATACACCACAATCACACCAAACTTGAGACTAACTAATTCAGAACCTGGCTCTAGCCGATCCATTTGGCAAGTCCATTTGGTCATTATTCAAATCCCAAAGTCTTATTTTATGCAGATTCTGACTGGTGCTTATTTTGGTTTTTTGCTGAAAGTGGAACAGCCCCCCCCCCCTTAACATCACTGTGAATGAAACTTTGGAAGTGACAAACAACAAGAAGAGTTATTTTAGAAAATGCTACCTCTGAAAAGCTGATTGCCCCAACACTATCAAAATGGTCAAAGCCATAAATGCCAAGGTCTTTAAAAAAATAAATCACTTTAGAGGTAACCATCTTTCAAAATCTCAACAGCTGGACTATTTAACACAATCTGGTGAATCAGAGTATAATTCTTCATTGGGATCTCCACAGGGGGCCTGCATTAGTGGATGGCAGCAATCCAACGGCTGATGCACTGCCAAAGAGTGTGAAGCCTGTGTCATTTACAATAATAAAAAAGGATAACAGAGCAATCATATTTATCACCTTTGAGGACAGAAAAATGGGAGATTAAAGTCTGTCACTATAACAGTTTAATGGCAAAACCCAGTGATTATGTACCAGCACAAAATAAGAAATTGCTGCTCAGGGTTCCTTTGGTGCATCTCCGCCCCCAAGTCCCCTTTTTACACAACTGCTGTTATTTACGGTGCAATATTATTGTTAAAAACCATAAAATCTCTCTCAAGTGTTTACTGCTGACTTACCACACTGTATCCTGAGCTGAAATTTGGCACAGCTTAACGACACAGTGCAAAACAGATTTTTGAATTCTGTATAAAAGAGTACAATCCGCTCAGCTTTATTGTAACTGTCAGTGGTACTTTATTGTTCTGAACACAATTTGTACAGGAGCAGATCATTGTGGGATTGCACTCAGCCCTTACTTCGGACCAGAAAAATCTCAGCGGTATTGGTGAAACTTTGCTCTTCTGCTCTGGAATAAGTTTCAGCTGAAATGAAACTGATTTTTAAAAATGCTATCTGTACAGACTATTTTTGTGGGGAGGCAGTTGGGAGGAGAAAAAATAAGTCTGCGCTGTATTGCCATGAAGGATCACTCAGGCGTTTTTTGACCTATAAACCAGTTTGTATGGCATAGTGTTTAACTAGTACTTGTTAAGGCAGATATGAAGTGACGGAGAGTCTTAACTTCTAGCTCTGTGCATACTCTATTGATAATACGGTTCTGAAAGTCAATATGCAAATTAATAGTTGTGCAGGAAGAAGAAAGCAATTTTTTTTTGAAGAAAGGTTGGATATAGTTTCCCGTTTATGTAATGGCAGCAGCACTCAGTTCAGATATTAAACATCAGCCTAATGCTATTAACCTTTTAATTAAGAACTAAAGACATAATTAACAAGATAAACAGTAACAGCTTGGGGTTTTATTGTGTAAGCTCACACAAACATTCTAATAATAACTGCTATCAGTCAAGAATTTCAAACACCTGCCGCCACTCTCAGTGCAAGGACTTATATATCACAAAAGATAACACAAATCATTAAACGTGAAAAGGAAAAGTAATAATACAGTACTCTGCATGAGCGTCAGGGTTATAGGTCACCTGTTCACCATTTTCATGCAAACAAAAAGTATTAATCCAAACAGCAAACACAACAGCATAAGCTAAGGAATATGTGTGCCTTAGATTTTTTGATCTCCCATTGAAACTTGATTTATTTAGGTATTTTTATACAACCTTCCATGTGGCATCCCATCATACTCAAATCCTCTTGATTTTGATGCAGCATTTGCTTTACTACAATCTGAAACTGAAACCTTAAAAAAAATGAAACGATTCTCCAAAATACATGCCAGTCTGACAAATGGCCTTTATAATTTGTAGAAGTAATGGAAACACTGTCATATCTTGCTCTAGAGTCTAGAGCAACGTTCTCTATCTGAAGTTTATGGGATATCTCCATTGAATGTAAAGCCTCCAGACTGCATTAATTCCAATCCTACAAAGGGAACGAGAAACTAATTTGTCACTTTGGAATTATTAAAACACATAGCTCCTGGTGAATACAAATCATGCATCTGAGCCACGGAAGACCACTATCAGTGACTCCCCCAAAGACCTCCTCCCCAAAAGACCTCCATGACTGGACAGGGACACTGGGGATCAGGAAGTCCTTGAGGCACCTTGGACCCAAATTGTTAATGGCCTTGTAACCTGGCCTGGTAGCATACTGGCAACCAGTGCAGACTTTTGAGTACTGGAGCTATGTGCTGGTCATAGTCTGTCCCCACCAGCAGTCTAGCCACAACATTTTGCACCAGCTAGAGCCCCTGGGTCAGACCCATAGAGTTCTATGCTTAGTACTGATTACAAACCATCAGGGTATTACTGTTTGAAGTAACAGGCTCCTGGGTTACCCGAGAGTAATCTCATTGAGCAGTACTTATACAACACATTAGATACATAAAGAAAATACTGAGCAGAAATGCTAAGGGCTCCTGCAGTACAGAAAGGTGGATATGAATTGGGACATGACATTGGAGACCTTGTGCTAGATCTCATTTTTAGGAAATATTCTTAGGATTTCTTCTAGCCATTGTATGGCATGCAATAAAGAGCAGTGAGAAGATGCTGAAACTGCTCAGTTTTCAAGCATGTTTCTGATGTATCTATGCACCCTTCTTTCGCCATCCACAAGGCATCAATCTTTTAAGGAAGAAGATTCTCAACTTCCAGCACATCCTGTTGTTCTTTCCAATTTGTTGTTAAAGCTTAATTGCCCATGCACAAACTGCACACAGAAAACCTTTGTAGTTGACTCTAAGGCTGAGCTGTTTCCTGCAGTGCCAGTAGACAATTCAGTGGTGCTAAGATTACAGCTGAGGGAAAGAGAAAATCCTTTAATTGCATAAAATCATCAGATTAAACCTTACCCAATATGTGGCTTCTTCTGTTAACCGAGTCCTCTACTACATGGAAATGTTTACTAAGTGCAGAGAACGTACTAAGTAAAAGGAAGGGGGTAGGGGGAAGGTTGGAAGAGTAAGATACAGCAACTTTCCCGTCCATGTACATACACCACAGGAATGTCAGGAACTGTTCCACACTGAACAAAATTAGCACCTAGTTTCTGTGAAGAAACTGCCTAAATGAAACTCCTGCTGTGTTTAATTTTGCAGAGAACAATTGGATTAGGTCTCATGTATTATACACAACCTAACCTCCATCCACTGGTATTTTCTCTTGGTCTTTCATCCCTAAACCACTTCCTCTGCAACTTGGGTTGAGCATGGGAGCTGGGTTCAAATGTACAGCGGACTTTAATGATAAATTCTTAATACTGACAGCAAACCTCATGCAAAGCTTATCTTAAACTGCAAAATTCAATCTTGTGTATAAATGAAAAAATAACTAAGTAACTATTCAAGCCAATACAATTCTCCCTAAGACGATCTGTGACTGTTTTCTGATTTCTTTCTTTCTTTTTAAAAGTATTTCACTTTCTGTGACTTTGAGTTAGTGGACAGTGGACTGTAAATAAATGATATTGGATAGCTGAACATATAAGACTAGCAGACTGACTTTACTTTTAAACTCTAAAAATTGAATTTATTTATTTTGAAATAGTGCCAACCTGTTGCAAACTAGTGTGTGTGATTTAACAGATCTCTTCCTTTATTGACTTGAATGTCGCTTTGTTATGAAACAGATACATGTTCCAGTGCCCATCTCCCTCAAGTCATGGCTCCTTCTTTTGCATCCTCCATCAATCAACTTTGTTCTCCCCTCAAAATATGCAATTTACTTATGTAAGCTTTCTCTCTAACCTAAATGAAAGCATACTGGAAAAGTTCTCAGGATGTAGGTGGAAACACATTGTGGCCAAAAGACCAAGAGAAACCATGGATTTGCAGAGGTTAAGCTGTAAGCAAAAGGAATAAGGCAAGACTGTTTGGCTGCTTATGAGGCGTGAAAGTTAAGGCAGGCACCTAAACCTGCAGTGTTCGTATTTTGGGATGCATAAATCAACTGGGAAATGTCTTAACTCTTCTCTTCAACTACAAACTGTATCTTTTCGCCTTCTTTTTATAATATAACAATAAACAGGATAATCACCAGTTTCTTCCAGGCCGCCAAAATCAGTGCAAAAGCATTACAAGTTTTTGAAAATAGAGCAAATTGCAAGAACACTAAATAAATGGGCCGTTGGAGGAATACAATGACATGGCACATGATTTGTTCATTCCTGTTGTTGCTTACAAAGCAGTTGACAATTCCTGAAATGCACCCCCCCCCGGCTTTAAAGTAATATGATGACAGCAACATGCAACAACACTAATCTGGTCTTTCTTGGAAAAACACCCAGGAGAAGATCACACAAGCTGTTGGGACAACAGACCAAGTACTCTTACAATATTTGTTACAATGAAAGCTAAATCTGTTCTGGTGCAACTTTAACCCACTGTCCTTTCCACAGAAGTAGTAGTAATAAAATGAGTTGTTTGACTTCACAACAGCCTTTCTGAAATTATAGCATGCTGCTCTTTAATCAACTCCATGCTGCAATTCCATGCTGTAACATATTAATCCAACTGCTCTTCTTTGGCTTAAGTATACATAAGTGGGCACAAATTTGCCATTAAACATGGTAGTTCCTTTAGCCTTTGCTTCTCCTTTGTACATTTTAGTCACAATGAATTAGAAATAAGCCTTCTGAAGTTTATATCTAACAGCCAAACTATATGCTATGGCCTGGCCTGTTTAAACTGGCCAGCTTCATAAACCAAGGAAATGATTATCTCAAACCAGGCCATAGGTTGTTTTTTTTTAAAAAATTAAAATTATTTTTAAAAAGCAGCTGCAGTGCAATCTGATAACAATCAGGACTGTGGAGACAGGGAAGCACACGTACAGGAGGGAAACAGCCACTGGTTCAAATTTTTATCAGGATCACAGTCCAAGGAGGAAGGGTGAAAATAAAATCTTTCCCATCTCACTACAGTCTGATCACCCTCACACAGTAGTGTAGCTAGCTGGGGGGGGGGGGTCCACTGGGTGCCACGGGGGTCTGTAGTGCGGCACGGTGGCTACTGTGCGTTGGGATTCTGGTCAGCAAGGGAGCTTGAGGGCAGCAGAGACACTTCCCATCCCTGAAATCAGCGGCTACCCTAAAAAAAACTGAACAACAATGGTCTGTTGCTACGCCACTGCCCCCACACCACTGCTATTTGAAGAATCATGGAACACCAAACTATGTGTTCAAGTGTAATGTGGAATCTGTCCCTCGTCCTCACATCACAAAGCTTGACTCATGTTTTGTCAGAATGGTTCTGTCATCCTACTACAGTGCTTATTTGCTACTCATATCATTGTTGCGCTCTCTCTCTCTCTCTCTCCCTGGGATGTATGGGGTCTTAGGGGAGTGTTAGTACCTCTGGTGGGGGACATGCTGTGCTCCTTTTGGGGAAGTCTTTCCACCTTTGGTCCCCACCCTGCACACAGCTCTCACCTGTGGCTCCTAGAAGCTGTCAGCATGTGAAAGTGGCCACACCCTGGGAACGGCTTCGACTGGCCAGCTAAACCAGGTGAGAGTAGCTAATGGGTCTCAAACCCTTGGTGGGTGAGGGACTTCTCCTACTTGCAATGACAAGCTCTGCAGATTGGGTGGGTGACGCCTTGTATGCCTCCTTCTGGCAACTCCTGCAGCCAAGGTGGTGCCAAACATAGTCCTCTGCTTTCCTTTGGACCACATCAGTGAGGCCAAGAGGGGGTCTTGTCGACTAGACAGGCCAGTACTTCCATACACACTGCCCAGGCTTGCATCCTGAGGAAGGTACTTTGGTGCTGCTAATGCAGCGGTTTGACTTCATCCCCAGAGGCATAATCCATCATCTTGCAAGGTAGATGGATGTCAACAATCTCTCTTTGCCACTCTTTAAAAAGTGCCACAGAGTTTTGTTCAATTACACACGTCTACAATATTTAAACAGTGACTCATGCAAACATAGATGCAGGGAATGCTTATATAAACAGGGCAGCCAAGTACAAAACAAAATAATGTGACTATAAGGCATTTGAGCAAACCCAAGAGGGTTTAAATTGGCAAAGGTTCCACAAGAAAGCAAGCCCTAACCCCCAAATTCCCATGTATGGCAGCTACTTTAGCCTAAAGGGGCCGTCTAAGGACATTCAGCTGAAAGCAAATCAGGTCTTGAAACTGTCCAGCAACGTTAGCACCTCTGCAACAGACTATTTCTAATGTGTATCTATAAATATAAATTAGACTATGCAATTCTTAAAAATACTGATCAGTGTCCTCTTGTTCTGGCAACACCTAAGTGGCCCCTGTAGCAGTTGCTCTTTGTAGCCCCCACAGAGGGGTACTCCCCTAGTTAGCAGTAGATTCTGAAAGGCTGCTCAGATTGCCCCAGGTAAACTTTGCCAAATGGACCCACAATTCAGCAGTTTCATAAAATGGCCATTGTCTCCTGGCTGCATGATTAGGTCACACCAAGACTACACTGCCTCTACAAAGCCAGTGACACTTGTTTTACTTTTTAAGCATATAATTTTAAATAAGAAGGTGTCCTTTTTGGTTGTTGCTGAGTAGGCAAGCTGCATAATCAACAGAGTTTCACGTATGCTTTTACAGCTCCTAACAACTATGACAGTCGATACAAGATCCTTTTCATGGTCAATTCATCACGCATTCTGGGAGACCTTGGGCCCCGCAATTATTTCATTTCCTTCCTTGCAAATGCAATTTCCACTTAGTTTACTAGAATAAAAGGTAGACAAAAAAGGTAGCAAGAGTAAGTAGAATCTTCTGATTAACATTATCCATCCAAAGCAGTGGAAATCCACAGATGAACAAAGCCGTAGTTCACAGAAAAACAACAACACATCCCTGAACTAAATTGCCTTTGTGCTTCACTAGTGGCTCACAAATGCAACAATAATGCAGTCAAATTAAACACATTTAATCAGAAAGATAGAAACTCGGTAATCTTTTATCAGGGATGTGTGAATGAGAAGAAACAAAATACAACTGGAGAGAGCTATTTCCTTTCAAAACATACTTTAAAAAACACACTTTTAAAACAGAATGAAATGAAAACCATAAAAGCAAGAGAAATAAGAAATAAGGTTTTTAGCCTGTTTTTACGAATGATAAAGGAAGCACACAAAAATAGGCGTGAATTGAATTTCCACTTCATTTGCTGAGATTTACCCCTTTGAACTATGAGATGCAGTTGTTTGAGAATAGGTGTTCCTTTTTCAACTGATAGAACAGGAAATCAGAGGTTTAATTAACCATGATTATAACATTTTGCTGATCTGATTTGTCTCACCTATTTCCTTTTTCCCTCTTTAAGTAATAAACTGCCTAACATCCTGGAAAGAGGACCAAACTGAAAGCATCAGAGAAGTTTATAGAAAGCTGGGGATTGTTATAAAACAAACTGACCCTCGACCGGATCTGTCTGAAGTGTGCATTTCTGAAGCAGGATTAACTCTTTGATGATTAAACAGCACTTTGAAAGAAAATGTACAGTCAGGTAATACCTTGGGCAAACCAAACTGCGGATTTATTCAGCCAAACAGATGGAAGCTTCAAAGCTCTTGATCACAACACCTCCAGGTAGCTCAGCATTCTGTTTACCGCTGATTAAAAGTTGCATCGCCAGCTGCATCTTAGGCTAAGAAAATACACATATTCCTGGCAAAATTGAATATGCGTTGCTACTGCTGCTGAGATATATTGTCTAAATAGTTAATGGCTAATTTGCAGTAGTATAATTCAGTTATTCAGGACTGTGGCAACCCAAGAACTGCAGCTGTCATTTAAATGGGAACATGTATACATCCCAAACACTGAAAAATGAAATACAAATAAGAGGCGGCATATTATGACATTTAATGATATAAAGAGTGATATTTCAGTTTTCCATCTTCACAGAGAGTAATGCCCAAAGCCTTTGTTATCTCAACTAGATTAAACTTAGGGCATTAACTAGAAGGCTCTAAGATCCAGCACTGGAATAATTTTTCATGCTTCCAGTTTCCGCAGCTGAGATATGCAAGTGCTTCAGTCTACTTTGGTACCTTGTTTGTCCATAAGGCTAATGGCCAAATTAGGGAAGGGTCTCCCAATGGTCTTTATCTGCTTCCATCTGTCAATTTGTTTGTTGGCAGGTTGCTGTTTAATAGTCTCAACAATGGAATATATATTTTAGAGGATTATTATTTTTTTTTAAGGAGATCTGAGTTTGGAAGTGACACTCTTAGTTAAAGTGTGTAAAAGGGATAGGGGAGGGAGAGAGAAAGAGAGAGAGAGAAAAAAAATACTGCTGCACTTCTCATCTTCGTACAAGGTCAGGAACAGAAATCATACAAGTGAATATGAGGAGTAATCACAATCTTTTTTTAAAATGCAAATGTTATTTTCTGCACTGTGCTTGGTGTTTTCCACTGAGAAGGATTTAAAAACAAAGTGCTAGCAGGAACAGGAAGTCATAGTTTTACACCTGCTGTCATACACGTCTAGATCTTCTTGCAATGTCAACCCCTATTTTTTGAATGGAGGGGTTTTGAAAGACCTAATGACTTTTGATCTCATTGCAAGGGGAAGCATCAACAAACATAAACTACTTACTGAATGTCGGAACTTGTGCTTTCAACCATTTTGTGACACTTTTCATCTGACCCCAAAGAACTGGGACCAAGTTCTGCTGCCAGAGTTTTCTTGTTCAATCCAGACTGTGTTTCAATGGAACCCAACACTGGCATAGATTTGGATTCAGAAGAAGCCAATATTCCAATTGGATCTAAAACCCAAAGAATACAGCATCTGCATTATTAAATTACACTATTATATACTTATAGAGTGGCATTGTGCCAAAGCATTAATTAGTCCAGATCAATTTTGATCACTATATGCACCACTTTCTATTGAAGACTGTGCCACTTAAGACACACACACACACACACACACACACACACACACACACACACCCTCTCACTTTTTCAAGGTTTTCTTCCCTGATGTATTATCTGGCTGTGCTCACTCTGGAAAATAATTAGAATTTTTTTTGTATGTACAACTGCTCTTGGAACAATGAATAAGGTTTTCTTATTTCCTATGAGTCTGAAATCATATTCCTAATGTACAAGCTTATATGATAACTATCAGTTATTGTTCCTATGCTACACAGGTGTTAATTTATGAACCTATTGAAAAGAAAGCATATCGGTGGAAAGGATCACAATGGCTTTAGTGTCAGTGTCTGAACTTCAGAGCAGAAGGTTGCCTAGAATGGCTTTACTGAACAATGCTGGGGATGTTAGAGTGCAGCTCTTATAAGACCATAGATCAGCCAGGAAAGCAATCAGAGCTCACTCAATTAATGAGGACTGAAATGTTAAAGGTTTCAAAAGGAAGGCAATTAGACCTTTGGAACAGCATTGAAGAGATAACATAATTCAGTTGCAGGATCAGAAAATATCTTGGTAACTCACTGCTATTATCTTGATCAGTCGTCACCTTCCTGAGCCGCAAAATTCTTTCTAATTCTGTTTCATTACTATCTGCCTCAAGGGATTTTAGGCTTCTTGAACTTGCAGATGTATTCATCGTTTCCTAAAATAAAATATATCAGTAAAATGGTCGGCCATGTGACAGTCAGTAGAAGATGCCATAACCATACATCAAAATTTGCTGGAAAGCATGTAATCCTGACTTGATTACCAAAAATTCTTCATACATGGGGCTGCCCTTGAAGACTACATAAAAAGTCCAGTTGGCTCAGAATATAGTAGCCTGATTATTGACTGGAACTGGTCACTTGGAACTTATCTTAACAGCATTAATAATAATAATAATAATAAATTCACTGACTCCCTGTTTGTTTCTATGTACAATTCAAGATGATGCTTTCAATCTATGAATGGCTTGGCACCAGGATATACTGTTGCATACTGGTGACACTTTGCCCCAATTCTCCTAATGACCACCGCCAGCAGCTTCATATAGACATCAAATAACACTAGAGGCAAAATTGCGCAGTGTCCCCCAGAGATCAACTAACAGAGTGTTAAGGCACACTCACCTAATGCTACTTTCTGGAACTGACCCTGTAAGCAGAAGTGAAAGCACCATAAAACAGTGCCCTCAGCTGCTGACTCATAGAGACAGTCCAAGATGTTACAATGATCAATGGCATCAGAAGCCACCAACAGATTCAGCAGAATCATCAGGCTTACACACCCTTGTTCCTCTCCTGAAGAAGGTCCTCTATCAGAAATACAAAGGCTAATTCTGGTCTGAGCCCAGGGTTGGAATGGGTCAAGATAATCAGCTTCATCCAAGAGCATCTGTAACTGAATCCCTACCACCATCTCAATCACCTTGCCTAACAAAGGTCTATTGGTAATTGGGCAGCAGCTGGAATAAACCTGTGAGTCCAGGGTTGGTTTTTTCAGGAATGGCCATATCACTGCTTCCTTTAAGGAAGTAGGAACCACCCTATCACACAATGAAGTGTGATCTACCCAGTTAACCTTCCATGGGAGGCACAAACCAGCCAATGGGCATGTGTTGAGAGCATGTATTAAGCCACACAACTGCAAATTCTTCAAACACCTTTTAGAGTTAGTCTCCTTCCCCATGGAACTGGTGCGGGGCCAATACTAAACTACATTTCCTAGCCTGCACATGTAAAACCTCAATTGTGCTCATGCTTCTCTTGACTATTGGGAAGAAAATGGAAAATGCAGCACATTAATTCATAAAATTGGCACATCTTTCAAGTTTTCAGCAAAACAGCACTTAATTTCCAATGTTTCCTTCAATTAACTTAAATCCTGCATTTTGTTAGTATTCTGAATTTAACAGAGGAGGCATATTATTAACACGTAACTCCTTGGTATTGTGCTCATGCTACAGATCTAGTAGCAAAGGAAATAAAGTAGGGTGCTTTACATCAAGCTTGAAATGGAACAAATTAATATCACTTTGTTTACAACAATTATACGGAGACCTACACAAAATGCATAATTAGCACAGTAACAATATGCATATAAGGATTTAGCTTTACACTTCCCAACCTTATTTTTCCTGTCTCACTGTGCTAATAACTAGCCTGGCGAATGCACTAGAAGTTGGTTTTATCGGGTGTTCCTTTTACTTTTCATAGTGAAGCGATTTGCATGGAACCAGTTAGATCTATTAGAGCAGGTACTAAGATTCAGCTGAAATTAGGCAGGCGTAAATCTGTCAATTTCAGTTTCTCATTTTCTGAATCTTAAATTAGGTTCTCCACATTTCCATATTACTTTATGATTTTTAAAAAAGGTCTCCTCGGCATGTAAGTGCCGATTTCTCCTAATGTACACATTTTTGCATACAATTTCCCCTGATATAGTGCATTTTTAATTTTATTTTCACACATGTATGCATTACATACACATTTTACCCTAGTATATTAATTTTTATACCCATTGCTTGGCTGGATAACTGCACTGTAAAATGGAGAAGCACAAAATTTGAATGATGGGCATGTTTCAGAAAGTGAGAATTAGGTAGGTTCACCATTAAATGTGATCTGACCAGAATTTCTTCCCCATCCCTAGGTGAAATCTTTGGAATGTCACATGAGCTTGCATAATTAAGTAAGAAAAAGAAAACATAATTCTGAACATCTGTCTACATCCGCCCATCTTCTTTCCCTTGGGGCACTTTTCAGCAATGACACAAGGACACAAAGTATAATGCAAAGTTGTCGTTTTCTCTCTTTTTCTTACCAGAATTCCCTTTAACTCTTTCATTGCACTCTCAGAGGGTTTGGGTACTTCTGGCTGTAAATGAAAACAAAACACCCATCTAGGTAATGCGATTTTGCAGACGTTGACTAAAGCACTTAAGGCGTGCAAAAGAGGAAAACTGGAGGCAAGGCTATTGGAAGAGGGTTTTCACCACAAAGAAATACGCTAGACTATGCTAGCTTCCCAGTAGGTGGGTTCCTGTTGCCTACTAGGAGGGAGTGGGGTGGGGTGGAAGGGAGGTTGCTGTGGTGCAAACATGCTGACCAGGAGCACTGAACTGGCTCTGCTGGTGTGTTTGCACAACACTGACCTCCCCCCACCTCAGTAAGCAGAAGTGACCTACCTTGCAGGAAGCTAGCGCAGAAATTTGATCTCACCCAGTGACTGCTTCTGAATGAAGTAATAGAAATCAGATGAACCTTAATAGTAGAAAATGGTTTGGGAAACTTTCAAAAAAGTTATTATTTTGCTATCAGCCTGGGTCAATGAGTGTGGTCTTATAACTTAGTCATATAACGCTGCATTAACTCTGCAGTCCAGGTTGGAGTGCCTCAGCGGCTGTTACCCTCCTTTCCTCCTGCCCAACATAATCAACCCCATTCCTTCTGACAGATTATGGCAAGCTCTTGCTTTCACAGGCATTAGCTAGGGGTCAGTTTGAAGAGATAGTTGGGAGAGTGAGCCTCCCCCTCTGATTACTTTTTAGCAACCTACAGTTTATCTATCAATAGGCAGGGATGATGAGACTTGTAGTCCAACAATATTTGGGGACTTAAGGTTGAAGCACACTACACTAGAGGAGCTTCAGGACCCTTCTATTCTCCTGGAACAGAGAATGTATTTTATAATAACACAGTTCTCCCCCCGGCATGTTTTACATGCAAGTTGTTAACAAACCTTTGTCTTAGAACGGTTGGTCTGATTAACAGGTCTAAGGTGAACCCCCTTTTTAATTCTATCCATCATTTCTTCAACAGCTTGTCTCTTCAGATCCGATACTTCTCCTGTTGCAAAACAACAAAAAAGTTAAATTCCTTTCTTTCAAGAGGTTCCTTCCTTACATTGTAAACTGAGGAAAACAAAGAGCCAAAAAGAGCCTTCCTGACTCACACTGCTTAAGAATATTGATTTCCAAACCGTACCACAGAAGTTATAAAGCTAGAATTAAGGATGGGATTTGGAAGGGAAATGTTTATTTTTTTAAAATTATTTTAATATATTTCATATTACTTTGCCAGCTCATATTAGGTGCTCATGCTACTACTCACTCAATGCTTTGACTTGCTACCAAGTTAACCTGGAATTCTACTAGCAGTTTCTGATTTACAAAAATAAGGTGGGTCCAAAAAATATACATCTCAAGTGTCAAATGCCAAGGTGAACAGGTGCCATCTTCAGCATTTACTGAAAGCTGTATAATGAAGGTGTCAGATACACCTCTGTGGGGAGGGAGTTCTACAGATTAGGGGCTGCCACAGTGAAGACTGTGGAGATGGTGGTTCAGAACCTGAAGACACACAGCTACAGTCCTAAATTGGCTCCCTGCTGCACATATTTGCCCTCCAACACGCGGAAGGCCACGGGAGATGGGCACTGGGATATGGATGGAGCTAGTGTACACAACCCTCCTCATTGCCTGAATGACTGAAAAGGGCTAAAGATGGTTCTTACAATTCAAGAACATAGGAGCATAATAGCCCTGCTGGATCACACCAGTGGTCCATCTAGCCCAGGCACCCCAAACTCAGCCCTCCAGATGTTTTGGGACAACAACTCCCATCATCCCTAGCTAACAGGACCAATGGTCAGGGATGATGGGAATTGTAGTCCCAAAACATCTGGAGGGCCGAGTTTGGGGATGCCTGATCTAGCCCATCATCCCATTCTCACAGTGGCCAATCAGATTTCAGCAGGACCCGAGCACGGGAGCACTCTTGCCTCCTATGGTTTGCAGCAACTGGTATGCAGAAGCATTACTACCTTGGATCATGTAGGCAGAGCATAGTCATCATGGCTAGCAGCCATTGATAACCTTATCCTCCATGAATTTGCCCAGTCCTGTTTTAAACCCATCCAAGATGGTGGACATCACTACCTCTAACGCAAAAAGGTTCCATAGTTCCGATGATGCACTGTGTGAAGTGAAATGAAAAGCTCAGATATCACCTTATTGAACTAGGAACAAGGTTCATTTTGCTGGGAAGAAAATGTGCTGTACCTGAGCCTTGCTGAGATGCCTTTTCTTTCTTCGCCAGGCTGCTATTTGCATGAGACTTCTTACGAATCATTGACATCAGCGACCTTTCACAAAGTAAAGATGGAAGAGAGTCACTCAAGCTTTCTCTTGAACCTGACACCTGCACTTTCAGAACCAACTTAGCATGCTTCGTTGCCCGTAGTCCCATTTGATGAGAAGGCATAACAAACACATGTAGGATCGGGGCCTGTTCCTATGACATGCATTGTGGAAAGAGCTGGCATTAACCGACAAACAGCTAAGCTTTCTAATTGACATGAGTGTTCAAACACTTCCAGGCAGAGGCAGATATGTCACACCTCCTTTAAAAAAAAGATTTAAAAAATACACAGAACGTATTATTTGTTATACGATTGCTGTTGACAAGGCATAGTGCAAAATACTCAAGATCTGAATATTAAAAGGTAACATGGCACCGTGACATGTGTGACAAAATAAAGCCTTCTCACACAATAAAAAATTGAAGGGTTAGGAACGTTAACATAACGCATTACACTCCAGAGAACAATGCCACCCAGCAGGGAGCCTCTATATTGTCCCCTCGTTTCGACAGTATGTATTTGCTGGAATAGGGCTACTGGTAAACAAACAAAATGAGAACAGAAAATAAAAACCCTCACATTATCTATGCTTTTGGTTCAATCTGCAAGGCATGATATTAATCTTAAACAGGCACTGCCAAGTCAATATTTGACCAAATATGAGAGGTTTGCTGTCATTCCTTCCTCTTTTCCTTTTACTTTAATACAAAAAGCTTTCAAAATGCCTTAAAGGGGGGAATAGGGGGAGCTGTTGTTATTATTATGTGTCTGTACCTGGATGTCTTGAGCACCTTTTAAAATGCTAAATGGCAGGCAAATGAATAAATCAATCCAGTGATCTTTGAAACAGCCACCACAATTGCCTGCAATGTTTGGAGGATAAGCACATTTGAGAACGGCAAGAACACTTCCAAAGCATAAAGGCTAACCTGCATGACAGGTTGCATGCTGATTAAATTGAAATTGACCAATTTTCATTCTTTGTGTTAAAAAGGATCAAAGTGTGCCCCAACCATATTTTATCCTTTGTGAAGTATGCCAGTGACAATAGTGCAATGTCTATTACAAGTATAATGGACAGAAAGGATGCCTATCCCTGTCTCTCTTAAAAGGAATCTAGATGCATTTATTTATCTATTTTAATTTATTTGTTTTCCATTCTCCCTCCATGAGATCAGAGATGTTGACGGTATAACAACACACACACACACACACACACACACACACACACACACACACTATAAAATACAAACAAATTGAGAAAAGAGTGAGGACATGAAGTGGTGGGGCCGCCACAGAAAAAGCCCTTTCACACACTATCAGCGTATGAATCACTGAAGAGGCAGTTGGAAGATCTCAATTCTTGGGCAGGATTGTACAAAACAAATTGGTTCTTCAAGTACCGTGGTTCCAAACATATACGTACATGCATATGGCCTCTTTTTATTCTTTTTAAGTAAGCCTGTCCCACACACTGGTGGAGGAAGAGGCGTGCAGGGGGAGCGCCCCGTCCCTGGCAGCGCGATCCTGGTGGGGTCCCATCGTGGCTGCCCCCCACCCGCGCTGGGCGGCACACCCCTACGGGCGGCACACCACGCCCCCAGGTTGCACGCAAGCCCCGCCCCTGCCTGCTCTCCGCCCCCTGGTGCAGGAGCATGAAGCTCCGCCACTGATGCAACAAAAACAAAAGCAACCTAACCAAAACTTTAACACATTGACAAGGCAACAGAAGAGAAGAGGCACATGAGCAAAAGGCTGTTTGGTCTGCAGGAGGGCTTCGCCACCTAAAATTTTCTATCATGTAAAGAAACAACTGCAATTAACTGGATAACTCCTGTTTCTTTGGCCAATCATGTTATCATAGCAAGTGAGAGCAAATGATGGGGTGTTGCATTGACAACAGGACATAACTCAATTTGTTTAATGGATCACTTTAAAAAAATTCCTTTATTGTGAGTAAACAATTTTACAATCTCCTAATTTAACACCTTTACAAAAACAAATTTACAATTTGTTAATTTAACACCCTGAAATGGTGTAATTGGTGTGATTTTATATATATATATTGGACTTATTAATAAGACTTAGCTGACCCAAAACTTTATGGAAGGAGAAAGAATAAACAAAATTCCTTTCAGCTTACCCCCACCCCCATAAAGACAGCTACTTGACCTGTGAATAGAGACTTATTAGAGACTAAAAATGAAAACACAAACGCCAGTGTTAACCTCAAAAGAATTAAAGGATATTGTTTTGTGTAGAAATGAGATGGCTTGTATATCAACTACATGAAAGTTCAGAATGATTTAAAAGACCAGCATGAAGATGCATATAAAAGAATTGCTAAATAAGGTAGATGGTTGGAGGAACACAAGACTAAGTCTAGGGTGTAGGGAGGGAGTAAAAGAGAAAATATTTTTCCCATTAAATATCTTCTTTATTAGTATGTAATACTAGAATCAAAGTATATATACTAGAATCAAAGTATATAAAGCTAGAATCAAAGCCCTTTCCAACTTCAATCTCACTACCAGGAACCAGACAAGAGTTAAGGGTTCATTAAGTTTTACGTTAATAGTTTAATCAGTGTGTCCAGCAGACTATCTGATGCAAATATAGCTACTATTCTGAGATATTAGTAACTGTGCTCATCAAATGTAAGAAAGCATGCAAAAAATCTTCCATAATCTGTTATCAATTTTAGATCTGGAATGCTTTAGGTTACACAAAAAATAATAAAAATAACTAATAATAACCCCATCATTCTGCCTGGACACTGAGGTCCAGCACCAAGCGCCTTCTGGCGGTTCCCTCATTGTGAAAAGTGAAGTTACAGGGGACCAGGCAGAGGGTCTTCTTGGTGGTGGCGTCCACCCTGTGAAACACCCTCCCATCATATGTCCAAAAGATAAACAACTATATGACTTTTAGAAGACATCTGAAGGCGGAGGGACATTTTAATGTTTGATGTTTTATTGTGTTTTATATTTTTCTGGAAGCCGCCCAGAGAGGCTGGGGCAACCCAGTCAGATGGGCAGCATATAAACAACAACAACAACAATTTTATTATTTATATCCCACCTGTCTGGCTTGGTTTCCTTACAGCATATATAAAACCACAATAAAACATCAAACATTAAAAAACAGAATATCTTAAACAGACAATAAATAGCTTTATAATGATTTAAGATATCATTCATTCAGTTGTTGAAAACGCAAACCTACAGTGTGCCTTCATCCAGGCTTTAGATCATGTGTGAATATTATTCTGCATTAAGCACTTCATAGATTTAAAACGGATTATACTCCTGCCTGGTTTTGGAATACCACAGAAAGGCTTTTAAGAGATACAGTACTGAGCACACTGGGAGCATGGCATGCAAAGAATCAACGGAGTAGCTGTTCTCTTCAAATAGACCTAAATTGCACTGGAAGTAAATAAAGCAGTTGGGCTGAGTAAAAAGATTAAGCAAATCACATGAGGCAAAAGGAAGGTGGAAACAGGAGGCTTACAAAACAGGGCTATTTGGGAATTCATGTGACTGAATTGGATGCTTTATGGCAGGCTAGGTTTCCATTAAAACTGCACATATTTAAGTTACACATTGATACATGTATTGAAAACCACTCTTGTTCAGAAAGTTTGGAACAATAAATTGCAATGAAGCATTCATCCTTTCAATTTCCCCCCTATGTTATAATGTCTGTTCTTGCTGAATGCTAAGCACACACAGCTAACAATTACTATGTTTTAATGGGTTTGGATTCAGGCAATGTCCCAGGACCGCTGTAAACCATCTGCCATAATTTTGCTTTGAAACAAAGAGAATAACTCCAAACTTCTTAATGGCAGTGCATGGCTGATTCCTGAAATCACCTGCATATAGGCAGCGGGATATACTGCTAGTAGATGGGATCATTAATATAATTATAGAATTTTAGAGTTAGAAGGGACCTTGGTGGTCATTTAATCCAGCTTCCTGTTATAATGCAGGATCCTTGAAAGATGGTTGCCCAGCCTCTGACCAAACACCTCCAGCAAAGAGCTCACCAACTCCCAAAGCAGACAGGTATTAACAGCCTGATTGTCCTGCAGAATGGGTTATGCAACAGGTTAAATTTGTAGAAATTACATGTGAACTGAGTATATGTATTTTAATTTAGTTTCATCCAGTCACCCAACCTGTTTTTCTTCCTAGGAGGCAAAAGTGCATGTTTATCCTCAATATGCTTATAATTAACTCCTAAAACAGGGGTCGGCAAGGTTTACCTTACCTGGACCGGATCACTCCTGTGGAGATCGTGGGTCAGACTGGCGCAGCGCCGGAAATCGCGTTTGTGCATGTCTGCGATGCCAGAAATCGCTTCTGCGCATGCCCAGATGCCGAAAATCATGCCTGTGCAGAAGCGATTTTTGGCATCTGCGCATGCACAAAAGCGATTTCTGAAGCCGCGGAAGAGACCTGTGCCGGGTTACCGCAGTGCGCCAGGACTCGCCGAGTGGGTGGCTCGGTTCTGGGGTGGCTTGTGGGCTGGTTAAACAGCCTCCATGGGCTGCTTCCAGCCCATGGGCCACACTTTGCCGACTCCTGTCCTAATATCATATACTTCTGACCAGGAGCAGTGGGCAGAGAGGATCACAGCAATGCAGCAGTAGCACTGCTGCCACTTACCAGAAGGGAAAGGGAGAGGAGAGAGGTGGTGAGGAGCATGGCACTGTGAGGGCACACCTGTGGAGACAATCCAGTTCCCCCACCACTCACCTGCACAGCTCTGACCTCCCTGCCACCTGAGTAAGTGGTTGCAATGTCACTATCAGGAGGCCAGGGCTGTAATGCAGCCCCTTCATCCTGGCCACTCATGCTTCTGTCTAAGCAAACAGTGTAAAGAATCAGTAAGTATATAATTTTACTTACCTTATTGGATTTGGAGGTGCAGGAGGTGGAGGAGGAGGAGGAGGAGGAGGAGGAGGAGGAGGTGGTGGTGGTGGTATAACATTTTCTGATTGGTGTATTCTTTTTTGAAGCTCTTCCACTGCACAGAGACAGAATCAAGTCCTCAGCTAAAATGCTCCTCTACCCGTGTGTATTTAAATGATGCATGCAGGGGGTTGGCAAAATAAAAAGCAAGTCCTTTAAAATGCAAACGGATTAACAGCCCAATGGACTATGTGAAACCCCAGATACAGCTTGTCAGAATCAATTAGGTACTGAGAGTCAGTAAGTTAGTACCCTATACAGAAATAATTTCACATTGTAAAAAAAACAAGAACAAAAATCAAAACCTGAGAAACCTGCATTTTGGAGATTTTATTAAAATAACTAGGATGAAGATATCACTGCCTCTCTTTTCTATCACTGTCTGTTTTCTTATATTAGTATTTTTGTAAGGAGGAAATGTCATCACACTGCCATTTGTGCGGTTGTCAACAGTCGACCATGCAAACTGTATATAGCATGATAGCAAGTGGACCGATAGCAAGAAAAGCAAGCAGGCAACTCGACTGAGCAGGATGGCAGAGCAAGTCGATGAGTGAGCAGGCAGCCAGGTGGCCCAGGCAAGTCTTCCCACATTCCCTGTTTTACCACTGCCACCTGCAGCCAAGTGGCTGGGTCCAGGCAGGCTTTCACACGCTCCCTGTCCTTGTCACACACACACACACACACACACACACACACACACCACAGTTCACCCCAAACTCCCCCCTCACAGCTTGTCCCCAAATCTAAGAGCCCACTGCCATTTGCACTGGAGAGGGGAATGAGGAGGACAAAGTCTTTCCCTTCTTTGCCCTGCACTGCCACCCACTTCCTCCTGTAGGTGGGCTTAGCGAGCAACACAAACAGGGACAGCAGTTCCTAGTGCTATCCTAATGAGGAAGCAAGAATTTTTTTTATTCAAGTATGAGAGGAAATGTAATGGCTGTCGCCGTCATGTGCCAGACTTTTGCTCCTAAAAGTAAAGAAGCTGTCTGCTTAGTTTTCGGGGAGAAAACACCTCTCTGACCATAGCACTCCCTAAATATATAGTCTATGGTTTCCTTTTTGCATGTTCAATGTTTATGGAGTGTTGGAGTAACAATTAGGAGGGATGAAAAGATCTAGATCCAGGCCCTTTGCAAATAAAGGATCATTTGATCACTGAAGTCAAATAAACTGTATGGATTCCATAGAAGCATCATTTCTCTCTTTTTTCTGAGTTCATGGGTCCAACTTAATAGTGTCCTTTTCGGCTGGTCTCTGTTGCTAAACTTGGAAGATAAATCTAGGACACAAAATTGCATGCTGGGAAAAGCAACCAGCTTTGGCTCTTAAAACTAAATGTTTTTGTACTGATAACTGGTTTTCTTTACTCGTATTTCATAATACGTAGCTCTGGTGGGCATGCTACCACTTTGAAATCCCTGAAGAATCATTAGTGGCTTCTTCCTTCTCACTTTTTGATATAGTAAACAACCATTATTTTTATCGTTCAGATAATAGCTGAATGTGGCAGCCATTAAAGGACGCCATCAAGTTGAAATGTAGTCAATACATATACTCAGGTAATTTATTTCGTGTCCTATAGTGGTCCCTGAGTGGGTTCCCTTGGTAATTTCCATAGGTTTTCTAGTCACTTTACAACGCTGTGATTAATTTAACACACAACACTGTAAAACAGTTTTAGGACCTTGCACAAAGGCATTAGTATGTTTTTCTTTTGACATTTTCCATCCACGTAATCCAGCTGCTTTAGGATAGTTAAACAGTACTTCCCCTGCTGGTAACTGTATTTTGAATTTATTAAGAAATGGCAATCTTAGATAAAGAGTAGTAAATTACAGTTTTTAGCATTTAATAGGTACGATGCTGTAAGCTGGTCAGGCACCATCCTGGCAAATAAGTCTTTGGTAACAACTAAATTACAGTAGTTTATCCATACTGTATGCATTCTAAGTGGTTTTGTCAGTGCTCCTGATGTCTTGCTTTAGCCTATAAACTGGACAAATAATAGCCAGCAAGTCAGACAGTTTCTACAGTCAGATAGTGAGGGGTAAATGTTTTGCCTGATGTGCAGGGAATTAGCCACACAGCTCCCATGGATTTTAGCCATTAACACCCATGGGAGTTGCAAAGCTAATTCCTTCTGCATAGCCTTCGACACAGCATTTACTTTTTAAAATGTCAGTGGCACAAGGGCACATAACGTGTTGTTGCTTCCCAACTCTCACTGCAAAGCGCTAAATCATTTCTTGGAATATACTAATAACTTCTGCAACTAGAATGTTGTGAGGATATATTTTTTAATCCCTATGTGACTTTTGCATTTGGAAGAAAGAATACCAACTGAGTGAATACAAAAGGGTTAGACAAGGTGGTCGTGATGCAACTTACGTCCTGCTGGTTTGAATGGAGAATAAGTGCACCTAGCTAAGGCTGCAATCCAAACTCACTCACCCCTGCCTGTGGAGCAACTACATCCACAAGCCAGTCATTCACGGTGGCCACAGAGACAGTGGTGGGAGGGCAACCAAGCCCTGTACAAGCTCCAGGCTGATGCACTGACAGGGTGCAGATCAAGTCCAGTGCTGGCCACAAGGACTGGAGGACTGGATCAAGATCCAGTCAATCCTGGGCTGGCTCAGCTCCTCATTGCCCTTAGAACACCCTGTTTGGGGACTTTCCAATGGTGGGGATACCACCAACAGGCCTCTCTGCCCCTCAGCCAGGTGAAATGAGCAGTGGGATGCTTCCACTCAATCCAAAACACACACAGAGAGACAGCCTGGTGTATGAGGCAGTTGGATTGCTTTCTTTTGTAAACATACATTACAAAACATTATGAAGTTCTAGTCACAAATAAAGCTTGGAAATTCCGAGCACTGATTATCATGAAACCACATGGTTATGTCTTAACTGGAGTTCACATTTAATTCTATCTGTTTTACAGCCATCATACTAAGATTGAATACGGTATCAAATTTATTCAATATTTTACCTGAATGCTTTAGGTTTTTAACTTTTTCTTCAGCACTCTGGTATTTTTCCTCTAATTCCTTTTTATCTTCTTCTAAAAGTTCTAGCTGCTGTTTAAGGGATTTGATTTCCTTATTCAAGACTTCGTTAGCTAATTGTTCCTCCAGTTCTTCAACCTGTTATGGACAAATACAAAATTGCAATGAAAATCAAGATCTTGTTTTGTCCCACCCACCAACTTAACAAAGAAGCACACCCAACCAAGTCAAGCTAATAATTCCCTAGAACACAAAAAATTATCTGGCAGTAGAAAAACTGGGATCCTGACAATATTCAACAGGAATACAGCCGAACCTTGGAACCCGAATGCCTTGGTATTCAGACGTTTTGGCTCCTGAACGCCACAAACCTGGAAGTGAATGTTCCGTTTTGCTAACGTTCTTTGGAACGTGAACATCTGACGAGGCTTCCGATTGACTGCAGGAGCTTCCTGCAGCCAATCAGAAGCTGTGCTTTGGTTTCTGAATGTTCTGGAAGTTGAACAGACTTCCGGAACGGATTCCATTCGACTTCTGAGGTACCACCATACTCTAAATGTTGTTATTCAAACCCAGTACTTAATAGTTCAAGGTTTAAAAAACATGCTTGAAATGAGGAAGCATTTGTAGCATTTATGGATGTATTGGGTTGTTTGTTTGTTTGTTTTTAAAAATCTGTTCTACTCCAGAATTTCCAAGTTTTATAATGCAATTTTATAATGCAATCCTCAGAGTGGTCAGGGGAGAGTGGGATCCATGACTGCATCCTAAGTCTTCCGAGGGCAGATCAACAGAGGAAGAGAACTGACATTTTTTTCTTCCATTTCACACCAGCTCCAGGCTTAGAGTAATCATTAATCATGGAGTAGACACATGGAACTCAATAGACTTAAGCAGGTACCCCCAAACTCAGCCCTCCAGGTGTTTTGGAACTACAACTCCCATCATCCCTAGTCCCAAAACATCTGGAGGGCTGAGTTTGGGGATGCCTGGACTTGAGAAACTCAAGTTCATTGATTTTAGCAGGTCTGCTCTTAGTATGACTTAGTTGGATATTACTCTGTTTTGAAGCTACAGTCTGAACTATTGTATACTCCACTCCACTCTAACTACTACTGAAAACCATGGACTACACATTTCACAAGCCAGATTTTATACCTGCAGCATGGTTAATTTCCTGAGATGCCTGACAGTTGCTTAAAATCAGAAAATCCATTCATCTAGCCCAATGTTGGCACAAGCAGTTAATCAAAATATATGAAGAACAGGACAAAAATCTCCCCCTTGGAGAGCCATGAAGATCTCATAATTTGGTTTGTATTCAACTAGAATGTTGTTTTGTCAATTATTATTTTACAAAACACTTCAATTCTGGAGTGCCTAAATGTTTTAAAGAGGATTTAAAAGAGGGGAGAGTACACCTTCTTACATGGTTTTTTTTATCTCAAGAAATAAAACACTAATGTAAGTTATTAAATGGTTGCCTTTGTTAAATGTTATTATTTGAACACTCTTTCTTTAACCCCTGCTGTTTGCAATGGGTGAATTATAGAATAGTCAAGTTGAAGGGCTGAGACACAGTAAAATAAAGACCTCTCTGCCCCTGTACACAATTTGAACAAATTTGGAAAACAATCCTTTCCCAGAATCTGGGAATTACTCCCAATGTATAAATACACAAACGTGTGCATTATGCTTTTGAAGCAATCACTGCTTTCTTTTTACTATTCCTAAAAATTGGGGGAAATAACATGGCTTCAATTTTAACTATTGTCCAAACAACTTAGTAATTGCTTCCAGTACTGTAGATTGCTAAAATCTCCACCAAATTCAAACCAATAGAAATCCAAATAATTCATCTCCAGAATATTCCAAATACTTCCGGTGCCATTTGTTCATGTGTGTATCACCTACTTTGCATATGTAGCTTGTTAGCCTGCTTTCTTTAACACACTTCCTGTTTATTTGAAGAGACACCCAGAAGCTCCCTCCTCCTTTTAAAGGCCACAGTGTGGTGTCTCAGTGGCCTGCTTTACTTGTTATGCTAAGCCAATCTCTGCCTTAGACAACTGTCTGAGCATGTGGGGCTTCTGGAGAAGAGCTCGTGGCCCAGTTCTTTTTACTACTGCACTGTGCCAACCTGCATCAAAATTTGCTCTTACTTACAGCACCTGATTCGTCTGGAGAGAGCTTAACTATGACTCTGGATTTGGTGTACATACTAAGGAAAATATTTGACTTATGGTCCGTTCATACTTGTCCCATGATTTCAAGTCATAGGTCCAATACATTCTTCTTTTTAGCAGCCACTTTCCTTGGGAGAACCCGCTGTTTACTGCTAAATCGGAACAAACGTCAGCTGAGCTTTTTGTGGATTGTTCTGAATCAGCAGGAAAAAATGGATTTCCCTGGGGAAAGCAATGGGACAAATAAAAGCACTTGGACCCATGACTTGAAATTACAGTACAAATGGTAGTGTGGACGGGTCCTTAGTTTGCTGCAGCAGCAGCAAAAAAAAAAAAAGGGGGGGGGACCAGGGAGTTTACAAAACAATTACAGTGGTACCTCAGGTTACATACGCTTCAGGTTACAGACTCCAATAACCCAGAAATAGTGCTTCAGGTTAAGAACTTTGCTTCAGGTTGAGAACAGAAATCGTGCTCTGGCGGCGCGGTAGCAGGAGGCCCCATTAGCTAAAGTGGTGCTTCAGGTTAAGAACAGTTTCAGGTTAAGTACGGACCTCCGGAACGAATTAAGTACTTAATCCGTGGTACCACTGTACAAGCTCCTCTCTGGAGACCCAGGCATTCTCCTTAAGCCAAAGAATCACAGAATTGTAGATTTGGAAGGGACCCAAACGTCATTTAGTCCAACCCCCTGCATCACAGGAATCACAGTCGCGGTCTTCCAGCCCCAGAACGGCTGGCTGCGTTGCCCCTCTGGCTTAGCCCCTTCAGCACCCACTTTGGATGGTCAGAACCTCCCCCCAATTATTTGTGATGCTGTTAACACTGTTAAAGCTTCATTGTGCAGTCCAGAATCTCACTAACAATGTCTTGGTGCAGAAGGGGATGGATATTTCACGCTGGTTTAGACAACTTTTTAGTTGGACGACCACTTTTAGTGTTTCATATTTGTAATGTTTTACTGGCTTTTTAATGCATTTGAAATTTTATTATTGTAAATTGCTTCAGGACCCCTCTGGATGTGTGAAGTGATATGTCAACAGGACAACCTAAACTAAATTAAACCAACTTGATAACTTACAAACAGAAGTGGCTTGCAAGGCGGGTTAGAGCCACCACCCTAGTTCCTGGCAGGTGGGTCACTGTTGCTTACTGGGAGGAAGAAACAGGAGTTGGGGAAAGGGAACCATAGTGCAAACACACTAGCAGGGGTGCTAGATTGCCTTAGTTCAGGCATCCCCAAACTCGGCCCTCCAGATGATTTGGGACTACAGTTCCCATCATCCCTGACCACTGGTCCTGTTAGCTAGGGATGATGGGAGTTGTAGTCCCAAAAACATCTGGAGGGCTGAGTTTGGGGATGCCTGGCTTAGTTGGTGTGTTTGCACTGCACTGACCTCCCCATTGCCTCACCTCTCCCCTTCTCCCTCCCATTAAGCAACAGTGGCCCAAAGCTCTGTCCCACTCAGTGAGCTACTTCTGCTTACTATATATTCTTCAGTTTGGGAAGACAGGTGTCAGAAACAAAGCCACACCACAGTCTCTGAAAAGTACAGTACTTACCTTTTGCTGGTGTTGCAGCCTCTCTTCCTCCAGTATTTGATTCAGCTTGGCATTTTCATCCAGAGCTTTCAAAAGCTGTTCGTCGGGGCCAGCATTTTGCAGGAGAAGCTGACTTTGCCGCTTCAGTGTTTTTTGTTCAATAAACATCTACCAAACATGACCAAATTGCAAATTAGATCATTTGCCCAGCATTTATTCAAACCCGGGTAATTGGTTATCTAGCATCCAGATGGAGCAGGCATCAGGAAAATCTACAAGCACACACCAGAATCTTGCCACCTCCTCTATCTAGGAAACGTTCAGGATCTCAGCAGGTCAATGCTAAGAGCAAATGACTGGACTGTACCCTAAAGTCTGCCTAGTCTTCTATTAGATTCGCTCCAAAGGAAAAAGGCATTATTTTACAATGGTGGAAAAGCTGGAAAAGAAGCTTCCTATTCCTCTTAGGAATCTTTATGGAACTGTCTAATTTCAGATCTGTCCCCCACCCACCCCCAAACACTGCCCCATTTTTTTTTATAGTTTCGAATGGCTTGTTTCTGGGGACAGAGAAGTCAGGGGCGTAGCTAGCTGCTCCGGCACCTGGAGCGGCAGGGCAAGCCGCCCACTGGTCTGCACGGGAATATGTGAAGGACGTTTGGGTGATCAGGTATAGCTAAATGAAGTTCAGATTACTGTAGATTCCGGTGTAATAGATGACTTTTGAACCCCGGAAAATCTTCTCCAAAGTCAGGGGTCGTCTTATACGCTGGGTATGGTTGTGGCAGGTGGCGGCGGCTGACTTGGAATGGTGACGGGCAGAAGGCTGGTAAGAGCCGCCCCCCACCTCCATCCCTGGCCACCTCCCGAAGAAGCAACAACTGTGGCAGCCTCCCCTTCCCGTGGCGAGGTGGTGCACAGCTTTGGCCAGGGCTCGCCTGCCCTGCCACCATGGGGACTGCCGGATTCCCGGAGGGAGGGAGCCGGGAGGGAGCCCACCAAACGCCTCACCTCGGGCTGCTGCTGCTGCTGTTGCGACGGCAGAGGCAGCGGAGTGGTGCGCACTCTGCCCCTGGCAGCGCTTGGCGGGTGGCCAAACTCTATAATTTAACAGCAAAAGTTGGGGGGTCATCTTATAAGCCCAGTCGCCTAATACACCGGAATCTACGGTAGTTGGGACATGTGCTGCACTGAAATATTTTTTCAAATTAATCTTTTATATTTAAAAGATGGTGTCTCTCTATTTGAGCACTCATAACAAAATCCATAACAATTTCCTTTCGTTCCTTATGCTGAAGTTGCTTTCCTACTTCATTAAGACTCCTTCTTAATGAACAACAGATGTAAGACTAAGCCTGGTATCAGAAGGTGAGGGATTTTTAAAAAAAATCTATATGAAAGACAATATTGCCTATTTCTGCACAAGGTAGGATCTTCTGTTTATGGAAAGAAAAAGTAAAGTAATTATTTAAAAATGACTAAGTAATTCATTTGTAGTGCAGCAAAAGCAGAAATGTGTTTTAGGATTGCTGTATTAGAAACAGAATGCCACATTATTTCTTGTCCAAATTCCATGCTGTTTGTTTACCAGCACAGTAAATAACCACAGCATGGTGGCTGATAGATTCTTACTATCCCTTATATGACTTATTAACACGTCATTAAACAAAAACGGAAACGAAATCAGATATCTGGACACTTGCTTGTTTTTATAAATAGCCCATGCACCACTTGATCTGACTATATTTCTAAATCTACTGAAATATGACCAGTGCTCTCTGCTCTTAACTTTGTCAATCACCTGTTTGCAAATGAGGTAAAATATGGCCGAGTGGTAGATTTTGGCATTTATTGGCTTACGCCCTTCAACCTAACAGGTGTTTCAACACTGTCATGATGGATAGTGCTGATCACAGTTCCATAGACAAGGACCTACACTGCAACGAGTTCATGTGGAAAATGTAGTGAAAGAAATAAACACAGAAAGAACAGTGTTGTATGCCAGGTCACTAGGTCATGTGACCAAGCTGAACGGGCTTAGGATGCAGCCTAAGTTCCTCTTTTCTGGTCCCGCCCCCAAGAACACCCCTTTTTTGGAACTTACAATGGTTTCAAGTCAGGCAGCTGTGGCTTACCTGGCTAAGCCAGAATGAGCAAGTTACACCGATGTATTTTCGGCTGAGTCACAAATGGGGACTTAATGACAGCTGAGACTAAAATCAGCTGATTGAGCAGGAGATCAACTGCATTCTAAGCTTCTCAACCCAGCAGATCTTGCCATATGATTGGCTCCATAGTATGACAAATATTAGATTCCTTTACAATGGAATTCCTTGGCACTCTCCCTCCAATAAGCTGAATCTTCCATTATACTCTGCAGGTGACAGGTTTCAGATTCTAAGGCTAATGTATTTGTCCCCTGACCTCACCCAATTCCTGTATATGACAACTGAAGCTATGGGGTGTTACATTAATTATAGTCACATAGCAAATCCCCTTGCTCCCATCCTTTGCGAACTAGGCTATACATAAGAATCTTTTCATAAGTGCAGGTTTTTCAACCCATTTAGAGACACGTCACATATTAATGGAAGAGTTATTACAAAATAACCCAAAGGCCATTAATGCATCTAAATGAGAGTTATTGTGGAGCTCGTCACTAAAAAAGCCCATTGATATCTCTGAATCAATAGCATGCAATCTCATGAGAGGAGCAACATTCTTATACAAGGAGGTCATGGCTGTCGGAAATTATAAGCGTTTTCCTCTACTGTTGAGGGGGGGTGGAGGAAGCAGATAACAGCATTTGACCTTTTGTATGCAAATGTTCAATACTGGATTTTAAATACAATGTCTGCCAAGTGTTGCACAATGACAAGGGCATCCTAAGTAACCAAGATAAGTAAAGGCATTGCACTTTAAAAATAACTGTATTATGCACATATTAAATTGTGTATGGAACCTTTATTACTTACACATAGGCAGTCAAATTGAGCAAAATGATAGGCAGGTCAACGGAACTTTCCTAGCTCCCAACCCACATACACCCTCAGTGTCAGGCTGCACCAAATATCAAGGGCAGAGGAGAAGGGGGTGCAGGAGGGGTGGTCTGCCCCAGGTGTCATCATTGAGGGGGGTGACAAAATGCCGGGTGGCAATCACCACGGAGCCTGCAGCACGCTTAAGCCACGCATCTCTCCTGGGAGTGATGCGGTGGCGTGGGCGCCCGCAGGCTCCACACTGCCCCAAACGGTCCGCCTGCTGCCTCCCCCTCAGTTGTAGGGCGGCTGAGTGGGAGGAGGAAGGCAGACGCCTTGGAGGCCCCACGGGCAGCTGGCCCCGCCCCAGGCTCCCGATCGGCTAGCTCCGCTGCTGCCAGATATCACCCACATATTCTCAAGCGCACCTCCATACCTTTATGGGATAATATCTGTGCTTTAAATTTAATCTGATAGTGTCATTCAATTCAACATTAGCAAGTGATTTTGCAACAGGTGTGGTAAGATGAGCACCTCTATCCCGACTTGAACAAGTTCAACTTCATTTGAATGCGAGACTGGTGGGTTTCTAAAGTTAGCATTGCAATGGACAAGAGAGACTTTTTATGAAAGAATTCGGTACATTTTGTAGCATCTGCTTGCCTGCATTAAATTTATAAGAGACAAGCTTTCAAATACTAGCAAGACGCTAACTTGAATGAAACAAAATGAAACAAAAATTTTCCTGAACTTGTTGTCTAACGCCAATTTCCCAAGGCAATGAAATGTGAAATCCAACACGTCATAAGCATATGGCTGTATTCTGAAGCCCTGAGCTATTTCTTGCACATGATGATTACATTTCACCAAAATCTATTTTGTGATGCGGAAGTTCAGTGCTTCTGAAAATCAAGCTATGCCTACTGAACCAAGATACTCATGTTTTCAAAATGAAAGCGTGGTGCTTTTGCAAGTTTTTCTTGTTTAAAACAAGTAGCTGATCTTTCCTCTATTTCTTTGCATTGCTCGTTTAAGAACCTCCCCGGGGTTTTTGCCAACCCCACATGCAGAATCAAACCTGAGACCTGCTGCATGTAAGCCATGTGCTCTACCACAGAGTTATGGTGCCACCCTGAAGCAAAAGCTGAGTGCATTTTACAGATTAGGACCCCAACCCACAACCCAGAGAGCATATAGTATATACCACATGAAGCCCCAGCTTTACAGATAAGCCACATTCAATGCTGATAGATAAGCCACATGGCAAACTTCATAACTGGCCTCCAATTTAACACAATAATTTGTTTCCTGCAAGCCCCTGTGCATACCCAAAAGCATGCACTACACAAAAGGACACCAAAGTGTCACAGAAATATGGTCAAGGCCACAGATGCACTCTAGTCTGATTCTGGGACTAGACACTCTTAAAACGAGCATGATAAATGTACACCCTTCTGCAGAGTGGAAAGAAGACAGTATTTATTTATAAATAAACAGAAGCCGCTATGGAGTAAATGGCCCTTTACTTCAGAAAACCTGTATCAAGCTAAAATATACAATTGTGTAGACATACAATCTACAAATACTACAGTTGTGGCATATATATGAACCTTGACAGATTGACTGGACACATACATACAAATGGTCTTAACTGATTTTAATGTTGTATTCTTACATTAAAAAAATACATTCTGTAAAATATTGACCATTATTGCAAAGGACAAATAATAATAACAAACATTCCCCCAACTGATGACCATTGTTTCTTGGCTTTTGTTTACTTATGAATACACCCCTCCCCCACCTTATTCTAGACTGTTTGTGTGCTGCACATATTTAATGTCTGTGGCATATATAACCTTCATTCCTTACTTAGGTCATTTTTTAAAATCCATGTTTCAAAACCTGATTTAATCTGTAGATTCTGTTGGCTTACATACCTCCTGTGCAAAGGATTCTGCTCTCTGTCGCAGATCTTTCTCCAATTCAAAGTTTACTTGCAGCTCTTCATATTCTTCTACTGCCAGTACAGACACTATTTAAAGCACAAAAAAGACAAAACAAATCCAAACACACCACAACACATAACAACACACAAAGATGAACAACAAATTAGGAAGCAAAATAAAAGTGACCATCAGCTGCAAGCCATTGCAATTCACATACAAAGTGCATCAAATATATAAACTTCAAAATGACATGTTGTATCATGCCATGAAACAAGATTACACAAGATTTATGGTTGCATGCCACCATAAAAGCTTTAGCTGCAATACTGCATTAGTGGATAAATAATCCCAGAACTGTAGTGCAGTGGGGTGGAAGACTGGCTTCTGTGCAAATAGCTTCGCTGGGGGTAAGGAAACATGTATTGCGTTTTTCCCAGAACAAAGATTTGTTGTTATTTATTAGAAGTATTTATAATTTGCCTTTCACCGAAGCCAGATATACACAATCTAAGCCCAATCTAAACAAAATCTAAAACAGCATTGTGGGCTGGCCTCGCTCACCTGATTGGTAGCATCACTGCTGCTTATTGGAAGGTAGATGGGGAGGGGCAAAAAGGCAGTGAGACAATAAGGAGAGGGTGTCCTAACCAGTTCCAGCTTTGACCCACTGCAGGTCATTAGGACTGAGTTTTGCAACTAGGCCTGATTCTTGGTTTGCAATATTCTGGCAGTGCAGATCGGGTACAAAATTCTGGCGGTGCCCAGCAAATCTCTTTTAAATCTTCCTCACTGTCACAGCTTTCCTTATGAAATGCAAGTTGAAAATTGGTTGCCTCTTGGCAGTTTGTAATTCATATTGCAAAGGGCCTTTTCCATGGTGCTTTGACTGTTTTGGCTCCGGCGAGGGAGTGCTTCCAGGCACACAGTGGATTTACTGAGTATATAGATTTTGAAATTCTATGCCATTATTCTGAAAACTGACTCTTAGAGCTGAAGTATGCTGCAAAATCAGGGCTTGTGAGCAGTCATTAAGAGATTTTGAAGAGTTGATTGTTACTACTTTCAAGTCCCGGTTGAGCTGTGTGGGCAGAACAATACGAAAGAGCCTGCACAATATCTGTGCACATTCTGGGTAATTTTAGCCAGCAGGCTTGGCCCCAATTTCATGAACCAGTGTTTTGCAATCAACTTGTGGGGCTGGGAGCTATGTATTGATAATGTTTAGTAATGGAGAAAACTGTTCTATAGGTAAGAACGTAAGAAGAGTCTGTTGGATCAGCCTTGCTCCCCTGATTCTGGCTTTTATTTTATTTACTTACAATAATTTATAAACTAATTACTTTTTTATAAATCCTAAGCAGTGTACATAAAAAGAATATACAACAATTATAAATAATATTCAAATAAAACCAAGAAGATTTTTTAAAAAGAGTACACAAAACTAGATGATATGTTTTCTGACTTGGGCCTTGCTGCATCTATATAGGAGAAGAACTGCAGTAACAAGGCTCTCCAAATGGCAGTGCTGAGAAAGCAAACTGGAGGAGAAGATGACTACGAAGCAAACGTACGTACTTCGGTTACATTTTTCCAACACCTTCTGCTGCTTCTGAACTTCGGCTGCCAAGACTGCATTTTCTTCTTTGACTTTATTTGCCTGCGTAGTAGGGGAAGACATAGAATCATAGAACTGAAATGTTGGGAGGCACCACAGGGGTCATCTAACTCAACCCCCTACAATACAGGAAATCTTTTGCCTAACGTGGAGCTTGAACCCACAACCCTGAGATTAAGAGTCTCATGCTCTACTGACTGAGCATAAAACATAACAGAGATCATCAGGAAAACAAAAACACTTAATGATTTACATGGTATGAGACTTGGCTGTAACTCAACCAATATGCTAACACTGGTATTTCATTTAGGTATTGGCCTGTACAGAGTTCTTCCGTGTTCTTTTCTGCTCTTGCTGATGTGCCTGTAAGAAGTTTTTGCTCATAATTTTTCTAGCTAACCGAGAAAACTTAAGTTACTCTGACACATGCCTTGGTTTCAAAGGAATTTACTTTTTAATATGTTTGCTCAGCATACCAACCAAAGCTGCACAGAAACAGCTGGAATACCTTAAAATGCTTTACTGAATAATAACCGAGAGCTGAGAAGTAGCAATAAGTACTTCATACACAGCAAGATTTTAAAGCCCTTGTATACAAGGATGTAGAATCTTAGCTAGCAAGATCGCTTGTGGGAGATGGAGGGGGCAGGAGGCTAATAGACACACAGCTAAGTCTCTCTCTGGCTGCAGATTTGTACAGGGTAATACAATAGCATCAAACAGCAATGAGGGGGTTGCTGATCTCCACTTTGGTGAAGTTAAGAGTGCTTTTGAGTCATACTTTCTGCCTTCATCTCCTCTTACGGATTTTGAGGCCAGCTGATGGTTGTGATACAAAGCTCCAAAATCCTGACACTGGACCTGACAAAAAGTTGGTTGGGAGAGGTTAACCCTCCCAAACTACCATAAAAGCCCCAGTGTTCAGCCCTCGTATGGGACTGCACTGGAGTCTGGTTAGTTTGTAATAACAGGGGCAATCCATCTGAGTGCACAAACACTCAGATGCTGATACAAATTATTGTTTACCACATTCCTTTTTCTAGGATCCAACAGACAATGATTCGTCAAAAGGAAAATAGATATTTCAGAGGGGAAGCGGACAACGGAAAGCCTCCCACCCTTAAAAAAGAAGAAGCAGTTAACAATCCTGATGAACCTGTGGGATTAGGTATTATCCAATTAACAGTGGACAGTCATAAACCAAAAACTAGGCACAAAAAGTCAACGTCACATTCACCAACTCTCTGCTTTCCTGACACAATACTTACATCCACAATTTCTTCTTCTAATTTGCTCCTCAGGTTTTCCAGCTCAATGGCTAAGGCCTTCTTTTCCTCCTGAAGAGATATAATTTGATCCCGCAGATCTACATTTTCAAGAGCGGTGGTGGGAAGAGTTCGTTTTTCATTTGAGACAAAAACACACACAATAAGCACACAAAGACAGACACCGGCAGGAAAAGCTGAAGAATCGGTCATCAATAGGTTCTTAAATTATTAAGAAGGCAGGTGCCTTACATGCAGATACCATTACAAGTTTGCCATGTCTGGTCCTTTGTCTTAGTTTGATTTTCATTGCAGAGACATCATAGTCTGAAAAGCCAGAAATTCAGAGGCTGTAATGCTTCTGAATACCAGTTGCTGGGAAAAACAGGAGGGGAGAGTGCTCTTGTGCCCGGATCCTGCTTGCAGGGTTTCCACAGGCATCTGGCTGGCCTCTGAGAAGAGGATGCTAAACTAATTGGCCATTGGCCTGATGCAGCAGGCTCTCAACTGTTTTGAGTTCAGCTCAGCAGTGCACCATGAATCTCTCAGCCTGCCCTAGAGACCAGGCATCCCTTAGAAAGGGCTGCAGTTCTCGGTAGTAAAGCCCATGCTTTGAAGGCAAAAGGTCATAGGTTCAATCCCTGGCATGTTCAGGTATGGCTGCAAAAGATTCCTGTTGAAAACCCCAAAAGCTGCTGCCCGATTATTATTATATATTATTATACAGCCCTTCATCCAAAGATCACAGGGTGGTTTACACTATAAAAACACAAAATTCTTGAAATAATAATAATAATAAATGGATCAGTGGCTAACTCAGTAAAAGCCAGCTTTGGACCCAGTCCAAAGTAAGAGCCCATGAATGATGAAAATTTCATCTCTGTCTGGGCCCTATTTGTTGGTTTCAAATCCTACTGGAAGCCCATTATGCATCTAAAATCTCTTATACAACTAGACAAACATTTACTCATTACAGTACAACTCAACTTGATTCATGCTCACTTTTTGAAAAGGCACCCCACCCTAATTCAGAAGCACCCACCTTTTATCGTCTGCTGGCAAAGCACCGAGTTACATGCCCCTGGACTACCTTCCGTATCTGTGGACGATTCTTCATCATCAATGTTTATTTCTTCAGTGATTATATCCGGCCCCAGTTTTGCCATGTACAACATGCTGATTCTTTTCAGAGTCTTGTTTTCTTTGTTCAGCTACAAAATTCCAAGCACATACTCTGTTGCTTAAAACAAAAAAGCCCTTTCTCTTTCCTTTCTTAAGTGAAATAGAACATGTCCGTCATCCCAAGGCCACCAAGCATAAATGATACGAATCTGAAACACTCGCTGAGATGGGACTGAGGAGTGTGTCAAGCAAGCGTTTCAGAAAGAAAGAAAAAACAGCTTCTGGTGGCTGGAGTAGAGTGGGATGTTCAGACTTCAGAAGCAGAGCAATGGGTTGTATCCAGCAGTTCCCTTTGTCCAACAGAAAGAGTTACTCCAGAGGAAGTGAACCTCTAGGTCAGGGCTGGGGAACCTGGTGCCCACCAGATGTTGTTGCACTCCACCTCCCATCAATCCCACCTATCGTGGCCATGGAATTTGTAGTTCAGCAATGTGTGGAGGGCCAAAGGTTGCCCAGCCCTGCTCTAGGTGCTACCTAGCTTTACTTAAACTCTGGAGTGGGCCATTTTGGGGAATGGACAATGTCCTCCACCCAGCAGGTAAGATCAGAGGGGCAGAGGCAGGCCACATGGAACACACCTCTCTATCCTCTACATTCATAATGCTGCTCTCCCCACCTCACAGCACCTGCCACCAGAGGCAACTGCCCCATCATATCTAATGGTAGGGCTGCCCTGCCTCTGCATTGTTTTTAAGTGTGGTTGTCCAGTAAGCATCTTGATTCAAGATTAAATGGCTTACCTGACTTAAACCACAGAAAGCTGCACTGATTCTCTGAATTTCAAAGAAAAGTTTTGCAGAAATGGAGGTGGGGTGGGGGTTAGGAGAAAAAGAAAGGTTTTCATAAAGAGTCTGAAAAATCAATTTTGAAAGGAGGTCAGCAGAACAAGAGAGAGAACAGAAAGACTATGCTAGACAATCACTATGCTTATTTTAGCACTCTCCATTCCTTTCATTTCTACTGTTTTTGCCCCTGAATGTACATTTTCATGAACAGAAGGAAAGTGTTCACAGCAGCCATGATTATTCCAGATCAGCAATGGAAGAGGTTTTATAAATATGGAGTCAAGTTCCAATGTTTAATAAAACCAAAAGAGCAGAAATTGACAAGATTATCCTACTCATTTGCACATTGGGAGCCCTTATAATATGCCATGCTTTTGTCATATTCTGAAATATGCACTGCACTAAAATACTACATACTAGCATGGCCAAGCCTTACAAATGAGGACATGGTTCACTTAGGGCAACCCTGAAAACACCTGCTAAAATCATAGCAGGCAGTCTCCATGATCTATGCAAGATAGAGACAAGTATCATAATCCTGCAACTTGGTGTGGAGGGGGCTCAGTGGCTTGCATAGCTTTCCCCCCTAAATTATTCTGTATTACAAGTTGTGTAAGAGGCTGCCATAGACCTAATAATGCAGAAAGCATGCATAATAAAAATCAGTGCAGGTGCAGAGAACAGGCTGATGGACAGGTCCCTCCCCATCCACTTCTGAAAAATCTGAAAAGTTTCAATGCATTCCTGAAGACATAGCAACTACCCTGCTCCTAGCTGTACCCCATGTGATACTGGAAACCCTTGAATTGTGAAATGTAGGCACAATTTCTGCCACACACATGGACAGTGTTATAACAGCAAGCATGGCCTTGCCCAAATTGATTGGTAAACTCTCCCAAACTTGCATGATCTCTGTCTGTAGCAGGCAGGGGTTACATTAGTTTTGATTTCTTGGACAGGTCCTCACATAATAGTGATTGATTAGGGTGGGGGAGAGACTGGCAGCCTCCAGTTTCTTGAAACACAGTATATAGCTGGATCTGGTTTTGTAGCTAGGGCTGGGTGAATCAGTTTCATTCAGGTTGGAAGCTGATGGGGAGACAAGGGAAAGAGTGGCAGCAAAAAGAGAAAGGAGCTGCAGAAAGAGAGAAAAAGAGATGACAGAAAACAAAAATGTTGGTGCTGACCTTTAAATCCCTAAACAGCCTCAGTCTTGTATACCTGAAGAAGTGCCTCCACCCCCCATCGTTAAGCCCAGACACTGAGGTCCAGCTCTGAGGGCCTTGTGGTGGTTCCCTCATTGTGAGTAGTGAAGTTACAGGGAACCAGGCAGAGGGCCTTCTCGGTTTGACATGTAATGTTTGATGTTTTATTGAGTTTTTATATTTTGCTGGAAACTGCCCAGAGTGGCTGGGGCAACCCAGTCAGGTGGCATAATAATAATAATAATAATAATAGATGAGTGGCCTAGCCCACCTTTTGCTCAGTCCCTACCCATGTTTCGCTCATTGCTGTATGTGGTCCCTTACTGCTGTCCCACAAGGGAATGCAGCCCTTGGCAGGGAAAAAAGCTTGCCTGTCTCTGTAGTATAGTGTAGAGGATATATAAAATAGATAACTGAACAAGTGCAATTATTGTTAGGATATTTTATGCAGCCGATGCTGCTAGTGTGATTAGTATAAGTCACATGAGATGTCTGAGAAGAGTGTGGGAATGGAAGACTGTCTTATCTCTTCCGTCTGAGTGTGTTATTGTAACTGTGGTTTCACTTTTGCAGTATGCAACAGTTGTTCTGCCAGAGCTTGGAGAACACAGACGTGATTATGGATTGTCTGTATAGAATGTAAATAAAATGTAGTTTAGATCTACGGATGTTTCTTTCTTCTTGCTGTATGATGCTACAAGACTTGTGTGCACTTTTCATATGAAAAGTGTCGCAGAGAGGCACTCTGGAGATGAAGGGACATGCCATTCCGGAGACGCTCAGAGGAGCATTTTTCCAACAATTATATCCTCTATTCAAGCATAAGAAGAGTCCTTCTGGAACAGGCCAGTGCCCCATCTAGTACTACATCCCGTTCTTAGTGGCCAACGAGATGCCCATGCAAAGCCTGCAAGCAGGACCTGAGTGCAACAGCACTCTTTACTGGTCTCTGACCGTAATAATAAATTATTACAACAGCACTTTTCCTCCTGCTGCTACAAGCAAATGGTATTCAGAAGCAAACTCCAGCAGTCTAGAACAGAGCTTTCCAAACTTTTCCTGTTGTTGACACACTTTTTATACACATATCATTTCGTGACACAGTAATTCAGTTTTACTAGCAAACCAGGGGTTAAGCCAACCTATTTCCAGCCCTGGGAGGAGTGAAGGAGTGTTAGTACAAAACACCTACACACTCCAGCCAACACAGAGTTTGGAAAGCTCTGGTCTAGAACATGGCCATCAGGGTCAGTAGCCACTGACAGCCTTATCCTCCATGGATTTGTCTAAATCTCTTTTAAACCCATCAAAGCAAGGCAGCCAAGCAATGTAAAGCTATACAGGCAATCAACTAAAAGAAAATGAATCTATCTTACAAAGTTATGGACCACATGATCCATAACAGGTGGCATTCCCCATTCCTTGTGTTTGTTCTGTCTGTATGATAAAAAATGGAACCACCCCCATTGGGAGATGCACAAGGTCACAATGCAAGGACAGCTTGCAGATCTGACCATGGGAGATATCCAACTTTTATTTTGAATTATATCAAGAATCACCAAGGGGACACAAGGCACTTGTGCTTTCTCATAACCTCCCCTGTCCAACATTTATAATAGCAAAAAGTCATCCAGACTCCACTTGTCCTGCTGCTTTCCCCTCAGGAAGCTAGCTGTCTTTACTGCTGAAATGTCAATCTGGTTTTCTGCAGATTGACATTTGCTCTGATTCAGCACTAAAGAGCAGAGGAAAGCAGAGGACAAGCAGAAAACCACTTGGACCCATTCTTTCTAGGCACGGGGGAAAGTGGAAGCATGAATGAGCCCTAAGACACAAGATCTTCTTTTCCTGGTAAGGGACGCCACATAGTAAGAAGAGATCACCACTCTTGTCCTCAATCACAAATCCTCAACCTAGACGTTTGAAAGAGGGAGATCTTCCCAGTCACCCTGCACTGCTAGTTTCTCTAAGTGTGTTTCACTCCTAAAGATCTAGACAGAAAATGTGAGAAACCCTTCCAGGGTTGGTCGAAGAGTGAGTCAGCTTTGACATAGCAAACCAAAGAGGAAGGTGCTAGTCTCTTAGCTGTCAGAGTGTGTCACTCCATGCAAAGAATGGAAAGAAAGGATAGTTACAGTCATAAATTCATTTTCTTAGTTATATGTTGATTGACTATATTATGAATCCTAATGTAGTATCATTATGCAAACAATTAAGTTAATATATCCAGAAAGTACATTGCTAATGAATCTGAATTAAAAAAGATTTCCTACTGGTGGGATTTCTGCTACATCTGAAGAAGTACTTTGAGATTTTGCGGGGGGGAGGGGCGTGCACAAATGCACACAGACTAGCCAGCATTGCTAATGAAATTTGGCTCAAAATTGCCACAATCCATTTTCTGATTATGAAGTGGCTCAGATGTGTTATTCACAACCGTGTGTGTGTGTGTGTGTGTGTGTGTGTGTGTGTGTGTGTATCCATGAAGAGATAAAAACACTCTGTAATAATAATAATGCACTTCTGATGAGATGGAATATAGAAAATTATATACTTGGTAAATTCATCAACCTAGATGCAATCAACAGAGCAGTACAGGTCACCTTTTGCTTGCTCCACGGTTTGCTTTCATAAACAATCACCTGAAATGTAATACTCTGGCTGACTTTTCCATTTGATTCACACACTGAAATGCTCATTATTCTTTCATGTCACAGACACTCAGGACATTTCTAAACTTGTTTATCAGTTAACCCAGATGCATAAAATGGTATGTGGGAGGTAGTGGTGAAGGGAGGCAGAATAAAAAAGTAAACATTCAATGAATTATCCTTTTTTTGCTTTGTTTTTTTAAAAGCTTGAAAACCCAGTCAAGCAAATCTATCTTTAGCGGACTGCACATATTGAGCAAATAAAATACTAAGACACATATTGCATTGCGTGAAAGAAAGAAAGCAAAAAATCCTTTATTACGTCCAAAAGTAAACAGTCAACTTCCCATCCTCTCCCCGCTTCCTGGTTCAAGCAAACAAATTCAGGGCTGTTTCATAAAGCTCTTTTTTATCAGAAATAACATAAAACTCAAGATTGTCACATATCATGACTGCACACACGTATTTGGACCCTGACAACTCCCCTGCATATGTATATGTGACAAAACAGAAGCATCTATAATCATAATATGACTATTTTTCATTAAGTTGCGGGCCACATTCTACATTGGAGTGCTTTCCATGTAGGAATTTTGTCATGCACTGAATCTGTCTGAGGGCACATCCTTCAGCACTGACAAGTATGGAACTGATTGCACATATATACTGGGGTGTCAGATTGGGAGGGGCTGGGCACACCCTTCCTGGGTGCAAGACATACTGGCTGCATCCACACACCTGTTTATTCCATTTCCCTGACATTTCCCTAACTGTTAATTTCCATATTACAATTGAGCCTTCACACAATGTAAAAGCCACTACTGGAAAACTAATGACACCTATTTAGTGCTTGATTCCGTGTTACTTGGTTCCAGGGGGAAAAACACAAATCATTTGCAGCCAGAAACCCAGAAAATTGAGGGAGTCAGGTGACATAATTTGGGGTGGTATACTGGCATACAGTTCTTTCCTGTTGGTCTCATGGGGGAATTGTGCAGGAACAGACACATACATGTGCAGAAAGGGTGGGGGAGTAATGACACAGAATGAAATTTAGCACAACATCCTGGTGTCTTGGTTAAAAAGCCACAGTTCCATAATGCTATAGGTACTGCAGTGTGAAAGGAAAACATATGTCTGAATGTGCTTGTCTGGACATGGCTTCTTACACCTCTTTGGGCAATTGATGTACACTGTTAGGTTGTTTTCATAACTGCATCCTCTCCTAAGCACTATGCAAAAAATAATAATTTTTAACAGTATATTTTTAAAAGGAAGGGAAAGGAAAGGAAAGGAAATGGACAGAAGCAGTAGCACTTTAGTCAGGGGATCTAACACAATAACTTACACATTTGAATGTGCCCACAATGCATATTAACTCAGATATTAAACCTCACTCTTCATGAGCCTCACTGCCAAGTAGCAGTACACAGGATCTCAACATTAGAGAGCAATCCTTTGCGTATTTACTGGGGGGGGGGGTCAGGAATCATTCTGTTCCTAAATAAGTGTGTAAAGGATTGTAGTTTCAGTCTCCTCTGCTGACCTTACAGCTTCTTGGGCCTTCCAAGTGGACTACAAAGGATCAGCATCACTGTTATGCGACCTAAGCTTACCAGCCAAAGATGAATCATTGTTTCATAAACCCTCAGATTAGGTGTTCCACAGAGAGGAAAAATAAAATACATATTCTTACCTTAGTAGCCAGAGCTTCTGCACTTTCACGGCATGTCTTCTCAATTTCGAGGTGGCTCTGTATGCAGCTCACTTCCTCAATGACCATGTGAGAAACTAAAGCATAAGGGGAAAATATTTGAGTCACACAGTGTTTAATGAGTCAAGCCTTCCCTCACTCTGATTTTTATTTTACTCAGATCATTCATCCTATGATTATGAAAATCTAATTCAACTTCCACATCAACTACTTCTTTAAAGCTAACACTTTATCCATATTAAGCAAAACATATATATAAAAGGACCAGACGTTTATGAATGCTTTAAAAAAAGAACTAAACATTAAGGTCAAAAATAATACATAGTATTTCCAAAGTTTTGAATACAAGGAGAAACAGGATTCCCATCCTATGGCTGTTTGATCAGACTGGCTCGGAAGGAAGGCCCACTGTTTTAATGGGACTTATTACCAAGAGAGAGAGCACTGGATTGCAGTCTGAAATTCCTAACAGAACCTACTAAACATTAACTCTTCTTTCCCAGTGCTTCACCTCTCCCCAAAGTGCATCCTGTATTATTTCTAGTCCTTCTACTTTACCTCTACTTCTGCATGCTTGCCTTCATCCTCCCTGCCCAAAATCACCACCCCTTCAAAACTCATGCCTTCCATTCTTATAACAATCACATTTTCTTACTTACCTCTTCCCACTTCCTATAGCTTATATTACAGCAAACACAAAAATAATTTCAAACTAATTTTTATCATCCTAATTGTTGTTGTTGTTATGATTACATTTATATCCCAACTTTCCTCCAAGCACTCAAAACTGGCACACATGGTTCTCCCCCACCCCAATTTTATCATCACAACAACCCTGTGAGGTCGATTAGGTGGAGAGACAGTGACGAGGCCCAAGCTACATGGCCGAGTTGGGATTTGAACCCGTCTCTCCCGGGTCCCTGTCGAACTACTACACCGCAGTAGGAATTGGAAGGGCAGGGAAAACAATTATTTTCTATAAATAATAATAATAATTTATAATAATAATTTATTATTTATACCCTGCCCATCTGGCTGAGTTTCCCCAGCCACTCTGGGCGGCTCCCAATCAAGTGTTAAAAATCAAGTCGGTTTCACTTGTCCAAGCAGTACAGCGTTACATATTAAAAACTTCCCTGAACAGTGCTGCCTTAACATGTCTTCTGAATGTCAGGTAGTTTTTTATCTCTTTGACATCTGATGGGAGGGCGTTCCACAAGGCGGGCGCCACTACCGAGAAGGCCCTCTGTCTGGTTCCCTGTAGCCTCACTTCTCGCAATGAGGGAACCAGCAGAAGGCCCTCAGCGCTGGATCTCAGTGTCCAGGCTGAACGATGGGGGTGGAGACGCTCCTTCAGGTATACTGTATAAATAAAGGTTTTTAAATACCGTATTTTTTGCTCTATAAGACTCACTTTTTCCCTCCTAAAAAGTAAGGGGAAATGTGTGTGTGTCTTATGGAGTGAATGCAGGATGCACAGCTATCCCAGGAGCCAGAACAGCAAGAGGGATTGCTGCTTTCACTGCACAGTGATCCCTCTTGCTGTTCTGGCTTCTGAGATTCAGAATATTTTTTTTCTTGTTTTCCTCCTCCAAAAACTAGGTGCGTCTTGTAGTCTGGTGCGTCTTATAGAGTGAAAAATATGGTACATTTTTAGCTTTCTATATATTTTTTCAAAGCTTAATATTTCCTAAAGCCTAAACTCTGTCCCAAACGGCTTAATTCCAGTCCCCAAAGCTGGCTGAAAGGTGCAACAGAATTTTCAAGATGCAAAGATTCAGGCGTGACACTGGTGAGAGTGGACTCTCTTCCTTCATAAGAACATAACATAGGAGGCTGCCTTACTCTAAGTCAGACCATTGGCCCATCTAGCTCAGTAATGTTTACATTGAGCCTGCTGAGGTTTCAGGCAGGGTTCTCTCTAGGAGTGGCCAGTGGCACAGAGCGGGTGGGCTGTGTTGCCCTCCCAGCATCTCAACACTGCTGCTTACCAAGAGAGATGGGGGGGTGAGGTGTGGCTGCTATGCAGCCAACCAAAACTCCTGCCACTAAGCACTGCACCACACTGAGCTCCCCACCCCTCACTCCGTCCATAAGTGGCAGCGACAGTGTTGGGATGCCAGGAAAGCAATGGAAAGACAGCTGCTACGGGTGGTACCGTATTTTTCCGTGTATAAGACAATGCTTTTTGCTAAAAAATTTTTTTAAAAATTGACAAAAATTGGGTGTCGGCTTATACACAGATAATGAATGCAGGGGGGGGGGATGTGCCATTAATGGCAGCAGCAAGCAGGAGATTGGGCAGGCGATTGGCGGTTGTGGAAAGTGGGTGGGTGGGCTGTTGGTGGCGGCAACTGGGCGGGCAATTGGTGGCTGTGGTGAGGTGTGCAACAGGCAGTGGCTGTGGGAAGCGATTGGCAGTGGCGGGAAGGCGGGTGAGCGATTGGCGATAGTGACCTCCCTCAACCCCCCAAAAAGCTAAACAAGTTAATTTCTTAATTTTGGGTTTAAAAAATACGGGTTGTCTTATACACGGGTGCATCTTATACATGGAAAAATACGGTATTTAACTTTAAAAATGTGCAAGCAGAACAGTTTATGTACTAGAGCTTTCACCCTCTCCTTGTCCTGCGGCATCCCCAAATCCGCTTGGGAAGGTTGTGGAAACCCCGCAGAACAGATTTAGGGGGCATGCACTAGGTTGAATGCAACTCACTGCATTTAGTAGGACCTATTCCCAAGTAGGAATGCATTAGATTGCCCTTGTATATGCCCAAGGGCAGAGCTATAACCTTGACATCTCCGCCTTGAATACAGAAGTCTCACTGTCTCATCTTCTAAACCAAATGAGAAAACTTCAGAATAAAAGCAGCCTCCAGTTGTAGGACAGTTACCCAACTGCATATAAATGATATTGTTATGAAGTTGTGAATATCTGTTGCTGGGAATCACAAGTCCTGCTTTCATGTCTTGCTTACGGGTTTCCCACAGGGTCACCAGCCTGATCCTGCAGTGCTCTTCTTATGTGTACTGTCTATCGTTATGGGATACTAGAGTTGATGTGTTTTCTTCCCACTCTATTCCGCCATGGTCAGACCACACCTGGAGTAGTGTGTCCAATTCTGGGCACCACAATTTAAGAAGCACAGTTTTATGATTCTTTCACACATGAATCCAAGCCTTTTGGGGCTTTATTGGTGGTGGTGGGGAAACAGTGCTGCGAGCGATGGCTCGAAAATGAGTAAGAAGCCAATGGCTTTCTCCCTCTTGTTTGCTATAATTGTTATTTATGTTTCGTGTTCTGTCAGCATCTGGCACTGTACCACCAGAGAGATGAAAGAAAACAGCCTTAACCGAAGGAGATATACATAGACACACCGCAAGAGCCTAGATGTGTTGTTATAGCTGGGCCTAGAAAACCAACACATGGCAGTAGTTTCCCATGTAGATGAGGTAGAAACACAGAGACACCAAGGGAAATACTCAGCCCTGGGATCCAATAATCAAAAGAACACAGAAGCCCTGTACTTTAAGAGGTTTATCTTCTATTAGGTCAACCCAGGCTACCTATTTGGCAGCATGTCATAAGCCAAGAACAGGAGTAAGCACTGCATGCGCTGCAGACATACTGTCAGAAAATGGAATGAGTTGAGCAAAGCGTGGGGAAATGCCGCAAATAATCTCTGCCACATGCTGCAGTGGAAGGCAAGAATAATAAAACAAATGGTCATCAGCCAACCTCTCTTAGGCCACAATCCTACTTACTTGGGAGGAAGCTCCTCTGAGCTCAGTGCAAATCACTTCTGAATAAACACATATAGGATCAGGCTGCATGGAAAAGCAACTTCAATGTCCTAGAAATCTAAAGATGTTGAGCCAAGAAAGCAAAGAACATAGGTTGGATCCTGCTAAAGAAGGTATTTTGTAGTCTTCTACCACACCAACCTGGCACATTACAATTTTCTAAGTGTACACAAAACAGGTTTTACATGTATAATTCAATGTGTAAAATGTACATTTGGAAATGTGGGAAAAATTCAACATTGTGTGAGCTGGCTTCTGCACCCCCAGCTTCAGGGAGCTGCACTGGGGAGAAGAGGAAAGGGAAGTCCCATTGTGCAAGCAGATGTCCGTTTTGTCCATACATAGATGCCACTGAATTTCACCCAGTGTGTATTATGCAGATACACAGACCAGGTAGTTCAGGTTTGGTACCCGGATGTATGGTAGCGTAGAATGCATTCCAACCTGAAGAATCACAACAAACAGCAAAAATAAGCTATTGCTAATGTGTCACCGAGTTGTGACATCTGTCTAATCCACTGTCAAAAGAAAAGAAAAAGTGATTACATGGCATTTGTCCAAAAAGCTGCTTTGTTGTTTCATAAAGTTAGCCAAGAAAGTTCTGATTCCTTTTACATTAAATGGTAGGAGTAGTGCATTAAAAAAAAAGAGTCACTTTACATTAATGGTAGGAGGTGAAAATTAACTAGATTTTTCATGTAAAATATAAAGGGTTTTTTTTTAAGACCTCATGGTTCATTTAAAGATTAGTTAACCTGCAATTATGATTAAATTCCAAAGGTAAAATGTATCTGAACACACACACACACATATATATACACACATACATACACCCCCCCTTCCTAAGACTGTCCAAAGTTCTTATTATGCTGATATTAAAATTCATAAAGCAACACTAAGTGGCCAAAAACCTCTCCAACCTCAACATTTTTTCAGGGGTAATAATAATATGCAGCAAATGCAGGCCAACCAAAAACCACTTAACTAATTAGTAGTTGCAGTCGCCGAGAAAACATGAATCAACACTGTTATTACAAGTGGCACATTTGAGTGGCATCTAATTATGACTTGATGAGCGTGATACTTGCATTATCAACATTACTACCGCATCCCATCAGGGACTAAAAGCCGCTGATGGCATTGACTGCAAGAAACTCCCCCTCAATGGCACTGCAGCACCCAACAATCTCCTTGGCAGGGGCACCCTCACTAAATGACATGTTAAGCGTAATTACTGGCCGACATTGTAAATAAACAGGATTGGAAGTGAAAATTGTACCAAGTGCATAAGACACAATCTGACACATTGGAAGTGGCAGCCTTAATTGAGAGTTTCTTTGACTGCTCAAGATCATTTCAACTGCATTTCTCGGAGGACAGTGATTATAACTGTGGAGACAGACGGCATAATGGTATCAGCACTGCTGACAGAGCAGTGAATTAAATTGTATCTGCTGTTGTGTGAAAGCCTTGATGAGAAGTACAGATCCTTAGTGGTCTTATCATTATCACACAATGGTCATGTTGTCATCAACCTTTCTGGCTCCAATTGAAAAGAAATGATTGTGTGTTGAAGCTTCCCCCCCCCTACCACCACCTCCTATCTCTTCTGCTGAATAGAACCAATTTTCAGAGAGCTATGAAATCACGCTATAGGGCCTAAAATGCAGCTGCTTGGCATACAGACTGGGCCCCATTAAACAGGAATCACGCACAATATGTGTTTATGCCGGGAGAACAAATAGAAGCTGAGCGCAGGCCAAGTTTATTCACAGACACAAAGCCCGTGTAGCTCTTCATCAAAATAATTGCCTTTTATATTGTCGTTTAAATAATGGGCTCCATTATTGCTGTAAAATCCTAATATTCCTGGCATTTTATCGCTATGTTTACAAGGTATGTCTTTTTCCCCCCTTTCTTTTTTTAAAAAAGGGAGGGGGTGAAGCACATGAAAAGGAAGATAAAGGGAAACCCACGGCATTTTACAAGAGCAAATATTACTTTCAAATTTTAAGACTCCACTCCTTGACATTTTCTGCCAGGCTCTTGAATTCCCAGTATCACTAGCACATATTAACAAGTCACAAGGTGTCTGTGTGTGCCTGCCCTATTCCTTCCACTTCTTTTCACAGGAATTTGACTTCTTAGGCCTTTCCCCCCCTCAACATATAGCCACTCCACCAGATTATTTCAAAATAGTTTAAAGTTTAGGACTATTTCACTGGAGGTTTTTCTGCTGCATTTATGAACCAACGCAAACCCCAGCCATGTAAATTTCTTTGTCATCTATGTATGGGGTGCAGGTTCTTTCTTTTAACCCTCTATTGCTAATGCCTAATACTGCAACAAAACATACTATGGTGACAGAGACCTAACATAACAGGCTGCAATACTGTTGTCATCTCCTCTCTTGAGAAGCTATTCACGGGAGGGCTTTCCACTCCCATTAGCTGTGCTTTGTTACCTCCAGACACCACATGGCATCAATAGAACCATTATCACACAAGAGGGAAAACTGGATATTTGGTGGAGGGGGTGGGGGTGGGGAGAGTTGTTAGCATATTTATTCCTTGCGCCAGTGGGAGACATCATCATACCCACTTTAAATTTGGTTATGTAGATGTGCTTGATCCTTCATAAAGAAGTTAGCAGCCTGAGCCTTAGACAGTAAAGCAAACAAGCCTTCTCCAATATATTGAATTTGGGTCCCCACCCCATTTCCCACCACAGAGATATTCAAAGGAAGAGTTCCACACAGCCGTCACAGCCAGTTCCAATTAGAACCCTCCATATGTGAGCAAGAATAGCAAAAGCACACATGAATAAACGTAAAATGTAAATAAAAGAAGGCAAGGGCAGAGATTTCCTTTCCTTGCAATTCTTTGAACTAAAGAAGATGTTCTCTATCAGCCCCTGGGCTAGCATTCTGGGTATTCCAAAAATTGAAAAATAACAATACTTCAGCAGTTGACAAATGTTGAAAGTAAGGAGGCAAAAGCTGGCATTTAGTGTATTCGTTTCAAGTAATTTTACTTATAAAAGAATAAGTCTTTTGGAAAACAAATACTCCTACCACTTTTCAACCCAAGTAATGCTATCCAAATGGAAGCATTTAAAGGAATATTTCATTCCCCTATACAGATATGAAAGAAAGAAAGAAAGAAAGGAAGAAAGGAAGGAAGGAAGGAAGGAAGGAAGAGGAAGGAAGGAAGGAAGGAAGATTGCATTAAGACAGTAAACAGAAGTGATTCTTTGACCAGAAAATGTAAATGGAACTGGTGATGCCTTCACCATGTCAGAACTGAAATGTAGGTTTTCTATGAAGTTGCAAGTGCCTAGAAAGCATATTGACATATGTTTTTGGCATTACATCACAAAAACAGTGTTTATTGTTTTCAAAAGTCCGCAAAACAGGCAGAAATTCCTCATTGCTGCATCTTTGTGACAGGGAGAACTATACCACTTGAATGTCTGCCTACTTTTAACAGCCTTTGTGCCCTACGAGAACTTTTTTGAAAAAACAATATGCAGCTTGCTTCCTATTTATTTAGAACATAGTAAATGACGCTTTCAAAGCTCTACAATTACCTTTAAAACTTATACAATAAAATCTTTCTCATAACTGCAGTTCCATCAACTTATGCTTCTCATGAGGCATTTAAGCAGGGGAGGGGTGGCAGAATCCCTGCTAGGAAAAACTTTGTGCCTAATGTGCCAGAAAAGGTCATCCTTGTCAAGCTTTATCTTCCGCATTTTTTGTGGGTAGAGAGAAAGGATAATTTCAAGGAACTGCCATAAAACTGCCTCTCAACCTGTCTCAGCTTTTGCTTTCATTCCTACACATTTTCGTGGCGGTTCAACATCTGGAAAATTTTCCAGCTACAATAGGGAAATGGAAATCCCACAAGAGGACTATTAGGACTACTTCATGTTGTATTTTGAGGAGGGAAAGAATATGATGCAAAGTGGGGAGAAAGTGACCCCCTTTCTCGAATTCTCTGTATGTGCCAAAGGAATTGTGGGACACAAAAGGGTCTTACAATAGGCTTCAGAGAAGGCAGAAGTGGGCAAGTCTATCCCACTGTTGCTACCCCTCACTAAAACCCGGCCCAAGGCAATGAGAATATTAGCATTGCCCATTCCTGAGCATGACCTTAAAGAAGCAGAGATGGTAATGCAAACCAAAAACAAAGATCACCTCCTCCAAGTTACCCGTTTCTTTGTGGGGCCAAGCCATAGGAGCCAACTCCTAGGGGCCAAGGTCAAATGGTGTGTGTGCACTGTGTCATGTGATCAATTATGTGCAGCAGGGCTTACCACCTCCTCCCACCCCCCAAAAATGTATTTTAAGTTGGCACCCCTGGGCCAAGCATATCGCACCTAGTCAGTACCACACTACTTACTGGTTTGCCCAATCCACAAGGACTTAAGAGCAGCCTTGTTCAAAGCTTTAAATCTCCCAGTTGAGAGATCGACTGGGTACCTGATTAACTTTTTATTAGGGGACAAGTAAGGAGAAAAGTTTGCAGGGATGGTAAGTTGAATTCCTCAGGGGAGCAAACTCTTATCTGACAGAATGTCTGATTTTAATAATCATTCTGTGTAATGTATTTTACTCTGTTTAATTGGACTACTGTTATTAGTAGCATTTTTGTACATTATTATTACTAATCTTCACTCTCTTTTTAAATTTCAATTTATCTTTTTTCTTTTTCTCTTTTTTCTTTCCTTGCTAAATCTGAAAATGAAAAAATAATTTTTAAAAACCTGTGAGGATAAAACCCCAGAGTAACTGAATTACTGTACAGATTTCCAAAAGTTAGATCTGAGTCACAACACAACATAAATCTGTTAGCAAAGAACCCTTATTCCTTTGGAAAACACTACTTACTTTTCTGAATCTCTTCCAACTGCTTGACTGCTTCATCTCTCTGCTGCTTGATTTTGTCACACTGCCGGAAGATACAATGGCATTTTCAGAATTTAAATAATTAAATCAACTTCCACAATCAACAGAAAGCAAAACAACAATCAGGAATTAGGGTAAAGCTAAAAATGCAGATTTAACTTAAAACTAAATTTTAAAGAAAGGCAAATGGTAATTTGGAGCCAATTCCTGCTTTTGGTTTTTAAACTCCAGTACAAAAAGCGTCAAGGTTCAAATGACAAGATTCATAAGCTGCACCATCAATTGCGGAGAGGACATGCAAGTTAAAATGGACAGGTTTCCTCTAAAGATATTATTAGCAGCTCAGACTACCTTGATATTTCCCAACTTAATGTTCCACCTTAATATTACAGCTTCAACAGCTCTTATCTCAGAGGAAATTCCTTTCCCACAGCTAGTGTAAGTGGAGTAAGGAAAGCCACTTATGAAGAAGCACTAAGCCGGGTTGGATTCTTCCTCCTAACAAATGTCAAGTGGAAGGATCTGATCCTGCATGGTGCTGGTCACTTTTTCTTGAGCAGCTTCCTTTATGTGCAGGGAAATCACTCGTGAAGGAGGATCAGCCAGCACCATGCAGGATCGGATGCTCCTGCTTAGTTAAGCAAGAGGACCTGATCCTGCATGGTGATGTGCATCCAAACCTTTTCAAAAAGTTTTTAATGCACACCCGCTCAACTGTTGTGCAGAAGAATCCAGGGTGGGATGTGTAGCCCTGATTCAGGGCCACAAAGCACAACAAGGGGATTCTTGTACAGCCCTTAAAAAGCATATTCTTCCACTGCTCTAGGGCTTGTTTATATAATCACAGATGCTCAGACTCATCAAACTTGGATGGTTAAGAATTGCTGTTACAAGCCTTCCTTGCCCACAGAGACAAATTCTTGGGTGATTCAGTCCTCCTCCCTCTACACCCATTACTTCTAATCACAAAGTATTACACCCACCTTAGCATGCCATGACCCTGCTTTCATTTGAATGACATCTATTCAGTCAGTTATAAGCTATTCAAGAATGACTAATTGTCCTTTTCTTTCAAAGTTCAACTAATCCCTTGAATGGGTAAACAAATCAGGCAGTAGAGACCTATCCTCACCTTCTATGTGCATATATACTGATCAAGTGAAAGAGGAAGAGGACCAGCCTACTAGGCCCTACTCCTGACTTCTACATGTGTCAGAAGTCCCATGCTCACCTTCTGACAAATGCAAAGAGGACAGGGCAAGACCAGCAACATAATCTGCTTCCCCTACACATATATGGTATGTGCACAAACAGGAGACACTAAGGGTTAAAAATCAAGCAAGATGTGATGCAGGAGATCTGTGATCAGCCTCTCTTATTTCTTTTAAGTTATAAGCAGCTATAGGGGAAGGGGGCTGAACTGGATCAAGGCCATTCTGCAGGCAAAACACGTTGCCACGTGCAAGTTTCCACAATATAAATCACACCACTTATACTGACTGATACTTGCCTTACCGGGGGGGGGGGGGGGTTTGCACCAGAAAAACAACAGCCTTTGTTTGGTGTGGGGGGTGGGAGAAGCTGATTGGAATACTAGTGTGGAGAAATGTCTATCCTCTCTCCACCATGCAACTTCCAAATTTGATTGAGCCATGCTCCTATCTTCTTTGACGTTTATTTGTTTATTTATTAACAAAGGATTCCTGACCCTGCTTGCTCTGCTCACCAACTCTGCCAACTCACCATCTCCTTTGCCAGTGCCCTTTCCTATCACCTGGCCAACCCCTCCTCCCTTTACACAACATTCACCCCCTCACAGCCTCCCTATCCCCTCCAAAGGAAAGGGAGGGGCTTCAGAGAGAAGTTTGTCAAACTGTTATTTGAAGCACCTTCTCCCCTTCCATTGAACCTTACTGCAGCTGTCTTTAATGGAAGGGGCAGGCACTTCAGAGAGCTGTTTGGCAAACGACCTTCTAAAGTTCTTCCCCTTCTCCGCTAAACAGGTCACCTGGGAGGCTTACAATTTTAAACACACACACTAATTAAACTAAAAATCAGTTAATAGACACCAGTAGCCATTCTTTTGACACATGCCATTAACTATGCACATTTTAGGGAATAATAACAAGCAATGATGAAGCCATACAAATTTCCCTGGGTGGGGAGTTCCAAAAGTGTAGGGCCATTACTGAAAAGGCCCTGCTCCTAGCACCCACAAGCCTCGTAGTTCTTACTGGCAGGCCAGTGAAAGACAACCTGGAAAATCACAGATCTCCCATATCACATCTAATTTGTGCTCTGCAGCTTTTCAAGGCATTGTTATAGAAAGGTAACTGTCATAAAAAGACTTGAGTTTGGGAAACGTTAGCTGTTATTTCAACCTAGCAAAATCCAAATTCTACTGAAATTTCAGGACTGCAGCCTGCATATCCATTCATTGAAATAAAACAAAATGATAAGCAACAGTGGGAGAAGATAGAATTAAAATGTCTCATTGAAAAACCAGATATGCCTGCCACAACAGGGCAGGCCTACCATGTTTTTTAATATATTAAAAAAGAAGCCCTTTATGTCTTAGAATGCAAATGAATGGTCAAGGACAGCAATTCTGGAGGTACCAGCTGCCCCTGCCTCCAAAGTAGTATTCTTTTCTCTAATATTAACACATGAAAACATCCACAAAAAAACAAACCCTCTTAGGGTATGGAAGAGAAGACGAAATATTCATGTCACTGGTTCACATTGATCAGACTCAGAGGCTTGAATATATGGATAGTTTTGCTGTAAATCAATAGCATGTTGTATTTACTTTATGGGAAGAAGACTGTGAGTGGAAATAAAGAAAAGGAACCAGTGCAAATGTATAGCTTTATAGCAACAGAAACTGCTTGTTTCCATGAACAAAAACATGCAATGTGCAAAAAAAAAAAAAAAAGTTCAGAAATATGGATTAGAGATAACCAATGACTTATTATTCTGACTCTCTTAAAATTTGTCTCAGTGCAGATGTTAACGCCACTGTTTTCTTAACCATTGTTAAAAGATCAGGAGCTAGTCACAATCATGTCCATTCTCTTCCCAACCTCTGCAACATGTATTTCCTCCAACGTTCCCTTGTCAGCCTTAACCATGGCAAAGCATTACATCAATGACTCGTATCAGGTTCCGTCTCAGCTAGGGAGTGCAAATCTGCATCAATTTCAAAACCTGATTCAGATAGCAATTCTGGTTAGTGTTGACGATCATTAAGTCTTGATGATGTAGGGGTGTACTGCAGTCTACAAGAAGTTGTTTCGAGCTGGAAAGTGGGGAGAGGACTACACAACACTGTAGCCTCTTCTCATAGTTTTATCTGCGACATTACTGATGGAATTAGTACACTAGTCTAGGGTAGCCCCTTACTGCCAAAAGAATTCATCACACAAAAGGCCTTTGCATATGCTAATTTATATTTACAGCTGCAAATTTGTATTTCAAACAGAAATATAGTGCATTCTGTCCAGGTGCCAACTGATAATGGTCAACTTCAAGGCCCTCTCCCTTCTTGTAGAGCTTATCTTAAACTGGACCAGGACTGGGATGACCCTTCAGATGATGGCCTCCTTCAAAGAGAAGAATGTCTCCTGACAGCCTTTCAAACCCTGCAGTAAACCAAGGCTTGTGGTTTGTTGCTCCCAGCTCCATGAAGGGTGGAGTGACACAGGAACAATTCAACAGTGTGCTTGAGCAAAGTGCTTGTTGGTGGTAAGCCAAGGTTTATGGCTTATCATGGCATGTAAACAGAGTACAGGAAACAGAATTATTATGAATTAGGAAGCTGCGATAACAAAACCCACAACCATGGAAAGCCCCAACCACGATGCATCAGTAAAGGCAAGGGGGAGCACAGCAAGATCCACCTACTGGCATTGTTGGTCAAACAATTATTCATTAACTGCCCACCTTTCAGTACAAGTTTCACAACACAATAAAGGCAATCACAAAAACAGTAAATGGAAAAACCCAACAGCAGCAATAAAAGCCTGAATAGTATCAAGTCACATTAACTTAAAGCCTGTTTAAAAAGAAAGAAAAATATTTAAACTGATCAAAAAAAGACGAGCTCTCAAATTCTTTCCTCAGCTGTTACAACTTTGGGAGACCACAGGGGAAACTTGCTTTATGGGTGTTAATATTCTGATGGCCCATCAAGTAATGGATCTCAAAAGGCAATAGAGTACATATGGGAGAAGATGCTTCCTCAAGGGTGCCAGACCTAAACCAGTGCCATCCTTGACATGTCTACTCACTTAAGTCCCATTAAGCTCAGCAAAGCTCATTACCAGTAAAGTGGGTATAGGATCACAGCTTAAAAGAAACAGCACTTCACATTTAGACTACAAACCAGGGATGCTCAACCAGTGGCCAAATTCCTCTCGTCTAAGAAGGGGTGTGGTTCACGAATCAAGAGAATATGATAAAACGTGATTATGGACACTGTCTTGGCATGGACATCTACCAGGAGCACTCCCAAGCTGCCATCCTGCCCCTTCTGGGTGAGTGTGATCCTATTTAGGACGGGCATTTCCATCACTCCCCAAGCGTTGGGACCACTCACCATGGGCTATTTCTTCATCCTGTCCAAATTAAGCTTCTATTTATTCACAGTCATCCAATCTACAAGCAACTTTAGACCATCTTTTAGGAATGGAATGTTGGAAGCTGCCTTATACTCATTCAGACCAATGACCCATCCAGTTCAGTACTGTCTACATTGACTGAAGGTTGCTCTGCAACATTTCAAGACTGGAGTCTTTCCCAGCCTACCAGTAGATGCTGGGGATATTCTGCATAAAAGGAGATGTTCTCCCAATGAGCTACAGACCTTACCACTAAATTAGACGAGGGCACTGGGTTCAGATGGAGGGGAGGAATGGTGATGGGAGTCATTCCACATTTCACTGTTTCACTTCCTGTAGTAACCACCATGAGCACTAGGTTTCTTCCCATTTCTTTGTGTGTGAGGGTAGGGAGGAATTTGCAAGAAACCTGATATTTGTTTTTGCTTTGCACCTCCAACAGGCAGGAGAAGAAAATGATTGTAGTGTGTGCTCCGGCTTGCAAACGCATCCAGGCCAGGATAGGATAGGAATCATGATCTAAGAGGCACATTGTGGTGGTGGTGACAGTCTGAAATTACTGTGTAAATAAGGAAATAGTTTTGTTACTAGTTTCTGCCGAAAACTTGCATGAGAAATTCTCTTATCTGAACTAAATACGGGCAATGTCAACTATAGCTAACTACAATGAGAATTCTCTTATATCAACATATCAAGTTTGGCAGTTCTCATTTTTATCAGTCTATGGCTGCAATCCAAGATACACTTACCTGGGAGAAAGTCCCACTGAACTTAATGGGGCTTACTTCTAAGTAGACGTTTATGGCCTTGTTATTCACTGGGATATACATATACAGTATGACTATACACTGTGCCACTGCTGGGAGCTGCTGGTTGGCATTGGCTCATGACAGGGCCTTCTAAGTGGTGGCTCCCTGAAGAGGTACATCTGTCTCTCTCATTACTGACTTTTAAGAGGAATTTAAAAGCATTCCTGTTTAGCCAGGTATTTGATGGCTGAACAACACTGAATCTGGCAAAAAGAAATCATTGACTGAGAGAATGTGAATGCTTTAAAATAATATTTTAAAACTGTTTTTAGAATTTTTTTAATACTACTGTTTTAGTGCTGCTGCTCTGGGCTCCTTTTGTGGAAGGCAGGTATAAATCAAATAAGTAAATAAAGGACAAAATTACTAAGCAAACTGGTGATACACAGATATACATACCAGTAATTTCCACCATTACAGTGGTATCAAAGTACTACTATGGTTATGGAAGTTGCTGCAAATACTTCCTCATATGGATAAAATATTTGTAAGGGGAAATGCCAATTGTGCCAAGGTCCATCAAAATCAATAGTTACACAATATTTTATATCACATGAAAACAAGTACAAACCTCTTCTTTTGTTTTCTTATTTTCTGCTCTTAGATCTTCATATTCACCAATAGCTACAAAAACAAGATACATAAAAAGTTATCTTGGTGGTGCTCTTCATAGAAATCTCATTAACTTTCACACATCCATAAACTTTACAGCTGCAAACATCATGTTGCAAGTCTATAATAAAGATCACTTTGTTTACTGGAATAACACATAGCATTTATACAGGACTTTAAAAGACTGTTCAGGTAGTATCATAGAATCATCACAGACATAATCTGAGCAATTAAAAGACTTAAAAAAATTATTTCCCAAATGTAAATCATTTAAAATAATTGCATTAGATTTCAGTCTGGCTTCTCCAGGAACAGTGGTACATGAAATGATGATACAGATGAAGGATGGGAAAGAAGATGCTTGGAAGGAAAGATGATAAACAGTAATGAAAAGGCAAGAACTAGCAGAGTTGCACACATTTTTTGCTTTATGACCACAGCTTCACAATTAGATTTAGGATGCTATGTATCCAGTCATTTTGTTATTCACGCAGAATATATCCTTTATTAAGTAATTGTGCATTACTGAACTTCATGTTCTCTCACAATCAAACTAGCTGGTATAATCAGATCATGAGTGAAGTTAGATCTTCAGTAACTGCAACACCAATGGTGTTTTGACTTTATAGCCTCAACTTAATTTTAATTACTGATTTCTAATTTTCCCCACAAGGTGTGCATAGCGGTGCACAACTGTAGGATGGTTCACACAACATCACACACACTGTCACAGTTATGACACTATACAAGATAACTTTGATATTGTTACCACAAACAAAATGCTTTTTAGCAGGTTCAGTTCACATGTCCAGTTGCAAGTCATGTGCTTATTTATTATAACATTTATAATGTATAACATTTATATATGTTCCCAGGAGAGCTTTACATCAACAAAATTTTTTAGAGAAACACTAAAACTAATAACAAACAAAAGCAGCATTTAAAAGCAATCTTGCATAGAAATTGCAGATATTTAGTTATTATATTTATTTGTTATCTCATACAAGAGGTCTCTGGGCCACATACAACGCTAATATCTAAAACCAGAAGTAAAACCATAGAAAATACAAACAATTCAGCCAACATTCAAGTCAAGGGGAAAATATCAAATAATTTCATCATACAAAAGGAGCAAAAACACCCAGACACAACCTAAAACCAGGTAATCCCTATCAGTTTAGAAGAGCCTAAATTAAATAATATTGAGATAACATTTTAAAAATATGTTTAAAGAATAGAAAAGTATTTGCCAGGCATGTGTAAATCTAGCCCTATAGAGGCACTATGAACCCAATGAGTGATGCCCGACTTGGACTTGTCAATTGATTTCTGTGGGTCTACTCTGATCACGACATACAACTGGGTATCACTCTGTGATCTGCTTTTATATAAAAAAGTGAGTCAGACTTTAACCTGCTGCTTAGCAAATTATGTGGAGACATTTTCCATGAAAGATTAACCAGTTGTCACCGAGCCCAAGACGATTCCTGTACCATGTCTTCTGCCCAGCTTTAAACTGTTCCTTCTGACAATGTCTCGTCTGCAACACGCTCAGAACATCTATTAATTATTGATGCACTTTCTAAAGTATTTATAAAGGTAACCTTAGTGTGAGGCGAAAAGTCAGAAGTTCTGGAAGTATAAAAGGCTAACAGAAGTGCTAGACTTCACGGACTCAGGCTGCAAGCCTATGCAGATTCTTAGAATTAAAAAGGTAAAGGGACCCCTGACCGTTAAGTTCAGTCACAGACGATTCTGGGGCTGCGGCGCTCATCTTGCTTTATTGGCCGAGGAAGCCGGCATACAGCTTCCAGGTCATGTGGCCAGCATGACTAAGCCACTTCTGGCGAACCAGAGCAGCGCACAGAAACGCCGTTTACCTTCCCGCCGGAGCGGTTCCTATTTATCTACTTGCACTTTGACGTGCTTTCGAACTGCTAGGTTGGCAGGAGCAGGGACCGAGCAACGGGAGCTCACCCCGTCACAGGGATTTGAACCACCGACTTTCTGATTGGCAAGCCCTAGGCTCTGTGGTTTAGACCACAGCGCCACCCCGTTAAATCCCCTTTAATTCAATGGGGTTGACTTCTGAGAAGACATGCCTAGGAGTCTGTGGCTAGAGTACAAATAGCCTTTTAGGTCTCTGTTTTTTAAAAAAGGAGTGAGGTAGCTTCAGCCTTGTGAGGCCTAGAATCCACAAGGTCTCATTCATCTGTGTTTTAAATTTATGAAGCATTAAGTGCCTATGCAGGATCTGCTGGGGCACGCACAAAGTAATCTGGGTTAACTGATCCAAATATACTGTTGTTTACACAATAAGTTGCCACGAACAGTTAGATTCAGCTTTAACTAGTCTAACATTCTTTGTAAGAATCCCAGCAACCAAAGAAGTACTAGGAGACCCACCAGAAACAAGACATTTCTTTACGGGGGAAAACAAAGGCTAATCTTATTTATTTATTTATTTACTTACACGTATACACTGCTTTATTGTAAAAAAACCAAACCAAAAAGTCAAACGATTTACAAAAAGATAAAACAAAACAAAAATATAACCACACTTAAAAGCATACAAAAGTTATAATATTAAAACAGCATCAACTTTCTAAGCATCTGGGTAGGCTTGGCCTACACTGTCCTATAATGCTAGCAAAGGCAGCTATTAGTGTCCATGCCATTTAGGTATTCCCATATCAGGCTTTGATTTGCCTGAACAGGCAGCATGTTGACACTAACTGCTCAAATGCTCTCACTTTGCTCCTCCTAGTAAACGCAGTGTGCACAAATCAGGAAGCTTTGTGTCAAAATTATGTCAAAATCACAGATTGTGGTTTGTTGCTCCCTAAAACACAAACTTCCATAAGCCTGCAGCAGACCACAGTTTAGTGTATAGATAGGAAGCAACAAACCATGGTTCATATGCAATAGAAAGTCAAGGTTTCCTGGTTTATTTACCACCAGCGTGCTGCTCATTCATGGTATGCCAGTGACATACTGTCTCTGAACATGAACGTTCCAAATAGTCATTGAGACAAATAGCCTGTGGTTTATCTTCTATCAACCATTAATTTATTCTCCATGAATTTATGACTCGCATCCTCCATCTCCCTGAAATAAAAAGGACCTGGGAACTAAACTCTAATAGTCAGAAGTATCCAGTCAAAAACAACAGTCAGAAGTATCCAGCACACAAAAGGCGGCTAGATACTTGGCTACTTCTATATTCACAACTGTCTTTAAAAAAAATATAAAAGTGGAAAAACCAATATTCAGGGATTGCATGTCAGCAGTAAATGTGGGCAGCTGATGTGTGAACATGTAAAAATATGTGATAATGGCTGGAGGGGACATTGGATGACTCCAAAGTTTAAAGGGAGGGTAGGTTTTCCATATTCTATCCTGGTTATGATTTCCTCAACTGAGATTCTCTGGTAAGTGTAAAATACTGTAATGCAGCAAGTGTTTGATAATGTTTTCCTGCCACTCCCTATACAGTGGTACCTCGGGTTACAAACACTTCGGATTACAGACTCCGCTAACCTGGAAGTAGTACCTCGGGTTAAGAACTTTGCCACAGGATAAGAACAGAAATTGTGCGGTAGCAGTGCAGCGGCGGTGGGAGGCCCCATTGGCTAAATTGGTACCTCAGGTTAAGAACAGTTTCAGGTTAAGAACAGCCCTCTGGAACGAATTAAGTTTGTAACCAGAGGTACCACTGTACCTTAGGGCCACATTCACACTATTCATTTGACACATTATGATGCCACCTTAAACATTCATGGCTTCCCTCAAAGAATTGTGAGAGCTGTTGTTAGCAGGCTCCTCCTGCCCTCCCAGAACTACAATTCCAGAGTGGTTTAACAATCCCTCTTCCCGTAGAATTCTGAGAACGGTTGTTCCATGAGAGGAAGAGGGCTCTCCTTAACAAACTGTAGCTCCCATAACTCTTTGTGGGAAATCCTGACTGTTCAAAGTGGTATCATAGTACAGTGGTACCTCAGGTTGCAAACACTTTGGGTTACAGACTCCGCTAACCCAGAAGTAGTACCTCGGGTTAAGAACTCTACCTCAGGATGAGAATAGACGGGCGGTGGCAGCGGCAGCAGCAGGAGGCCCCATTCGCTAAAGTGCTACCTCAGGTTAAGAACAGTTTCAGGTTAAGAACGGACCTCCAGAACAAATTAAGTTCGTAACAAGAGGTACCACTGTATTTCAAACCTGTGACGTCAATTTGGCCTAGAACAGTAACTCTGTTCACACATTCTATTATCACTGCATTGAGTGGGAGAGCAGGCACCCACATATGCCCTGCGAGCCTCACCTTGTGATATCCGTACACTGGGGAATGCCTGAAAAGGCAAGCCTGCTCTTTCGCCTCATGATTTGCAACCATGTTCTGAATGACCATTCTGTAGACATGCACGGCTTCCCTTTTCAAACTTTCCCCAGATGCATGGACAGCAGAAGGGGGAGGGCAGTAGGAAATGTGACAGCAGGTAAAACTTCGCTCTACACAAAATATAAAATTGTGTGATTTTAAATGTCTGCAACCTTGGAGAGCTGCTGTCAACCACAGTAGTCAATACTGAACTAGATGGGCCAACAGTCTGACTCCCTATGAGGTCAAATGCCAACACCGAAAACCTTCAGATGCCACAAGCTGCCCAGGGTGTGCCATCAGCATGCACAGAACTGACAGGAGGCTGGTAACATGGCTTGAAGTTTAAAACAAGCTGAAAACGAGAGCTGACACTGCCTGAATAGGCAATGGAAGAATAGATGGAAGAAGCAGGGATGCAAGCTGACCACCACCCAATTCTACTAGATGATATATATTTTAAACCTTCCCCTTTCTCCAAGGACCTCATATAGTTCTATGGGCATAGCCAAGGGGGGCAGGGAGGGGCAGCTGCTCCCCTAAATCAATAAAAATACATAGCAAACTGAGGTTCTGGCCTGCCAGAAAAAAGGCCTGCCCCCCCCAACAAAAATCCTGGCTACGCCCATGTGCAGTTCCCTTCTTTTATTCTCACAACTACCCTGTGAGGTAGCTCATGCAGCAAGAGCATTAGCTGGCATTCAGCCACCCCATGAGTTTCATCACTGAATGGGGATTTAGAAATTTGGGATTCCCTAATCTTAGCCTAGTACTATAACCACTACTCCATGCTTCCTTTAGTTAAATTTTAACCACCAGCAGGCATGTATTTAAAAGTTGCCTTCCTATATGAGCATCAGCTCTCTGCTCAATTAGTGGGGAGACTCCCTAGTCTGAATCATTTTGCGCTTTGCTGCGGGGAACGTAAAAACACCAGGCGAACGTTGTTTTCTTGGAACCCTTCCAACTGGGAAAAAGGGATTGTTTCACTTTGGGGAATAAGGCTCTTTCGTAAGGGGGAGGGGACGTACAAAGCCAGGCACGTGCCACGGATTTCATCACCCCTTGCGCCCAAACCCTCAAATCGTCTTTTCCTCTTCCAGCGCCAGGTGGATAAGAAAACAATAAGCCTTTGCAGCCGATGGGAGGAGGTGGCGCAAGCCGATTAAATAATCAAACCCGCCCGATTTACCCGGCAACCGAGGAGAGGGGATTGCCAACATTTTCCTGCAGGGAGAAACAAGGAGGCAAACGGGAAATCTTCCGAATCCGGTTGGGGTGTGTGTGTGTGTAAGGAGCGGGTGGAAGAGCTGCCTCCAGGCCTCGGGGTTCAGAGACGCCAGCCCTATTAGCAAGCGCTTCCCCGCGGAGGGGGACCCATTTCCCTACCAGCTCCAATGCGGGGCGGATTCGGTTGCCGGAGCGCACGAGCGAGGAGCGCGCGCGCCCGTGCGGCGTCCCCTCCCCTCGCCCCCGCCACCCTGCGTCTCGCCGTCTGGCTGCTGCCTTTGACACTGGGCGGCGGGGCGTCCCTGGTCCAGGGCAGCGCAGCGCGGCGCGACCTTCCGCCCACAGAGGGGGTCCTCGCTAGGCGGGCGGCCAAAGCGCCGCTCAGGGCGCCCGGGTGCTTTTTGTTTTGGCAGCGGCGCGCCAGCCGCTCCCCGAGCCTCTTGCGGCTTCGCGCCCAGGCGCTGCAGGAGGAGCGGCCGGCCGGTGCAGTGGGCCCCCCAGTCCTCGCCCTCGTCCTGCGCGGCTTACCTTGGTCTTTGAGGCCGCCGAGCAGCTCCAGCTGCCTCGCCGCCTCGGAGCCGCTCATGCTGCCGGGCCGCCCGAGAGCGTCTGGCTCGGCACCCGGAAACGCCGCCCGAGCGCGTCAGGCAGGCGCCGCTTTCACCTGCGAGCGCCGAGAGGGGCGGAGAGGCTGGCCGCGTGCGCTCGGGCAGAGCCCTCGAGCGGCTGCCGCTGCTGCCGCTTTTGCACATGCCCGGCCTTCTGGCGGCCGCTTTCGCCCCGTTCGTATAGGGCAGGAGGGAAGCCAGGTTTTTGTTTGTTTGTTTGTTTTTTAAGGAAGCGAGAGAGAAAGTTTGCTTCCCCAAAACAACAAACAAGTCATGGACATGTAGTGATCATGCCCAGACCATTTCTGTTATGGCTCTATCCTCGCCATTACTCCTGTTTTGGGAATGAATGAGCTTTCATCTTTTACATCCCTTGCAAAATATTTGCCACGCACTGTTCCCAGTGGTGGTTGCAAGGTCCCAGTGGAATGAAATTGAATGAGCCCAGTTAAACAAAGGAAGGGCAGGGAGTTCATGGACACAGTGTGTGGTGAAATCTTGCTATCATTTCAAAGGAAAAGACACGATCTGTTCCAGGGTGCTGTTCGCATCCCGAAAAGTCCGTAATCAGAGCGACACATTTCCCACGTTTTTAACCTGAAAAAACGCAACATGAAGCGTTCGCAAGAAGAGGTATGACTGTATGTGCATGCCCAGGTACTCAACTAACTAGCAGCAGCTGTGTTCTGCACTAGCTACAGCTTCCAGGCAACCTCAAGGGAAGCCCCACATTAAGTGCATAAGTTTTTCATGAGATTGTTATCAGCACGAGTCACAGCAGCCAAGCTATCCCTGATCAGGAAAGCATATAGTTGGAATATCAATCTAAGTTGATAACAGGCACCCCTCAAACCTGGGAACCACTTACCTACAAAGTCTTCATCTTATCAGGAGTCCATCTCACCTGTGGGCTCCATCCAGCACACCACTGCATCCAAGCATCAGTTCAAATGAGCTATGGCCTCTACCCATTTAGATATAACAGAGAAGCAGACCTGGTTGTCATCAACATGATACCTCATTCCACCTCCCCACAAACGATGGCCAGCATACAGGAGATATGCACATAGCCCCACCCAATGTGTTGAACCTGGCCCCATACATAGGAATGGAACCACTGGAAAACAAAAGGGAGGATAACATGGTCAACAGTATCAAAAGTCATTGAGATATCAAACAAGCAGAAAATGGTCGCACTACCACTCCCTGGACACACGTGTAGTCAACTCCCCACTCCCAGCTGGCACAAATAAGCCATGGTGGGCGAGGGTCAAAAGAGCATGTATTGGGCCGGTTTTTATATCCATCACTTAATACTAAACAATAACCCCGAAATAAACCTGCAAACATCTTGGCTGTACATGAAAATTTGTAGTGTATTATAGGCAGTGCATTTTTCTCGGGGGACACGGGTACGGTCGCATACCCCTAAGCATTTTGTGAATCTTTGTACGGTGGTACCTCTGGTTACGTACCTAATTCGTTCCGGAGGTCCGTTCTTAACCTGAAACTGTTCTTAACCTGAAGCACCACTTTAGCTAATGGGGCCTCCCGCTGCCGCCGCGCCGCCAGAGAACGATTTCTGTTCTCATCCTGAAGCAAAGTTCTTAACCCAAGGTACTATTTCTGGGTCAGCGGAGTCTGTAACCTGAAGCGTATGTAACCTGAAGCGTATGTAACCCGAGGTACCACTGTACTTTCTCCATTTACTGTATTTATTTTTCTTGATTTGAATCATAAAATGGTGATTTTCTTGAGTAAAAATGAGAGTACCCCTAAACATTTTTAAAGAAAAAAAGCACTGATTACAGGACATAAATAAGATCATGGTAATGTATATTGTAGGTATGGAATGCAAAAAAGAATTTTAAATGGTAGATTTACACAAATGAACTGACATATTTCATTGCAAACCTTTTGCACTAAACACCACCTACAGGTCTACCAAACATACATTAAAGGCTATATATATTAACCAGCCCTCCTCTATGCAGACAATAAGCTCAGAGAAATCTTTTCCTCCTCACCCGTTATCACAGGAAAAGAAGCTGCCACCATGTTCCCGGTTGTGGGGGAATTTAATACAGGACTTTGGCAAGTTTTAGGCCCAAGTCTGATCCAAAGCATTTTTACTCAAACATAAAAATGGGGGTGGGCAGGGTTGACTGGGGCTGTTCAGGACTTCAGTGGGATTTAAGTAGCCTTAATGGGACAAAACAGTGTGTGCTTGCTTCAGGGGACTCATAGGTGGGGGATGTAAAGGTGGGGTGATGTTTACTGATAGACTCTAAGATGTACTAGTGAGATACAGCCTTTTTTAAAAAGAAGGGGGTAGTAGTAAGTTAAATACTATATGGCACATATAAGAGGCAAAGGCATTCAAGATTACTGAGTGGCTGACTCATCAGAAGGTCAAATCATGACTTGTCATGACCTATTCAGCTCGTGGCATGACATCTTACAACTTCAGGATGAAACGGCAGACTACCAATTAGTCAACATATGAAAGCAACCCACAGAGCTAGCATTACAAATTCCAATAAAGATTTTTTTAAAAAATAATCTACTAGGCAACAGCATCAAATTGTTACGTGTTCTGGCACAAAGGCATCTGAACTTTTCCAGGTCTGTCCATTTAAGTATTATTTTAGCAGTAACTAATTGAGCAGAACATCTTGGGGAGAGGCTGTCACTGCTGCACATTTGTGTAGCAATCTTTTCAAGTTTGCAAAATGATTTACTATCTTTCTTGTATTCATTGCAAACCTCTGATTTAGGGAAATACCCCCATTTAACAGAGCGGGAGAGGGTTTAGAGGGAAATGAAGGGTCATATGCCTAGGATTCAGGGATCCAGCTCTCTTCCTAATGGGGCATACACTGCTTTTCACATCTGTAAGTCCCATCATGTTCAGTGAGGCTTATTCCCAGGTAGGTGTCCATAAAGGCACTTAGGCTTACTTTCAGACCTGGGAGTAAGGCCCACTGAACATAGTAGGATTACTTCTTGGTAATCATGCATAGGATTACACTATCATGCTGCAATATTTCACACTTACATGGGAAATAAGCCCTATTAAAAAGAGTGGGACTTGCATCTGAGTAAACGTGCTCATTGCACTATGGATCACATATATAGAACAAATAGGAACTGGAAAAGATTGCACAAACAATCCTCTCAGGCCTGTAATTCCGCAGGTGTGAATACTAAACTGCGCTAGTTAAGGGAGAAAATCATTTAAAAAATAAATGTTGAGGAACAAACAGCAATAAAAGGCAAGCTTCATATACAGGAGTTAAAGTAATTTGCAGCACATTTTACTGAGTTATCTGTAGTATTGATCTTCAGCACTGGAGACAAACTGAATTGATGATGTTTAAACAACACTGTCTGTTGAAGAATCAATATGTAGCAGCATGGTATCTATCTCTTTTCATTCAGAGGCATTACAGGGCTGTGATTCAATCTATAAGGTGTTTCAAAGCACAAGCTTATGCATGTCTACTCAGAAGAAAGTTCTACTGAATCCAATGGAGCTTATTCCCACATAACTGCATATAGGATTGCAGCTTAAAAATATGTTCTTATCCAAAAACATATTTATTCTATGACTGGTAATTTTTGAACAGTAATGCATAATCTGCATTTTAACATATTCATTTTACTGCTGTGGTGGAGAGGAATGTGGTTCAGAAATGTGGAAGAGAGGCCACCCCCTTGCCTGTTTGTTCAAAAACTAGATTATTTCTAAAATGAATCACAACTTGCAATGCTCATGTATACTTCTACACAGCATAAGCACAGATCTTGTGTTTCTACGATGTCAGAATTAGTATAACATGTACGTATCTTCCGGGCCGTTGAAGGAAGCATAATATATATTTATATGTAAATGGGTATTTGTGTGTCCCTTACACACACACACATCCTTGTACAAGAATCATTAGATTTCCTGAGTGGACTTGTTTTCATAGCCAAATTACTAAAGAGAGAGACAACAAGCAAGGTTCAGGCTGCATTTTCTTTCCACATGTGTATCATTCTGCATTTTGGTATTCTGTCACTCTTAAGCCAGTTTTCTCCAAGATCAGCTCCAGCTTTGAGGGTGGAGCCCCTCTGGTGGTAGCAGTGGTGGGCAGCACTCTGAGCAGCTGGGTCCACCTGTTTTTATTTCCCAATAATGCCCTGGACTGACACTTCAAGTTCAAGTTTATTGCGGCCAAAGCCAGTGACACTAAACACCATAAGATCAGACAACAAGAAAACAGCAACAACTTTAGAAAAGAAAAAAGGTTACACAAGAGAACTTCCCAGTGTGCCATTCAACAGAAGGGATTTACGCTTCTTAATTACTAAAGTGCAAAATTTAGCCACCTCATATGATACTGAGCTTGAGGAATCTTCCAGGAGGTATTTTCGAAGAATTTCAGGGGAGGATTCCAAATAATATTGAAGGGGTATAAATTTTGATAGAAGTGGTAAAATAAGTTGAACTCGTTCTTCACTATAGAATTCGCAAGATAGAAGAATGTGTGTGACAGATTCTACCTTATTAGACATACAAGGGCAGAGACGCGCATGCATTGGAACTCGCGTGAATTTGCCGTACAGCACTGCTGAGGGCATTGTCTCAAAGCGGGCTCTAGAGAAAGCCCATCTATAGGTTTCGTTAGTGATGTTAGTTAAGTAAGGGGCAGCTGCAAAATTAGGCCAAGCTTTTAAACATCTATACGTCTCTGGAAGTAGGGCGCCTTCTTGTTGTAATTCGATATCATAAAGTCTCCGAGTGATAGTAGTTTTTGCCTTGTTCAAAGTTCCAATAAAAATATTTTCAGGGTTTAGGCCAATTTGTTTGATCTTGTTAGTTATTTGCAAAAGCCAAGGAGGATAGGGAACTGCGGCCAGGAAGCAAGGTAATAGACCCTTAGGATTGTAATGGATTTTCAGCCAGAGGGATATTGCTTGTTCCCAGACTTTTAATTCCACTCTGGGCAGTCCTGCCTCTTGCCTTAAGACTGCATTAGGTGT